GCTGTGGCCCAGTCTGATGATCTGGAAAATAATGTAATGAGAAAGTGTTGGTTTCTAATATATGTAATGTCGTTCTGCTTGTGGATAAACAGTATTTCTTGCTGTTTCTTTGCCAGTGTTGATGTGGAAAGTGTCTGGTTTGCCTACTCTGGAATATGCAACATATCATTGTCCTTCTTTAGGGATCCCTTTCAAATCTTTGATACTGCATCTGTCATATACGTATATATGTGGGAATGGCTGGATGGACTTTTGTCAGGAGGGCTTTAATTATGTTTTCTTGCCCTAGTGAAGGGAGTTGGAGTGGATGGCCTTAAAGCAGCATTTCTCAACCTGGGAAGTCTAGACCCCCCCGGGGGGGGGGTCACCAGATGTCAGAATTTTCTGTTGGTCATGGGGGTTCTGTGTGGGATGTTTGGCCCAATTCCATTCTTGGTGAGGTTCGGAATGCTCTTTGATTGTAGGTGAACTATACATCCTAGTAACTGCGACTCCCAAATGTCAAGGTATTTCCCCCAAACTCCATCTGTGTTCACATTTGGGCATATTGAGTATTCCTGTCAAGTTTGGTCCAGATCCATCATTGTTTGAGTCCACAGTGTTCTTTGAATGGAGGTGAACTACAATTCGAAAATTCAAGGTCAATGCTCACCAAACCCTTTCAGTGTTTTCTGTTGGTCATGGGAGTTCTGTGTGCCAAGTTTGGTTCAATTCCATTGTTGGTGGAGTTCAGAATGCTCTTCGATTGTAGGCGAACTATAAATCCCAGCAACTACAACTCCCAAATGACAAAATCAGAATTTTTTGAGTGATGGTCACTCCTTGTGTTGTGAGACGTTTTGTTGCCAAATTTGGTGTGATTTCGTTCATTGGTTCTTTTGTTTTTATGGTACTCATTATGCACAGAGCATATATATGCATATATATGTGTGTGCGTGTGCGTAATTTATAAAATCATAGAATCCTAGAGTTGGAAGAGACCTTGTGAGCCATCCAGGCCAACCCCTTCTTCCAAGAAGCAGGAAAATTGCATTCAAAGCCACCCACCCACCCAACAGATGGTAAAGAAGGAGCCTCCACCACCCCCTGGAACAGAGAGAGAGAGTTCGACTGCTGAATTGTTCTCTCGTGCTGTTAGAAAGTTCTTCCTAATGTTCAGGTGGAATCTCTTTTCCTGTAGTTTGAAGCCATTGTTCCGCATCCTAGTCTCCAAAATAGTCAGACACGACTTATAAGTCTAACTGCATTAAGATCACTTCTGACCAAAAGTCATGAGTTCGAAGCCAGCCCGGGTCGGAGTGAGCTTCCGACCAATTGTGTAGCTTGTTGTCAACCTTTGCAACCCGAAAGACAGTTGTATCTGTCAAGTAGGAAATTTAGGTACCACCTATGTGTGGGGAGGGTAATTTAACTAATTTACGAGGCCTTAAAAAAGACTCCAGCAAAAGCATGCGGGGAATACGGAAGTACTTCATCAGTGTTGCAGATGGACGATGAAAGCAACAGCTCCCCTGGCGGCCAGAAAAGTTAAAAAGCCTCTGACTGTCTGTCTATATCTGTTGTGTGTCTTTGGCATTGAATGTTTGCCATATATGTGTACATTGTAATCCGCCCTGAGTTCCTGCGGGGTGAGAATGGCGGAATATAAATACATACTTCTGAGTTCTGTATGGTACTGTTTTTATGATGTTATGTTTTATTGTGATATGCTTTTATTTGGTTTTGTTTTGATACTTTTTATTGTATTATGTTTTTAACTTGGTGCTCCCTGGGCTTGTCCCTTTGTAAGCCACCCTGAGTCCCTTAGGGGAGATGGAGGCGGGGTATAAAAATAAAGTTGTTATTATTATTGTCCAAATAGCATTACGTATTTCTTTTTCTTCAAATATTTTTTTCCTTTCCCTCTTCTTCTTTTTCCTTTCCTTTCCCTTCCCTTCCTTTCCTTGACAACCATACATAATGCCTTTTCTGAATGTCAGGTGTTTATTATGCCCAGCCAAAAAGAGTTTCCAATGGTGGCTTGGAAGCTCATAGGTTGACGAGCTTTGGTTCGTGGGGATTTTCAGTATCCAATGTGATTTTGAGTCATCACCTCAAAATATTTACCAATCCTCACTGTTCCAAATAAAATGCACGAGACATAAAAGTATTGCTTCACTTCCTCTTGTATATATAAGTTTTGTTGTGTGTCATCAAGGCATTTCCAACTTTGGTTGACCCCATGCGGCCCCGTGGCAGTGTTTTCTGGGGCTGAGTGTGACTTACTCAAGGTCATGCAGTGGGTTTTCATGGCTGAGCCTTTAGAGCAGGCCTGGGACAACTTGGGCCCTCCCTCCAAGTGTTTTGGACTGCAACTCCCACAATTCCTCACAACTGGTAGGAATGGTGGAAGTTGAAGTCCAAAACACCAGGAGGAAGAGTCCAAGTTGGCCCAGGCCTGCTGTAGAGTTACAGGCGCTGTCTGCAGTGCCCTATAATGCTGTCTGAACTGCATTCTGTGTTCAGTGTAGACTTTTTTTCATGTCAGGAGCAACTTGCAAAACTACTGTATATACTCGAGTATAAGCCTAGTTTTTCAGTCCTCTTTTAGGCTGAAAAAGTCTCCCCCGGCTTATACTCAAGTCAATATTATTTATTATTTTACTTCATTGTTATTATTACATTTAATATTTTGTTGTTGTTGTTATTATTACATTTATTATTTTACTCTATTATTGTTATTGTTACATTTCTTATTTATTATAAATGTATTGTTACATTTATTATTGTTATTATTACATTTATTATTTATTAATTATTACATATATTATTTTATTATACATTTATTATTGTTACATTTATTACATTTATTATTATTATATACATTTATTATTGTTATGTTTATTATTTTACTCTATTTATTATTATTGAAGGACATGTAAGCATATTTACATTGAAGAAAGTTAGAATAATGGTTCAATCAGAGTCGGACAGTCTTATCTTGAATTACAGTTTTATGTAAATATTCAAAAACATTTAACCTACTGATGCCTACATTAACATAATTTTATTGGTATCTATTTTTATTTTGAAATTGACCCGTAAATGCTGCATTTCCCACCCTCGGCTTATACTCATGTTAATACATTTTCCCCAGTTTTTTGTGGTAAAATTAGGTATCTTGAATTACAGTTTTATGTAAATATTCAAAAACATTTAACCTACTGATGCCTAAATTAATGTAATTTTATTGGTATCTATTTTTATTTTGAAGTTGACCCCACCCTCGGAGTCAATACTCGAGTCAATACATTTTCCCAGTTTTTTTGTGGTAAAATTAGGTGCCTTGGCTTATATTCGGGTCAGGTTATAATCGAGTATATGTAGATTCATATTTCTCATGTGTAGACTCATATTATGCACTTGAACTGCATTATCTGACAGTGTAAAGTGGTGCACACTGCTTTGCCTGCTTTGAAGGAGGAAGTAGAGACTGCCTGCAGCTCAAGTCTGTACTTTTCCTCTGCTCTTGTCTCTGCCAGAACAGATGATAAGCATCTTTACTGCTAAATAAAAACAGAAACTTCCAATAAGCAGGTGGCTATTTAGTGAGCAAGATGGGGCTCCTGCCTTGCATGGACGGGATCGTTCTGTCCAAGTAACTCCTTCGGTAGAGGTATAAACAGCCACACTATTGCATGGCTGGGCTTTTTTTTGTAAGTTCTGTTATGTAAATACTCTTGTTAGCTACTTGGGAAGGTGAACCTCAGTAGAACCTCAACTTAAGAGCATCCCAACTTAAGAGCGATTTGAGTTAAGATCTCAGTTATGGAACAAATTACACTCTTAAGTCATGTCTCTGGGAGAAGGAGACAGGCCTATTTCTCTGGTTTGAGAAACAACAACAACAGCTTTATTTTTAAACCCCACCTCCATCTCCCCAAAGGGACTCGGGGCAGCTTACATAGGGACAAGCCTGGAAAAAAACATAGATTAAAACATGACGTGAGGTCATAAATGTAAATATACCTCAGGTTTAAAGCTGGGTCTGGGTTCCTAGTGTGTGTGTGTGTGTGTGTGTATATATATATATATCAGTGTTTCTCAACCTTCCTAATGCCGCAACCCCTTAATACAGTTCCTCATGTTGTGGTGACCCCCCCAACCATAACATTATTTTGCTACTTCATAACTGTAATTTTGCTCCTGTTATGAATCGTAATGTAATTATCTGATAAGCAGGATGTATTTTCATTCACAGGACCAAATTTGGCACAAATACCGATATGCCCAAATTTGAATAGTGGTGGGGTTGGTTGGGGAGGGGGGAATTGATTGATTTTGTCATTTGGGAGTTGTAGTTGCTGGGATTTATAGCTCATCTACAATCAAATGGCATTCTGAACTCCACCAACAATGGAATTGAACCAAACTTGGCACACAAAGAAACCAACAGAAAACACTGGAAGGGGTTAGTGGGCACTGACTTTGAGTTTGGAGTTGTAGTTCACCTACATCCAGACAGCACTGTGGACTCCAACAATGATGGATCTTGACCAAACCTGGCACAAATACTCAATATGCCCAAATGGGAACACTGGTGGAGTTTGAAGAAAATAGATCTTGACATTTGGGAGTTGTAGTTGTTGAGATTTATAGTTCACCTACAATCAAAGAGCATTCTGAACCCCACCAACAATCGAATTGGGCCAAACTTCCCACATAGAACCCCCATGACCAACGGAAAATACTGTGTTTTCTGATGGTCTTTGGTGACCCCTCTGACACTCCCTGGCGACCCCCGCAGGGGTCCCGACCCCCAGGTTGAGAACCACTGATATATACACACACACACACACACACACATACACACACACACATATCTATGTTTGTATACCTATATCACTATATATGCAAGTATGTATTTATGTATGTGGGTAGCGTATATATGTTCCTTTACATAATTCAGAAATTGCCATATGTAATGTCAAAAATTAACTGAATTTCTGTTTTCACCACAGTATGCCGGTCTAACAAAAGTCCTTGGATCTGCCTCACTTGCTCAAATGTCCACTGCGGAAGGTACAATGAATAATCTATACTGGGAGGTTGACAGTTCTTCCATGCTTCTCCTAATGGGTGGGATGTTCTACTCAAAAGCCGCACAATTGATTTGTGTTTATAAAGCTTTGTTTAGGAGGAGGACTTTTTCATGAGGAGGAGGAGGAGGGGGATGTGTGTCCTGCTTTGTCTCTAAAACAGAGACTCAAAGGGAATCACAATGAGAACAATACTTCTCACACCTGACTTCCTTTTATTTTCCCCCCTATAAGATATGTCAATGGCCATGCAAAGAAACATTACGAAGATGCCCAGGTTTCAGTCCCCAGTCAGAAGAAGATGGAAAAGCAGGAGAAAGTCCAACACACAGTATGCATGGATTGCAGTAGTTACAGCACATACTGGTACGTTGCTTTTTTCTCCAGTTGATTTTGCAGCATTTATTTGAATGTTGATGCCATTATATTGTGTGCGCTTGTGAGTTCTCTGATCCAGGCTCCTCAAGCTTTATTATGCGTTCAAACGTGAGGTCACTTATCTATAGTCTCAAAATCTCCATGTTGTACTGTGTGAATCTTATTTTCTTCTATTACATTCTGTAATATTATGATTTTTGTTCCTGGGTTACAAGTTTCCTAATTGGTTCTGTCATTAAAAATATGGAAAAAGTTTTAATTAACTGCAAACACTTTGTTTTTGCGGTTAGCATAAAAGGTTAAAAGTGGCAACCACAAAAATGAAGTTTCTGGAGTAGAACAACTAATTTCAAAGTAAGGACCACACAGTTAAACAGGAAATATAACACTTTCAAACCAGGAACAGTTTTTCCCCCCCAAATTTTGTTACATAGTATAATAGTAATACTTCAAGAGGTCATGTTAATAATAGTAATTGTTGCAACTCAGAGTAGGTTTCACCTACCAAACACCAGCACACCAGAGCTGTAGATTTTCTAGTTTATTGAGGAAAAGCAAAGTCAAAACATAGAGGAAGCAGTGCAAAGTTCCAAAGACAAAGGTCAAATGCAAAAACACAGTTCCCAAAATCCATAGGCAAAAACATGAAGCACAATCCTTTAGGCAATGACCAAACAAGAGTCCATGGTAAAACAGTGAACACACAAGATCCAAAATCCCAGATTCAGGAAGTCAAAAGCGTGCTGCTTAAAGCCAAGGTTAATTCCATAGAAGCTTGCATGGAAAGAGACATGTTGAACTGACAATTTCTCTTTGTTAGTCAGAGACCTAAATACCCTTAACACCCATGAAGGCATTGTGCTGACCTTTGACAGACTTGGCTTCTTTCTTACTAGCTGAGTAAGAACTCCTCCTGACCTTCCAATCTAAGCGTTCTTGCCTGCTCATTGATAATAATAATAATAATAATAATAAACCTTTATTTATACCCCGATACCATCTCCTGCAGGACTCTGTGTGGCTTACAAGAGGCCGAGCCCAAATACATCAATAAAACACAACGACAACAATACAACAATAAATAACTCATAACAAAGCAAAACAATAACAATAATATCACGACGCATTTAAAACCTGTGGAGGGCCAAATGTAATGATTAAAATTTTAAAATGCTGGGCATGTTCAAGAGAAATAGGATGGGTATTTTAGGAATAGGTGGGCACGCAGACCCTAAATCTCTCGTAAAGTGCATTTGGGACCTATTGCTTGGGATTCCTTATTCTGGGAAGGCACGTTTTCAAGCTCCTTCTAAAGATTGCGAATGTTGGGGCATGCCTGATGTCCTTGGGGAGGGAGTTCCAGAGTCGTGGAGCCACCACTGAAAGGGCCCTGTCCCTCGTCCCCACCAATTGCGCTTGCGATGCAGGTGGGATCGTGAGCAGGGCCTCTCCAGATGATCAAAGAGATCGTGTGGGTTTGTATACGGAAATGCGGTCCCGCATTTATTCACCTTCAGTGCTCTCCTTGTCAGTTTGGTCCAGCTGGACCAAATCACAGTGGGAAGGCTGAGTAGGCGAAGACAATTCCACCTGGCCGTTATCTGGCATTTTTTTCCCTTGAGAACTGACTTGCTGTCTCTCCTGCTGCACTGTCTTGAGACCGGCACCGGCCCAGAAATCTGAATCCCATCATCCTCTTCATCAGGGAACAATTCTGGCTCATCAGACCCTCAAGGTTCAGGTTCAGACTCAGAATCCAACTGAGCCACAACAGTAATAATACTTAAAGGGGTCCTGTTAACAATAGTAGTAGTAGTAGTAGTAGTAATAATAATAATACATCAAGATATTATACTACTACTACTAATAATAATAATAATAATAATCCTTTATTTGTACCCTGCTACCATCTCCCGAAGGACTCGGTGCGGCTTACAAGAGGCCGAGACCCAATACAACAATAAACAAGACAACAACAATACAGCAGTAAATAAAACTCAAGCAATAATATTAACAATAACAACATGATGCAATTAAAAACCGATATCATGTTAATAATAACAGTAATACTCCCAAGAGATCATGTTAATAATAGTAGTAATACTTCAAGAGGGCCTGTTAATAATAAGAATAAAAGTATTTATACTTCAAGAAGTCATGTCAATAATAATAATAATAATACTTCAAGAGGTCGCATTAACAATAAGCCCCATGATTCCGATCCAATCTGAGAGCTTTATGATAACAATGACTGTTTCTCTGCAGTTACCGCTGTGATGACTTTGTAGTCAACGACACCAAATTTGGCTTGGTGCAGAAAGTCCGAGAGCTGCTACAAAATTTGGAAAAGTGAGTGAAATGCATGCGTCTTCATCCGAAAATGTATAGGGATGGTGGGATTGGTCTCTGAACTATGCTCATCATCAAAAACAACAAACGCTCTTATTGGAATCCCTTGCCAAACAGCCTGTGATCAAGAAGACAGCTTTTTATTCCAGATTGGGAGTTTTCATTCTGACTTATTGGGGCAGACTCAAAAGCACGGCCTGATAATCAGTTTAATTTGGGAATAATTTGATCACATGGCTGCATTTGAAAACTTGCTCTGGCAATATGGGGATCTGTTTTGAGGTGACTTTCGTCTTGTAGCTGCCATGAAAAGGGGGGGGGGGACTTTTGTGGCATGTTAAACAAGACATTTTAAATGCTTGAATTTTATCTTGTAACTGGCATGAGAGAGAGAGGGGCGGGGGCTTGAATTCCTTAACATGTTTCTCTTTGAATTCCTTAACTTGCCGTAACAACCAATGTCTTCCTTACTCTCCAGCTCAGCTTTTACGGCAGACAGGCACAGGAAGAGGAAACTTCTGGAAAACTCTTCTCTCAACAGCAAATTGTTCAAAATAAATGTAGGTACACCATAATTATTATTGAGTAGCTCTCTTAAACTGAAAAGCATGATGATTCTGCTCCAGATAAATAATAATAATAATAATAATAATTATTATTATTATTATTATTATTTACCTTCCTCTCCTTTCAGCTAAAGGGAAGTCACAGCATCCTAATTCTGAAATGTATTCCATTTACAATCCCAGTAATTGTAGGAGTGCTTTTCTGAATTAACATTAGCTCCTATGGCTTCCTAATGCATTCTTGGGTGACATTTTCAAGCTTGGGAAATGCACACGCTTCCAATATTAATGACTTCTAACTATTTTGGCTAGTTTTGAATATCTGAATCATCAAATAGTTTAAAGTTTGTTAAAACATTCTCCAAAAATTTGTCTATTGATGTGTAATTACTCAGTATATTACGGTGTTAATTGTTTTTAAATAGTGTATGTTGTTAGTATTGAATTTTTGCTCTTGTTGTTAACCGCGTTGAGTCGCCTACGGGCTGAGAAACTGCGGTATACAAATAAAGTAAATAAATAAATAAAAATTTGAATCAAGTCTTTACAATAATAATAATAATAATAATAATAATAATAATAATAATAAACAAGCCATCAGAACAAATGCAATTAAGGCCAGGATTGAAAAATCAACAGATGACCCAAAATGCTGTGCAAGGAAGCTGATGAAACCATGGACCATCTCCTCAGCTGTTGCAAGAAAATCGCACAGCTCTGTGGCCTAGATGATTCATTGGAACTTATGTCACAAGAAGATCTTTTGGCACGGCACCCAGTGTATAATAATAACATTATTATTGTTGTTATTTATACCCCACTTTTTCTCTCCACGATGGAGAGAGTTAAATCAGCTGACATTAAAAGCATTTCAATACAATTTAAAATTGAAAAAGTATACAAATATTAGAATAGAATTAAATATCAAAGGTATGAACTAAATATTTTAAATTAAAAAGGTTAAAAAATAAAGGCTTTTTTTGCTAATTCCTGTCAAGTCAGTTTTGACTAATAGCAATTTGTTGGAATGAGTCCAAGGGTGCTTCCACACTGCGGAATTAGCACAGTTTTGACACTGTTAAGGAACTCTCGCGATAGAGCAGGCCTGGGCCCATTGGGGCCTCCCTCCAGGTGTTAGGAATTGTGGGAGTTGAAGTCCAAACACCTGGAGGGAGGGCCTAAGTGGGCCCAGGCGTGTAATAGAGCCTACACGTTGGGAATGCCTTGACGGTGACGGGGCAGCCCTTGCAGTGCTCCTTTTATGATGTGTCTGTGTTCCCTCCCCTCGCAGGGGAGCACTGCCACCGCTCTGTGCGCTACTGGCCTCCGGAACCTGGGAAACACCTGCTTCATGAATGCCATCCTCCAGTCGCTCAGGTAAGCTTGGGGGCTGAGTCTGGGTGGCCATCTACTTAGGAGGCTTTGGTGAGACTTTTCCCACCTGGGTGGGACTGGAGGGCCCAATGGGATCTAGTGAAACGCTGCGCTGCAACTTTCCCTCGTGGTTGAATGCGTCACAAAGGGAAACATTCTCCTATGACCCCTTTCCCTACCGCATACTTCTAGTTCCTGTTTTCCTTCCAACAGCAACATCCAGCAGTTCTGCTGCTACTTCAAGGAGCTGCCAGCGGTGGAGCTGCGGAACGGGAAGACGGCCGGGCGGATTACCTACCACACCCGCAGCCAAGGCGACAACGGCGTGTGAGTCCGTCCACAGGGGAATAATAATTATAATAATAATTTTTTAAAATGTTGTTCCTATAGAACCATAGAATTAAAGAGTTGGAAGATACCTCATGGGCCATCCAGTCCAACCCCCTGCCAAGAAGCAGGAATATTGCATTCAAATCACCCCTGACAGATGACCATCCAGCCTCTGTTTAAAAGCTTCCAAAGAAGGAGCCTCCACCACACTCCGGGGCAGAGAGTTCCACTGCTGAACGGCTCTCACAGTCAGGAAGTTCTTCCTCATGTTCAGATGGAATCTCCTTTCTTGTAGTTTGAAGCCATTGTTCCTTGTCCTAATCTCCATGGAAGCAGAAAACAAGCTTGCTCCCTCCTCCCTGTGGCTTCCTCTCACATATTTATACATAGCTATCATATCTCCTCTCATCCTTCTCTTCTTCAGGCTAAATATGCCCAGCTCCTTAATCCGCTCCTCATAGGGCTTGTTCTCCAGACCCTTGATCATTTTAGTCGCCCTCCTCTGGACACATTCCAGCTTGTCAATATCTCTCTTGAATTGTGGTGCCCAGAATTGGACACAATATTCCAGGTGTGGTCTAACCAAAGCGGAATAGAGCATGGGGAGCATTACTTCCCTAGATCTAGACACTAGGCTCCTATTGATGCAGGCCAAAATCCCATTGGCTTTTTTTGGTTTTTCTGGTTTGAAAGTGTTATCCCTGTTTCATTGTGGATTCCTTACTTTGAAAGGAGTTTTACTCCAGAAACTTCTTTGTTTTTGTGGCTCAATGACTGGCAAACTAGTGCCAAATGTACTATAGCAGAATGTCCATCCCACAAAGACAGAGTTTTGGCAGTTTAATAAACTTTCTTCATGTTTTAAAGATAGAAACCATTAGAAAATAATGATACTGATAACCCAGAAACAAAAATCATAGTGTTGTTATTGATGATGATGGTGGTGATGACGATAATGATAAACTATCTTTTCTATACATATAATAAAAATGAAAATTGTGTATGTGGCGAGGTGCCCACTCACACAGACAGCCTCCTGCCTCCACAAACAGTGCTAACCCACAGTGCTGAAGAGCCACCAAAAGCTCTCCCTCCAAGGACATTTCAGGTTACAGTGGGTGCCATGAACATGTCTATCAAACCCTGCCAATGTCCTCCCCAAATACCATACTATCCACCACCCATTTGGGGACAATTTCCTCCTAGACGTTATGTTTTTCCTCCAGAATGGACATCCCTGGATTCCTTGCTGTTTCCATTACTGTGGAATTTGATGACCTGCCCACTGCTTCTCCCTTAACCTTTTCCTACCCTCTCCTATGGCACACAGCAAACAGGAATTGACCAGCAACTGAGAGGATTGGGAAGAATTCACCATGATTTATAGGAGTTGTAGTTCACCTACATCCAGAAACCACTGCGAATGCAACCAACAATGGATCTGGACCACGCTTGTCACGGATGATGGGATTTGCAATACTTCCACTCACTTCTGGAGACCACTGTGACCCCCCACGAATGACGCACCTGGACCAAACGTGCCACACAGATTCTCCATGACATACTTTACATCCTGGTGAGTTTTGGGAGAGATTGGACGAGGGACGATGGGAATTGCCTTCACCTGTTTCACAGAGCACTGCGACCCTCAGAAATGACAGGCCTAAACCAAACTTGGGACACAAATCCCTCATGTCCAACAGGAGGGGATTGGGGAACTCACCCACTTGGAAGTTGTAGTTCACCCTGCACCCAGAGCACTCTGAACCCCACCAATGATGAATTTGGACCAAACTTCGAACACAGAACCCTGGTGACCAACAGAACATACCGAATGTGTTTGTGGAGGGACCGACCTACCCACGTGGGAGCTGTAGTTCATCTTGCACCCAGAGCACTCTGAAGCCCACCAATGATGGATCTCGACCAAACATGATACATAGGAACCATGGTGACGGACAGAACGTACTTGTAAGAATTTGGAGAGGTTGGGGAGGGAATGGCCCACCTGCAAGGGAGTTGTAGTTCAACCTGCATCCAGAGCACTCTGAACCCTCTGTGTGTATATCAATAAGGAAAAGTGGGAAAGACGGTGGGAAATAAGGACTGGAAATGGGAAAAGACTGCATCCTGGCCCCTCTACTATTTAACTTCTACATCAACTCCATAGCGGACTGTTTTCACAACATGAATTTCCACCCCCCAAAACTTGCAGCAAGACATACTTCCACCTTACTTTATGCAGATGATGCGGAACACCCATTGGCCTTAAAAGAGCACGGAGAGGACTAACAAAATGCCGCAAAGCAGATCAGCTCCAACTTAATTATAAGAAAACCAAAAACATGGCATTTGCCAAAAGACCCAAGAGTCATGCCTGGAGCACAGACAGACAGACAGACATAAAACTGAGCAGGTCTCATGTTGCAAATATCTGGGAGTAGTCCTCCAATCCAACAGTAGCAGAAGTTTTTGAAGTTTAATAAACTTTCCCCATGTTTTTTTGTGATAGGATTTTTATGATCCTTTAGGAAATGGTGAGATTGATAACCTAGGAACAAAAAGTTCCGACGTGTGATCCGACGTGTGATCCGACGTGTGATCCAATTCAACCTCCAGCAGAGTGTCTGCGGTGGACTCATCTTGTTGTGTTTCAAATAATAATGATAATAATCTATATAAATAAAAATGTAATGTTCGTTTGTGGGATTAACAGAACTCAAAAACCACTGGACGAATTGACACCAAATTTGGACACAGGACACCTAACAGCCCAATGTATGCCCTTCACTAAAAAAAAATCCTTTTGTCATTTGGGAGTTGTAGTTGCTGAGATTTATAGGTCACCTACAATCAAAGAGCATTCTGAACTCCACCAACGATGGAATTGAACCAAACTTGGCACACAGAACTCCCATGACCAACAGAAAATACTGGAAGGGTTTGGTGGGCAGTGTCCTTTGGTTTTTGGAGTTGTAGTTCACCTACATCCAGAGAGCACTGTGGACTCAAACAATGATGGATCTGGACCAAACTCTACACAAATACTCAATATGCCCAAATGTGAACACTGGTGGAGTTTGGAAAAGTAGAATCTTGACATTTTGGAGTTGTAGTTGCTGGGAATTATAGTTCACCTACAATCACAGAGCATTCTGAACCCCACCAACAACAGAATTGGGCCAAACCTCCCACACAGAACCCCTATGTGGGCCACAGCAATGCGTGGCAGGCGACGGCTAGTGGTGTAATAATTATGCAATCTAATATGTAATATGAATGTAATTTTCCTACTTCTTGGCAGATGAGGTTGGACTGGATGGCCCACGAGGTCTCCTCCAACTCAATGATTCTATGATTCTGTGATTATTATGAGGCATTTATCATCATCATCATCATTGTAATTTTGAAGTTATGATAAAAAAACAAAGTGTTTGCAGTTTAATAATTTTTTTTCCATAAATTGATTTATGATTAGGGAATAATATTTATAACCTAGGAACAAAAATCATAGTGTAATCTGTGCCTGGTGAAAAGGCAAACCAGGCTGCCTGGGGATGGGCCTTCTTACAATGGATGTTTGTATGTATTTTTTCCCAGTTCCTTGGTGGAAGAGTTCCGGAAGACGCTGTGCGCCCTGTGGCAGGGGAGCCAGGCCGCCTTCAGCCCCGAGTCGCTCTTCTACGTCATTTGGAAGATCATGCCCAACTTCCGGTAATGCTAATAATAATAATAATAATATTAATAATAATAATAATAATAATAGGTTTGTTGGGGTGTTGTGTGTGGTTTTCAGTGATTCCAGCCTTGAAAGCAGGGAGCCCCTGGTGGCGCAGTGGGTTAAACCCCTGTGCCGGCAGGACTGAAGACTGACAGGCTGCAGGTTCGAATCCGGGGAAAGGTGGATGAGCTCCCTCTATCAGTTCCAGCTCCTCATGTGGGGACATGAGAAAAGCCTCCCACATGGATGATAAAAAAATCAAATCATCCAGGCGTCCCCTGGGCAACGTCCTTGCAGACGGCCAATTCTCTCACACTAGAAGCGACTTGCAGTTTCTCAAGTCACTTCTGAGACGACAAAAAAAATATAGAGGAAACAAACAAGGACATCTAATCACCTCTCAACAAAAGTTTGCTCTAGGCACTGTCAGGCCATTATATGCTAATCAAGGTGGTCAGTTGAAACATTCACACCTAGCCCCAGCAGACAAGAGTCCTTTGTCTCACCCTGGTCATTCCACAGAGATATAAACCCCTTTTCCTAGTTCCAACAGACCTCACTACTTCTGAGGATGCTTGCCATAGATGCAGGCGAAACATCAGGAAATAATGCCTCTAGACCATGGCCATATAGCCCAAAAAAACCTACAACAACCCAATTTTGGGTCTATTAGTAAGTTTCCACAGGATGTTATTACGTGCAGCTACTTTGTGCTTGGTGTTCATACAGTGTTTCCTGAATATTACTATTTGATCTAAGGTGACACTGAGATATTTAGGATGGAAACAGTGTTCGATCTCTTGGCCTTCCCAGGTAACTTTCAATGTTCTGTTGGCTTCACAGTTCCATAGGTGGAAAGCACACACTTGTGTCTCAGCAGGGTCAGGCTTCAGGTCATTCTCTTTGTAGTTACCGGAGAGATCTTTCAGGGCATTCGGAAGTTGGTTTTCGTCTGTTTCAACACCTTTTGCTTGGGTTCTCAGGCCAAGGTCATCAGCATATATAAAACTCTTTGGGAGTGGCAGCTGTGACTGGTTGTTAGTAAAGATATTAAACAATTTCACATGTTTAAAAGCAATGCTTTTGGGTTTGGAAAGATTAGCCGTTTACAAGAAATGTTGCCCAGGAGATGCCCAACTGTATTTACTCAGACTTAGAGGAGGCTCTTTCCATGGTGATATTATTATTAATATTATTTTTAATCAGAGGCTGGATGGGCGTCTGTTGGGATGGCTTGAGTGGCGCCTTATTGGTGGGAGATTAGAATAGAATTCTAAGCATGGAAGAGACTCCAAGGGTCATCCAGTCCAACCCCCTCCCCCGAGGGCCATGAGGTCCAACCTCCCACCAATAAGGCGCCACTCAAGCCATCCCAACAGACGCCCATCCCAACAGACGCTCATGGCCCTCGGGGGAGGGGGTTGGACTGGATGACCCTTGGAGATATAGACAGACAGTCAGAGGCTATTTAACTTTTCTGGCCGCCAGGGGAGCTGTCGCTTTTATCGTCCATCTGTGACACTGATGAAGTACTTCCGCATTCCCCGCATGCTTTTGCTGGAGTCTTTTTTATGGCCTCATAAATTAGCCTCCCACACATAGGTGGTACCTAATTTTCCTACTTGACAGATGCAACTGTCTTTTGGGTTGCAAAGGTCGACAACAAGCTACACAATTGGTTGGAAGCTCACTCCGACCCGGGCTAGCTTCGAACTCATGACCTTTTGGTCAGAAGTGATCTTAATGCAGCTGTGCCACAGTCCCGGTGCTTATTGTTAAGCAGAGGCTGGATGGCCATATGTCAGGAGGGCTTGGATTGTGTCTTCCAGACTGGCAGAAGACAAATCATAGAATCATAGAATCAAAGAGTTGGAAGAGACCTCATGGGCCATCCAGTCCAACCCCATTCTGCCAAGAAGCAGGAATATTGCATTCAAATCACCCCTGACAAATGGCCATCCAGCCTCTGCTTAAAAGCTTCCAAAGAAGGAGCCTCCACCACACTCCGGGGCAGAGAGTTCCACTGCTGAATGGCTCTCACAGTCAGGAAGTTCTTCCTAATGTTCAGATGGAATCTCCTCTCTTGTAGTTTGAAGCCATTGTTCCGTGTCCTAGTTTCCAAGGAAGCAGAAAATAAGCTTGCTCCCTCCTCCCTGTGGCTTCCTCTTACATATTTATACATGGCTATCATATCTCCTCTCAGCCTTCTCTGAGAGAAGGACTTGGACTTGGAATTTCTTCCAAATCTAGGATTCTATTCTATTCATGTTACTAAGCAGAGGCTGGGTGGGCATCTGTTGGGGCGCTTTCATGGTGCTTTTCCTGCATGAAGGAAGAAAGAAGGTTGGACTGGATGTCCTTTGGGGGTCCCTTCCAAGTCTCGGTTTCTGTGCTTCTGTGATGATGATGATGGCAATGGTGGCTATCTGTTGGGAGGGCTTGGATTGTGCTTTTCCTGCCTGGAAGAAGGAAGGGGGCTGGACTGGGTGGCCTTTGGGTGGCAACGCTTATGCCAGACCTGGGTGAACTTGAGCTCTCCAGGTGTTTTGCACTCCCAACTCCCACAGTTCCTAACAGCATACTAGCTGTTAGGAATTGTGGGAGTTGGAGTCCAAAACACCTGGAGGGAGGGCTCAAGTTGGCCCAGGCCTAGTTTGGCTGCCAGGCCCCACCTGTAAACATACCTTTCCCTCCTGCAGGGGCTACCAACAGCAGGACGCCCACGAGTTCATGCGCTACCTGCTGGACCACCTGCACCGGGAGCTGCAGGGCGGCTTCAACGGCGTCTCCCGCTCCTCCACCTTCTCGGGACTCTCTGCCGGGAGCCGCTGCTGCATGTAAGTCAGGAATGAATCCTGACCCTGCCAATTTCTTCTCTGCTATTCAATAGCATTGGTAAAGGTGACCCATCAAACTTCAGGCAATAAGAATGATACCTGGTTATAGAGCCCTCTGCTCTCCAGCGTGATCTAGAGTCACTTTTCCCCAAGTGTGGAAATGTATATTCCTTTACTATCCACCTCAGAAGGGTTTCTTGGCTGGGTATTGTTCTTAATTTGAGCAGCTTCATTCCTTTTCTTTTTTAAAAAAATCTCATAATAATAATAATAATACTTTTTTATTGGAAGGGGTAAAAACGTAATACAAACAATAATAAAATAAGGAAACAAATTACAGTGATGGAGGTTCTGTAGGTTTGTTCTTAAGTTTAGTTTGTGTGTAAGTTGGGATATTTTGTAACTCCATGCCTTTTCTTTTAAAAAAAATTCTTTTAATAATAATAATTTCTATTGGAAGGAAAAAAACCAATACAAACATTAATAAAAAATAAGCCAACAAATTACATAGTCACATTTTTTATGAAGAAGCGATACATTGACCTTCTGATGTGGGCCTGGGCCAACTTCGGCTCTCCATGTGTTTTGGACATGTGTTTTGGACTTCATCTCCCACAATTCCTAACAGTTTACTGGCTGTTAGGAATTGTAGGAGTTGGAGTCCAAGACATCTGGAGGGCTGAAGTTGGCCCATACTTTCGTTAGACATTCAAATCTAACTTTAAATTGGAATGAAGGGGGGGGGGAATCAGTTTCAAATTGTTCTGCGACTCTTATGCGAGGAACACAAAATTACCAATCTTGCCCCCCCAAAATAGAGGTGCGATTATTATGTGATGAAATACAGTTAATCTGTCAGTTAACTTGCTTTGTGACTCGCTGTTAGGAATTGTGGGAGTTAAAACCCAAAACACTTGGAGGATAAAGGTTTGCTTGTGCATGTGTTAGACCAGGGGTCCTCAAGCTAAGGCCCGGGAGCCGAATACGGCCCCCCAAGGTCATTTACCCGGCCCTCGCTCAGGGTCAACCGAAGTCTGAAACAACTTGAAAGCACACAACAACAACAACAACAACAACCCTATCTCATCAGCCAAAAGAAGGACCACACTTCCCATTCAAATACTCATAAGTTTATATTTGTTAAAATTGTTCTTCGTTTTAATTATTGTATTGTTTTGAAATGTTTTGCACTACAAATAAGATATGTCCATAGGAATTTGTTACTTTTTTTCAAATTATAATCCGGCCCTCCAACAGTTTGAGGGACTGTGACCTGGCCCTCTGTTTAGAAAGTTTGAGGACCCCTGTGTTAGACATTCAAATATAACTTTCAGTTGAAAGGAAGGAAAGAAGGGTCCTCAATGGCTCTGCGACTCTTATGCGAAGAACACAAAAACACCAATCTTCCCACCTCTTGAAAATGGGAATGCGACTATTATGCGATGAAATACAATTACAATTTCTTGTTGTCTAGAAACGGCACCTCGACCGTCGTCACGGCCATCTTTGGTGGCATCCTCCAGAACGAAGTCAACTGCTTGATATGCGGGACCGAATCCAGAAAGTTCGACCCATTCCTAGGTCAGCAGGGGTAACGTTTATTAAAACTTGAAAAGTAGATATATATATCCTTAACATTATATAATTCATGTCACAATTGCAAACTCATGTTGGATCCTTCTGCTGTATTTTTTAAAGACCTTTCGCTAGATATTCCAAGTCAATTCAGAAATAAACGTAGCAAGAACCAAGAAAATGGACCAACGTGTACATTACGAGGTACGTTCTTTAAATAAATAAATTATTATTGTTATATTTATTTACAACCTGCTTTATCTCTCCAAAAGGAGACTCGCAGCAGCTTAACATAAAAGCATCAGCATACAATTTAAAATATACAAATATGCAAACATTAAAACGGAATTAAATATGCACAATATTTTTTAAAAATATATTTTATTGTTTTACTTATTTATATTTTGCTTTCTCTCTTCATAAGGAGACCCAAAGCAGCTCACAATTAAAAAAATTGCAATACAACTTCAAATATAAAAATATACAATAATAAAACAGTATTACATTCACAGTTAAAATCTATTAAAACATATTCAAAGTAAAAAACAATTCAATTTCTTTTGTTTTCTTTGCAATTAACCCTTTTTATTTAATTTAATGTATATGTTTTATTATGTTCATATATTCTGACTTTGTTGTACACAGCCTCAAGCCATTAGGAGAGACGGGAAACAAATGAAATTTATTATTATTACTTTACTGACACAAAAGCACAGTATGTCACAGCAAACGAGATTGATATGCTGGATTTCGTATCACAAAATCACAAGTCGAACACTTCCCTGTTCTGGTTTATGCCAGAGCCTTTGCAGTTCGATTTTGAGGTCCTGATAACGGCTGAGTTTTTCCTATTTTCCTCAATGCGACTGTCACCTGGTATGGCGACATCAATAATCTAAACTTTCTTCTTTTTCACAATTGTGATGTCTGGCATATTGTGTTCCAAAACTTTGTCAGTCTGGATTCAAAAGTCCAATAGTATTTTTGTGTTTTCCTTTTCCACTACTTTTACAAGTTAATGATCCCACCAGTTCTTTACTACTGGTGGTACTTGTGACATAAGTTCCAATGAATCATTTGAACCACAGAGTTGTGCCTTTGTTTGTAGTCCGTCTGTGCGATTTTCTTGCAGCAGTTGAGGAGATGGTCCATGGTTTCATCAGCTTCCTTGCACAGTCTGCATTTTGGGTCATCAGCTGATTTTTCAATCCTTGCCTTAATGGCATTTGTTCTAATGGCTTGCTCCTGGGCTGCAAGAATCAGGCCTTCTTCTGTCTCCTTCTTCAGGATTCCATTCGTGAGCCATAACCAGGTCTTCTTATCAACTATTCCTTCAATTTTGTCAAGGAACTGCCCATGCCATGCTTTGTTGTGCCAGCTGTCAGTTCTGGTTTGTAGTGCAGTTTTCTTGTACTGACTCTTTGTCTGCTGTGCTTTGAGACGTTTCCGATTATTGACTTCAATTAAAGCAGGTTCTTGGCTTTCCTTGACATATTCTGCCAGGGCGTCTTTTTCTTCTTCGACTGCTTGTTTTACTTGTAAAAGTCCTCTGCCACAAGACTTTCTAGGCAGATAGAGCCGGTCAACATCGTTGCGAGGATGTAGTGAATTATGAATGGTCATGAGTTTTCTTGTTTTTCTGTCCAAATTGTCCAGTTCTGCCTGCGTCCAGTTTATGATGTCACCAGTATATCTTATGACAGGTATGGCTTAGGTTTTTATGGCCTTGATGGTATTGCCTCCATTGAGCTTGCTTTTGAGAACTTTTTTGACCCTTTGAATGTATTCTTTGCTGAGCACAGTTTTCACATGTTCATGTTTGATGCTGTCCAGCTGTAGTATGCCCAGATATTTATAAGCCTCTGGGTGGTGATACTTCAGCGCTTGGCCATTGGGCATATTTATGCCCTCACTTTCAATGATTTTTCCCTTCTTCAGTGCCACTGTCGAACATTTGTCCAAATCAAACACCATGTTGATACCAGTGCTAAAGATTTGGACAGTGTTAATCAGAGATTGGATTTCAGTTTCGGTTTTCCCATACAGCTTCAGGTCGTCCATGTACAACAGATGTGAAACTTGGGAGATTTCTTAGATGTTTGATAGCCGAGGTTTGTGTTTTGTAAGGTTGTTGACAGAGGGATCATGGCAATGATGAAAAGCAGTGGGGACAATGAGTCTCCCTGGAAGATTCCTCTCCTGATGTTGACAAGTCCATACCTTTCATTTCCAACAAACAGTATGCTTCATCATATTTTCAATAAAAGTGCCAACGTTTTTACAAATCCCGATGGTGTCTAGGCACTTGATCCAACTGTGTGGGAGTGAGACAAAGGCTTTTTTTTTTGTAGTCAATCCATGTCATGTGAAGATTAGCTTTTCGGCTTTTGTGATTCTCCAGAATCATTTTGTCAATTAATAACTGGTATTTTGCGCCCCTGCTTTTCCATTTTTATTATTATTATTATTATTATTATTATTTTACAATTTAATTCCAGAAATTTCACCCAAACCCATAGGCGTCCTACAGAGAAGAATAAACGGATGAATTTACAAACAAAACATTTACAAACACATAAATAAATTGAAGTTGTATATTTTTTTCCACAGTAAAAGTTTAGCTGATTGTTGCGTAGCATAGTTCAATAACTGATTTCTTTTAAATACTAATACTGTCTGTCTAATACTGTTTTAGTATTTTTATATTTTAAATTACATTATAATTCTTTTAATGTAAGCCTCTTTGAGTCTCCTTGTGGAGAGAAAAAGCAGTATATAAATAGATATAATAATAATAATAATGTTTCGCAATATTATTATTGTAAATACTAGTAATAATAAATAATAAATAATAAAAAGCATCCTAAGCTATCACTCCTACACAGAAAGAATATACCTTCAAAAACTTAAATAGCAAGGGAATTCATTCATTGTATTGCTATATATATATTACATATTAAATGCATTCAAGCTCCAAATGTGGTTCCAGTGTTGCAGAATCTATCTATGCTAAGTCTGAGAAGGATGGATAGAATGTAATATCCCTTCAAGTGAAATTTGGAATAGGCTGTACCCATATCTCTAAAGATTTGATATTGCGATTCTATAAAAATGCTCTCTAGAGCTGTGCATGGCTAGAAATGTATTATTATTATTACTATTAATGGGACAGGAAGGATCATTCGATGTCTGAGTATAAAAGTGCAAACAAGGTGTTTCTAATCCTCTCGTTCTGAACTGGGTTCTAGATTGCCTCCGTAGTTTCACGGACCTGGAAGAACTTGACGAGACAGAGCTCTACATGTGCCACAAATGTAAAAAGAAGCAGAAGTCCACCAAGAAGTTCTGGATCCAGAAACTACCAAAGGTGAGGCATTGAGACTGGTGGACATTGTGAATGTTTTTATGAATTTCTGCAAATATTTTTTGATTATTTTTGTGAATATTTCTGAGAATATTTTGTGAATATATTTATGGTATTTTGTGATTTTTTGTGAATATTTCTGCAAATATTGTTATGATAATTTTTTGCGATTTTTAAAAAATATATTTTTCAAAATCTGGATGGCTGTCAGTTGAAGCAGGTGTCAATTGAATCCAGGGAAGGTGCTTTAAGCAATGGCCACTCTATCTGCATTGTGTGCTCACATAATGGCCTTCAGCCTGGTGACCCCGGGGAAGGCTTTCTGAAACCTTTGCAAATAGATATGATGAGGAGAACTGTCTTGTGGAATTGGTTCAATTGGTTCAATCGACTCCAAAATTAAAAGACCAGGAATTAAAAGACCAGGGCTGCAAAATTAAAAAAGCAGGAAGACCGAATTGAACTTGCCAAAAACCAACAGGCAACCATCATAAGTGCCTATGCACCAACACTAGTTGCTGATGAAGACATCAAGGAAAATTTTTACTGTCAGCTGGACACCGTCCTATTGGAGATACCTAAGGAGGACAAAATCATCCTCCTGGAGGATGCAAGAGTCGGACGAGACTTCGACCTGTGGCCAGGGACCATAAGAAAAGACGGGGCTGGAAACAGCAACTCGAATGGCATCCTGCTTCTCAGCAAATGTGCAGAACACAACCTTGTCATCACCAACACGCTCTTCCACCAGAAAAACAAGTTCAAGACATCATGGAAGCACTCCCGGTCAAAGCATTGGCATTACACGTACTTGTGGCGTGCTTCTCACAAGAGCCACAGGCTAATCCAATCCACAATGGCTATCAAGATCACCCCCAAGCGCAGACTCCAAGGAAGAAAGACAAGGCGCAAGTTGAACACCCAAGCCCTTCAGGAGCCCTCCAAACAAGCCCTTCTCCAAAAAGCACTCAAGGACCATCTACACATAGAACATGTTGAGAAACATTGGAAGAAACTGAAGACCTCTATCATCACAGCCTGTGAAGAAACTATTGGATACCAAACCAAGAAACATCAAGATTGGTTTGACGAAAATGACGAGATACAACAGCTAATTGACAATAAAAGGAAAGCCTTCCCAACATGGCAGAGAGACATCAACTGTGCTGCTAAGAAAAAGACCTACACCAGTGCAAAAGCTGAGGTCCAAAGAAGGACAAGTGAACTAAAGAACATCTGGTGGACAAAGAAGGCTGAAGCAGTTCAACACCTGGCAGATACCCATGATGCTCAGGGATTTTTCAAAGCCACAAAGGTCATCTATGGTCCAAGAAACCATGGCATACAGCCTCTACGTTCATCAGATGGAAAGAAAATTTGTGCCAAGCCCCCTCGCCCGCCTCGCGGTTGTCGGGACCCCTAAGCCGGTCGCAAGACCATCTGTTGACCATGGGGCTTCTGTGTGTTAAGTTTGGCTCAATTTTATCATTGGTGGGGTTCAGAATGCTCTTTGATTGCAGGTGAACTGTTAATCCCAGCAGCTATAGCTCCCAAATGTCAAGGTCTATTTTCACCAAACTCCACCACTGTTCACATTTGGCCATATTGAGCATTCATGCCAAGTTTGGTCCAGATTGATCATTGTTTGAGTCCACAGTGCTTCTCTGGATGTAGGTGAACTACAACTCCAAAACTCAATGCCCATAAAATCCTTTCAGTATTTTCTATTTGGAATGGAGTTCTATATGCCAAGTTTAGTTCAGTTTCATCATTAGTGGAGTTCTGAATTCTCTTTGATTGTAGGTGCACTATAAATCCCATCAACTACAACTCCCAAATGACAAAATACCCCCCCCCCCCCCCCCCCCCCCCCCAACCCCAGCAGTATTCAAATTTGGGCCTATCGGGCATTTGTGATAAATTTAGTTCAATGAATGAAAATACAACCTGCATATCAGATATTGACAATATGATTCATAACAGGAGCGACATTATAATTATGAAGTAGCAAAGAAAATAATGTTATGGTTGGGGGTCACCACAACATGAGGAACTGTATTTAGGGGTCATGGCATTAGAAAGGTTGAGAACCACTGCTGTATATGGTACGGAAACCTGAAAAAATGCACAAAATAGTGTAGATTTTTACAAAGAGACAGAACTTCCAATCCCGAGTATATCGAAGCTATCAAATAGAAGAATTGGGGAAGGCAGAAATGTTAGCCAGGTAAGCGGTACAGGGTTGAAACATGATTCTGGGACAGATTAAAGCAGGACCAGAAAAAGGAAGACAACTCTTTGCAGGCAGCATCTGTCCCGCGGGCCACATGTTGTGCTGGGTCTGCATTCAGGGGTGGCCTCCCTCCTCCCTCTTGTGCCCCAGGTGCTGTGCTTGCATCTGAAGCGCTTCCACTGGACCGCCTACCTGAGGAACAAAGTGGACACCTACGTGGAGTTCCCCCTGCGAGGCCTAGACATGAAGTGCTACCTGCTGGAGGTAATGAATGTAATTAATGCAAGTGTGGTGCCGGGCCTCAACTTCTGGTGGAGCCTCATGGTGTTTTCTCCTCATCTCCTTCCCAAATTCCAGCCCGAAAACAGTGGACCGGAAAACTGCCTCTACGACCTGGCAGCTGTGGTGGTGCATCACGGTTCGGGGTAAGTATGATAACAACAACAACAACTGTAATAGTAATGCAACAATGCAGAATAATAGCGCAGAATAATAATAATTTGTAATAATAATAATAATAATAATAATACTATCTCCCTGAGTGGACTCAGGACAGCATCCAAGCAAAAAGGCAAATGCCTTGGTGATGAACAAACACAATTTAAAACAGGAGAAAGTAACATCATTATAAATTCTTAAATTATTAAACAAGAAAATCTAATTAATAATTAAATAATATAATTATCTAAACAAACATATAAGATCCATAAAAACCAGTACTACTGAAATGCCTAAAAAAAGGTAAAACAATTTGAAATGATTTATAGCAGCCTGTAGGGTCGAACTAAAATTGCCAAACTGTCAGTAAGGTTGTCATTACGATGTCCTATTATTATTATTATTATTATTATTATTATTACTATTACTATTATTATTATTATAACAGACATGTGCTTTTCATCTCAAGAACAGACAAGCATCCCGAGCTCTGACAGACATTTGCATTACATTTTTAACAAAACAAACAAACAAACAGACAAAACACAAAGTTTGCAAGCTTGGTAGTTGATTAAATGTCCTTTGACTAGTATCTGGCCACTTGGAGTGCCTCTGGTGTTGCCGCAAGGAGGTCCTCCATTGTGCATGTGGCAGGGCTCAGGTTGCATTGCAGCAGGTGGTCAGTGGTTTGCTCTTCTCCACACTCGCATGTCGTGGATTCCACTTTGTGGCCCCATTTCTTAAGGTTGGCTCTGCATCTCGTGGTGCCAGAGCGCAGTCTGTTCGGCGCCTTCCAAGTCGCCCAGTCTTCTGTGTGCCCAGGGGGGAGTCTCTCATTTGGTATCAGCCATTGATTGAGGTTCTGGGTTTGAGCCTGCCACTTTTGGACTCTCGCTTGCTGAGGTGTTCCAGCGAGTGTCTCTGTAGATCTTAGAAAACTATTTCTTGATTTAAGTCGTTGACGTGCTGGCTGATACCCGAACAAGGGATGAGCTGGAGATGTCTCTGCCTTGGTCCTTTCACTATTGGCTGCTACTTCCCGGCGGATGTCAGGTGGTGCAATACCGGCTAAGCAGTGTAATTTCTCCAGTGGTGTAGGGCGCAGACACCCTTTGATAATGCGGCATGTCTCATTAAGAGCCACATCCACTGTTTTAGTGTGGTGAGATGTGTTCCACACTGGGCATGCATACTCAGCAGCAGAGTAGCATAGCGCAAGGGCAGATGTCTTCACTGTGTCTGGTTGTGATCCCCATGTTGTGCCAGTCAGCTTTCGTATGATATTGTTTCTAGCACCCACTTTTTGCTTGATATTCAGGCAGTGCTTCTTGTAGGTAAGAGCACGGTCCAGAGTGACTCCCAGGGGTTTTGTTGCACTGCAATGCTCCAGTGGGATTCCTTCCCAGGTCATCCTCAGAGCTCGGGATGCTTGTCTGTTCTTGAGATGAAAAGCACATGTCTGTGTTTTAGATGGGTTAGGGATCAGCTGGTTTTCCCTGTAATAGGCAGTAAGGGCACCTAGAGCTTTGGAGAGCTTCTGTTCTACCATCTCAAAGCTCCCTGCTTGAGCAGTAATGGCACGATCATCAGCATAGATGAAACTCTCTGTCCCTTCTGGCAGTGGCTGGTCATTTGTGTAGATGTTGAACATGGATGGAGCAAGCACGCTCCCCTGAGGCAGGCCGTTCTTCTGTTTCCGCCATCTGCTTCTCTGGCTCTGGAACTCAACAAAAAAGCTCCTGTTTTGTAGCAGGTTTCCTATGAGGCAGATGATGTGATAGTCCTTTGTGATATTATACATTTTTCTCAGGAGGAGGTGGTGATTCACAGTATCATAAGCTGTTGAATAATAGTAATAATAGAATAGCCCCGGCTGAATAATAGTAATAATAATAATAGAATCCTAGAGTTGGAAGGGACCCCACAGGCCGTCCAGTCCAACCTCCTTCCATAAGAGATGCCCATCTAGCTCCTGCCTAACCATCATTATCATATAGAGTCCTAGGGTTGGAGAGGACTCCCAGGGGCCATCCAGTCCATCCCATCTGATTACCCCCCCTTCCTCCCTCCCGTGTTTTCAGGGTGGGCTCCGGCCACTACACAGCGTATGCAACGCATGAGGGACGTTGGTTCCACTTCAACGACAGCACGGTGACACTGACAGACGAGGAGACGGTGCTGCGGGCCAAGGCCTACATCCTCTTCTATGTGGATCGGCGGCGGCAGCAGCAGCAGACAGCCAAGGCCGGCCCCGAGAAACTTTAATAACAACAATAACAATACCTCCTCCTCCTCCTCCTTTCGCCCGACTTTGGCATATCAAGGTCCCGCTCTTCCTCCGGAAAGAAACATTTCCAGTTCTCTGCAGATACTTGATCCGAGACTCTTGGTTGCATTCATCGTGCACTTTTCAGATTGTATTTTCTTCTTCCTCTTCCTTCTTTCTTGTAGTTTTCCTTTGTCAGTAGGGTTTGTTATATGAAAAAACGGACACTTGGAGAAAGAAAGAGAGAGAAAAAGAAAGAGAAAAACAAAGGACGCCTCGGCCGTTGTTTCCGATTTGCTCATTTAACTTGGGTTTTTTTTTTTTACATATATGCCTGGTTTCTGAGCGCTCTTTCCGTTGTTTTTGACTTTTGTATTCTGATGTTGTTCCCGTTTTGGCTTTTTTAAAGGCACATTTACATCAGAGTCATTTGAATTCTTCTCATTCCGAAACGGCCCCTCTCTCCCTCAATCTCGGTTTGGCAAAACTCCCTCGGCCTTAATGCAAGCCGTGCCATCCCTGCTGCTTTTGTTTTGGGAGGCCGCTCCCTTCCGTTATTTTGTGGATGTCTTAGAGAAGTGGCATCAGAATACAGTTCCTTCTTCTGATGATGAAAAAGAGACTCTTGTACAGCACTTAAGGCAAGGATAAAAGGCAAGTCCTTCCGTTGGCTTTGCATTTGGGAATGAGGTTCATTCCGATGGCAGCGAGCAGAGGCTGTGGTTGCCGTTAAGCTGGAATGAGCCATAAGAGAAAGGTCTTGAAAGAGGTTTATATTAACGTAACATTCTGTAGCGCTTCCGTTGTTAAGACGCCATTGAGTGTAATTTCAGTACCACTGCCACCAGCAAAAAAATATACCTGCATTCCTAAGATGTATTGTCGAAGGCTTTCATGGCCGGAATCACTGGGTTGTAGGTTTTTTCGGGCTATATGGCCATATTCTAAAGGCATTGTCTCCTGATGTTTCGCCTGCATCTATGGCAAGCATCCTCAGAGGTAGTGGAGTCTGTTGGAAGTAGGAAAAAGGGTTTATATCTCTGTGGAATGACCAGGGTGGGACAAAGGACTCTTGTCTGCTGGAGCTAAGTGTGAATGTTTCAACTGACCATCTTGATTAGCATATAATATAATGACCACCTTGATTAGCATATAAAAGTTTGCTCCTGACAGTGCCTGGAGCAAACTTTTGTTGAGAGGTGATTAGATGTCCTTGTTTGTTTCCTCTCTGTTGTTGTGCTGAGAAATCAGCCATAGCTGAGCACCTGATGAACCAACCAAGACACAGCATTTTATTTGAGAACACGGAAATGCTGGACCACTCTCACAACCACCATGTCAGACTACACAGAGAAGCCATTGAAATCCACAAGCATGTGGACAATTTCAACAGAAAGGAGGAAACCATGAAAATGAACAGGTAGAGGACGAAGAGCCGGTGGTTGCGTTCCCCGACGCAGTTCTCAATCCACGGGCTACAAGTATTAAAAAGCTCTAAAACAGGTCCTCAAACCAAGGTCATTTACCCGGCCCTCGCTCAGGGTCAACCTAAGTCTGAAACAACTTGAAAGCACATAACAACAACAACAACAACAATCTTATCATCCAAAAGCAGGCCCACACTACTCATTGGAATACTAATAAGTTTATATTTGTTAAAATTATTTTTCATTTTAATTATTGTATAGTTTTAAAATGGTTTTTGCACTACAAATAAGATACGTGCAGTGTTCATAAGAATTTATTCGTAGTTTTTTTTTTCAAATTATAATCCGGCCCTCCAACAGTTTGAAGGACTGTGATCTGGCCCTCCGTTTAAAAAGTTTGAGGACCCCTGCTCTAAAATTACAACAGCACAACAACAGAGAGGAAACAAACAAGGACATCTAATCACCTCTCAACAAAAGATTGCTCCAGGCACTGCCAGGCCATCAAATGGTAATCAAGGTGGTCAGTTGAAACATTCACACCTAGCTCCAGCAGATAAGAGTCCTTTGTCCCACCCTGGTCATTCCACAGATATATAAACCCATTTTCCTAGTTCCAACAGACCTCACTACCTCTGAGGATGCTTGCCATAGATGCAGGTGAAACGTCAGGAGAGAATGCCTCTAGATCATGGCCATTTAGTCCGAAAAAATCTACAACAACCCAATTCCTAAGATGCACCCCCATTTTTATAGCTATTTGTATGGGAGAAAGTGCATCCTAGAATTGAAGAAATGCAGTAATATCCGCCCTACTCTTTTTCTTTTCGTACGTGCTCTTTGTCTCCCATTTGAGCCTCCATAGAAATCAATGAGGTGGAGGTTCAGGAGGTGATGTAAATGTGCCTTTCTTTAGAAATGGCTGCAAAAAGGGGTCCATTCCTGTTCCTGACTCCATTCCCATATCGCTGTCTTGTTTCCTCGTTTTTTTGGTTGGAGATTGGCTTGTTGTTGTTACCATCCACTGGATTCTACTCAGTTTGTTGTGTTTGTGGCCTTGGCGATGGGAGAAACCCACTGGATGCGGGTTACTGGGTGGGCCTCTGCAGCCATCTTGCCATTGCCGCCTTCCCCATCTGTCTTTGGTCTCCAAGCTGTGGCTGCGAGTCTCATCCTTCCGCAACAACGAGGACCAGATGAAGCCGCAGAGGTAAGACAGGCACCGTCCATCTGACAATAGAGCTTCCTTCCTCTCTTCCTTCCTTCCAGGTATCCCCTTCCCTTCTTCCTTCTCTTCCTCACGGTTGGTTGCCCTCACACTGTGATTGTTTGCTATTCAAATCTGGTCAGGAAAACCTTTGGCATTTGTGGGGCCACCTCCCCTCATCTGGAAGGAAGGCCTGCTATTAAAATCTCTCCACCCCACTCTTCTGTGTGACTTGGGTTTTGGAAATGAGTGCGGTGTCTTTCCACCAGGTTTTCACCCTTTTCATGTCCAAAGGGTCCGAAAAGCACGTTTCTTCACCTCTTTGGGAGTCTGTGCCGGTTGGTAGCCCCCTTCTACACTTCCCTCTATCCCAGGATCTGACCCCAGATCATCTGTTTATCCCAGATTATTTGACAATGGAGACACATATAATCCAGTTCAAAGCAGATAACCTGGGATCAAATCCAGGGATATAAGGACCTAAATTATACCATGTTACCAAATTTGAAAAACTGTTCTTGGCTTGAAAGTGTTATTCCTGTTTAATTGTGCAGTCCTTGCTTTGAAAGAAGCTGTTCGCCTCCAGAAATGTCTGTTTTTGTGGCTGCCACAAACTAAGTTGAATTGGTAGATACATTCATTGAAAAACTAGAGCAAAATGTGCTGCATTGGGCTGTCCCTCTCGCAAAAGCAGAGTTTGCACAATTTCTTGTCGAAGGCTTTCATGGCCGGAATCACTGGGTTGTTGTAGGTTTTTTCGGGCTATATGGCCATGTTCTAGAGGCATTTTCTCCTGACGTTTTGCCTGCATCTATGGCAAGCATCCTCAGAGGTAATGAGGTCTGTTGGAAGTAGGAAAATGGGTTTATATATCTGTGGAGTGATGGATGGATGGCATCCTTGAAGTGACTGGACTGACCTTGAGGGAGCTGGGGGTGGTAACGGCCGACAGGGAGCTCTGGCGTGGGCTGGTCCATGAGGTCACGAAGAGTCGGAGACGACTGAAAGAATGAACAACTACAACATCTGTGGAGTGACCAGGGTGAGACAAAGGACTCTTGTCTGCTGGAGCTAAGTGTGAATGTTTCAACTGACCACCTTGATTAGCATTTAATGGCTTGGAGGTGTCTGGGGGGAATCTTGTTTTGTTTTGTTTTTTTGTTCCCCCCAGAACGAAAAAAGATTCCCCCTGGGCACTTCCAAGCCATTGAATGCTAATCAAGGTAGTCAGTTGAAACATTCACACCTAGTCCCAGCAGACAAAAGTCCTTTGTCCCACCCTGGTCATTCCACAGATATATAAACCCATTTTTCCTAGTTCCAACAGACCTCACTAAGGGTTTATATATCTATGGAATGACCAGGGTGGGACAAAGGACTCTTGTCTGCTGGAGCTAGGTGTGAATGTTTCAACTGACCACCTTGATTAGCATATAATGGCCTGACAGTGCCTGGGGCAAACTTTTGTTGGGAAACAAACAAGGACATCTAATCACCTCTCAACAAAAGATTGCTCCAGGCACTGTCAGGCCATTATATGCTAATCAAGGTGGTCAGTTGAAACATTCACACCTAGCTCCAGCAGACAAGAGTCCTTTGTCCCACCCTGGTCATTCCACAGATATATAAACCCATTTTCCTACTTCCAACAGACCTCACTACCTCTGAGGATGCTTGCCATAGATGCAGGCGAAACGTCAGGAGAAAATGCCTCTAGAACATGGCCATATAGCCCGAAAAAACCTACAACAACCCAGAGTTTGTGCAGCTTAATGGACTTTCCACATGATTGCATTTATTTTGTATCGTTTGACTGCCTTGCATAAATTAGTATAAAACTGATAAAAATAGAAGGAGCTCAAGTGGCTAAATCTCTTTTCACCAAAAACAGGCAACAGTGACTGCATTGTGTGTAGCCTCCAACAATTCTTCCTCTGTGCATGAGACATTTTTTTTATGATAGAACCAATTAGGAAATAACATTTTAAATCCAAGAACAAAAATTGTGTTACATAGTGTTGGTGCGGGACAAACGTCATAGATTTAACATACAAGGCTGCATTCACTTTAAATCTTGCAGAGTTTGCAAAGACAAGGTTTGTGGCTCTCCGTGGCTTTCTCTTGCCCTAGTTCAGTGATGGGCAACCTTTTGAGCTTGGTGTGTCAAAATTTGCGAAAAACCTGAGCATAACTTAGGTGGGGTGTCAACTTCGAGAAAAACAACAACATAATTTTGCAATATTTATAGTTTAAGAAAGAAAAGTGTGTAATCCATGCTGAGTTATGGAGTGAACAATGCTCAAACGTGCAAATGTTAAATTTATAGAGCCTTTTACAAATGAAAGGATGGAATTAGATTGGCTCTTATAAGGTGTACTTCTCTGTATGCATGTGGCCACGTGTCATCAAAAATAGCCATGCGTGTCAGTGCTGACACGCATGTCATAGGTTCACCATCACGGCCCTAGTTCCTTCTGTTCCGAAAAGTGTTTTGAGGGGAGATTGTGCCATTTCAGGAACTTTGGGAGGCAAAACAGGGAAGGGTTTTCGTCAGAACGGGGTCTCGGAGGGTGACAAATAGTACGATTTAAGCATGTGTTAGATCAAGTGGAAGGAAGTGAGGGCACCGCGGAGGAATCCGCTTCTCTCGGGTCCTTCCGAGTGCGGATTTTGCAGGACTGCAGGGTCGGCCTGGGCTACCTCGAGGAGCCTGGAATGGCTCGGCCATGTGGCTTGTTATCTCTGGTCCTTTGGGGCAGGAGCCATGTTTGGTGTGTCGCTTTGCCTGTTTTGTTCGGGAACTTGAGGAAATCCCTCAATGGTTGGTCCCCATTCGCCTCCTCCAGGAGCACAAATCGGCTCATGAGACCCATAAATCCTTTTAAGGCTGAGGCTGGAGAAGAGACGGAGGTGGCGGCTGCTGCTACGGCTTGCAGGCCTTTTGCCTTTTTTGGGAACTGGCTACCAGCAGCTGTCTGGCCAGAAATAGCTCCTCTCTTTCTGTGGAGCCTATTCTTCTGCTCTTTCGCCATGCTGCTCCTGACGCAGCTGGACAGGGAGAGCTTGCTGCACCTCTTCTCCTTCCTGGACAAGGAGAGCCGGTGGCGCCTGAGCCTGACGTGCCTGTGCCTGCGGAGGATCTTCCTGGAGCCCTCCCTGTGGCCCTGCCTACACTTCCACTCCCCTGCGGAGCTGCTCCGGGGACACTTCCTCCTGGGGCCCACCCTGCGCCATCTCTCCGTCTGCTGGTACTCGACCCGCATCGTCAAGGTCTGCAACGTAGAGGAATGGGCCAAGAGCCCCTTGCAGAGGGACATCTGCGCACAGCACCGCGACGCCGTCAGCCGGCTTCTGCGCCGTGTCTGCCAGCGGTGAGTTTGCTTCTTCACTTCTTCACAATTTACACCAATTGGCCGTTAGGAATTGTGGGAGTTGAAGTCCAAAACACTTGGGAGTGCTTTACACACTTAACTCGGTGTTTGGCCAAGATCTGTCGCCATTCGGGTTCAGAGTTCTCTTGGATGGTGGACAGACTACAACTCTCATCACCTTGTATTGGCTCTGGGTGTAGTTGAACAATAACACCCATCATCCCAGGCCAATCATCCCCTCACAACGTTTGAAAATGCTTGCCATAGATACAGGCAAAATGTCAGGAGAGAATGCCTCTAGAACAGTGGTTCTCAACCTTCCTAATGCCGCGACCCCTTAATACAGGTCCTCATGTTGTGACCCCCAACCATTAAATTATTTTTGCTGCTACTTCATAACTGTCATTTTGCTACTGTGATGAATCGTCATGTAAATATCATCTTTTTTTTTTTTTGGTCGTGTCAGAAGTGACTTGAGAAACTGCAAGTCGCTTCTGGTGTGAGAGAATTGGCCGTCTGCAAGGACGTTGCCCAGGGGACACCCGGATGATTTGATGTTTTTTTTATCATCCTTGTGGGGGGCTTCTCTCATGTATCCGCATGAGGAGCTGGAGCTGATAGAGGGAGCTCATCCGCCTCTCCCCGGATTTGAACTTGCGACCTGTTGGTCTTCAGTCCTGCCGGCACAGGGGTTTAACCCACTGCGCCACCGGGGGCTCATGTAAATATCTGGTATCTGATATGTAAATATCTGATATGCAGGATATATTTTCATTCACTGAACCACATTTGGCACAAATACCCAATACGCCCACATTTGAATACTGGAGGGGTTTGGGGGGGGGGGATTGATTTTGTCATTTGGGAGTTGTAGTTGCTGGGATTTATAGTCCATCTACAATCAAAGAGCATTCCGAACTCCACCAATGAAGGAATTAAACCAGACTTGGCACACAGGGCTCCCATGACCGACAGAAAATCGTGGAAGGGTTTGGTGGACATTGACCTTGAGTTTTGGAGTTGTAGTTCACCTACATCCAGAGAGCACTGTGGACTCAAACAATGATAGATCTGGACGAAACTTGGCTCAAATACTCAATATGCCCAAATGTGAATACTGGTGGGGTTTGGGGGAAAATAGACCTTGACATTTGGGAGTTGTAGTTGCTGGGATTTATAGTCCATCTACAATCAAAGAGCATTCTGAACTCCACCAATGATGGAATTAAACCAGACTTGGCACACAGGGCTCCCATGACCGACAGAAAATCCTGGAAGGGTTTGGTGGACATTGACCTTGAGTTTTGGAGTTGTAGTTTACCTACATCCAGAGAGCACTGTGGACTCAAACAATGATAGATCTGGACCAAACTTGGCTCGAATACTCAATATGCCCAAATGTGAATACTGGTGGAGTTTGGGGAAAACAGACCTTGACATTTGGGAGTTGTAATTGCATTTTCACCTACAATCAAAGAGAATTCTGAACCCCACCAACAATAGAATTGAGCCAAGCTTCCCACACAGAACCTTCATGACCAACAGAAAATACTTTTTCTGATGGTCTTTGGCGACCCCTCTGACACCCCCTCGCGACCCCCAGGTTGAGAAACACTGCTCTAGAACATGGCCATATAGCCCGAAAAAACCTACAACTCAGTGATTCCGGCCATGAAAACCTTCGACAATACATTGTTCCAGATCCATTGTTTTTGTGTGTTTGGGGAGGACTTGCAGAGCTCTCTGGAAGTGGGAGCCCTCTTGGGAAATCCACAAGTACAAACCAATTTTCATTTTTTAATTGTATTTATTGAGAATGAGGACGGCCTAGCGATCTGGTTCGGTTTCTTGTGCCTATGTTTCAGATTGAGAGCAGCAGGTTTCTGCGCATGGTGCCATCTCCCAGACTTGAGTGGTTCGTGAGAATGGCCTGGTTGTGGTTCAGAGCCACAGCACACCTTAAATGCTCCCAAATCTTTCAGAGGCCTGCCTTTCTGAAGCCACCTTCCTGCCAGCCTTTTCACAGGCAGCCTTTGTGCTCCTCCTGTGGCCAGGAATGGTTTAGTGCTCCGGCCTCTCCATTCCAGGCATTCCTGAGCTGGCGGCTCAAGCTCCAAGTGGCCTTCAGCCTCAGCAGAGAGTTGACAAAGGACACAATGTGCTGAGGATTGGTCAAGGCCACACAATATGCACAAATCTTGGCAGGTTGCAGCATCCTCTAGGGCAGTGGTTCCCAACCTTCCTAATGCCGTGACCCCTTAGTACAGTTCTTCATGTTGTGGTGACCCCCAACCATAACATTATTTTCGTTACTACTTCATAACTGTCATTTTGCTCCCCTCATGAATCATCATGTAAATACCTGATATGTAGGATGTATTTTCATTCACTGGACCAAATTTGACAAAAATATCCAATATGCCCAAATTTGAATACTGGTGGGACCCCTCGTCGCGACCCCTCGGAAACAGCCCAGCGACCCCTCTTTGGGTTGCGACCACCAGGTTGAGAACCGCTGCTCTAGGGCTAGGTTAGATTTTCCCACTTGGGACCCCTTTTGAGGCTAAGGGGGAGTCATTTTGTCATTTGGGAGTTTTAGTTCACCTACATCCAGAGAGCACTGTGGACTCTTAACAATGATGGATCTGGACCAACTTGGCATGAATACTCAATATGCCCAAATGTGAATACTGCTTGGGAAAAATAGACCTTGATCATAGAATCATAGAATCAAAGAGTTGGAAGAGACCTCATGGGCCATCCAGTCCAACCCCCTGCCAAGAAGCAGGAATATTGCATTCAAATCACCCCTGACAGATGGCCATCCAGCCTCTGTTTAAAAGCCTCCAAAGAAGGAGCCTCCACTACACTCCGGGGCAGAGAGTTCCACTGCTGAACAGCTCTCACAGTCAGGAAGTTCTTCCTTGTGTTCAGATGGAATCTCCTCTCTTGTAGTTTGACATTTGGGAGTTGTGGTTACTGGGATTTATAGTTCACCTACAATCAAAGAGCAATCTGAACTCCACTAACGATGGAATTGATCCAAACTTGGCATACAGAACTCCCATGGCCAACAGAAAATACTGAAAGGGTGTGGTTGGATGGATGGATGGATGGATGGATGGATGGATGGATGGATGGATGGATGGATGGATGGATGGATGGATGGATAGATAGATAGATAGATAGATAGATAGATAGATAGATAGATAGATAGATAGATAGATAGATAGATAGATAGATAGATAGATGGTCACACAGATAAACACATGGATGGATGGATGGATGGATGGATGGATGGATGGATGGATGGATGGATGGATGGATGGATGGATGGATGGATGGATAGGTAGACAGACAGACAGACAGACAGACTGACTGACTGACTAGATCAGGCCTAGTCAAACTAGGGCACTCAGGGTATTTTGGACTTCAAAATTTTTGGACTTTTGAAGTCCAAAACACCTGGACGGAGGGTCCATGCCTGGCTTATGTGATGAGAGACGGGTTTTCTGTGCAGATCTGACCTTTGGCTTCTCTCCTCCAGGTGTCCAAACCTGCAGTGCTTGACCCTTTCTGGCTGTGGCCACGTCACGGATGGTGACCTGGCTCTGGTCCTGCAGAGCTGCCCAAGCCTCCGGAGCCTGCAGCTGGAGAACTGCGTCTGCATCACCGACCGGACTCTGGATGCGGCCTCGGCCAGTGGTGCGCCGGCCCTTTGCTTGCTGCGGGTGGACTTCTGCCGAAATGTGACACAGGAGGGGCTGCAGCGCCTGCGCCGGGAGCGCCCCTCCCTCGCACTGCAGGCTGAGCGCAGCGCAGACATGATTCCGGATGAGGTGCCGCGGTGCCGAGCATTGGGGAGAACATTCCAGAAGCTGCTGTGGAACTGAGAAGCCCACCACCCTCTCAATTAGAACCGATGCATCCGGGACGTCACCCAGTGCAGGATCCTCCTTTGTAAAGGCATCTCTCCGGGCGACTTGTCTTCTTCCAGATGCTAAGACAAAGCAAGAAAGTTTAACACTTTTCCAAAGTTCACCCCCCCCCCCACATTGTGTCAAAAATGTGTGTTCCTCAAGTGTTGTTTTTGTGAACCTTGCAATGGCAAATCACCCCCCTCTATTTAAGAAAAACAGGACTTTTGGTTGTTTATTTCTCAAAAACAGTGGATCATCTCCAGAATTTCAAAATGCATCAAAGTAAACTGAGCGTGTCTCTCTTAAGTGGTTTTGGATGTGTTAATTTCTCCAAATTAGAAGGTACACAGCTGTGAATTCCTTTTTTCCTCCCTCCCTCCCTCTCTTCTTTTTTCTTTCCCTCTTTTACCTCCCTTTCTTTTCTTCCTTCCTTCTCCCTCCTTTCCTGTCCCTTCTTTTTCTGATATGGTCAATGAAGTAAAGAGCTGAAATTCTCCACAAATTCTCTTATGCACCGGGATTGTGGCGCAGCTGGCTGAGTGTCAGCTGCATTAAGATCACTCTGACCAAAAGGTCATGAGTTCGAAGCCAGCCCGGGTTGGAGTGGGTTTCCAACCATTGCGTAGCCTGTTGTCGACCTTTGCAACCCGAAAGACAGTTGCATCTGTCAAGTAGGAAAATTAGGTACCACCTTAAAGTGTGGGGAGGCTAAATTAACTAATTTATGAGGCCATAAAGAAGACTCCAGCAAAGCATTCCATTGGGGAAGCATGCGGGGAATGCGGAAGTGCTTCATCAGCGTCGCAGATGGACGACGAAAGCGACAGCTCCCCTGGCGGCGAGAAAAAGTTAAATAGCCTCTCCGTATGTCTGTATATGTTGTATGTCAAAAATTGGCATTGAATGTTTGCCATATATGTGTACACTGTAATCCGCCCTGAGTCTCCTGCGGGGTGAGAAGGGCGGAATAGAAAAGCTGTAAATAAATAAAGAAAATAAATAATTAAATAAAACACCGAGGAAACGAGAAGTAGCAAAAGTGCTCCCGTTCAGTTCTTGAATTGGCTCTTTATTTTACTCTGCATAAAGGAACCCCTGCACAGGCATTTCAAATTAAAACAAAAAATAAATATATGTAAAACTGTCCTTTCTAATGAACAATTATACACAATGTACAACTCTTCATGTTCACCGGGAAGGGAGAGAAACAGACCCTTCCCAAACAAACGAACGAACAAAGGGGTAAAATGCACCAGAAAGGCTCCATGCAAACGTCTCAAAAAAAAGTGAACAAGGGGAAGGACTTCACGGCTCTCCTCGCTCTTTTGTGGATTTGTGTTGTGTTCAGTCACAGGAGAGAGAAAAAAAAGGAAACCCACATTGAAGTCTCGTTGCATTGAGAGTAAATTACTTTTTTATAAAAAGTGGCCACTGTTTTGTTTTGTCTTTAATGTTTCCTAAAACACCTATAATGTCATCAGTAAAATGGTTTTTGACACTGAAACCTGACAAGGGCACGATGTGCAAGAAGAGGGAGGTGGCGGCATTGGCTCTTGTCCCCGGAAGGAGGAAGAGGAAGTGGAGGAAAGGGAAGAAGGGGTCAGTAGTCTGTGTCGGAGCCCTCGGCGTTGTCCACATTGCGCGACAGCATGTAATTATCCATGTCGATGGAGCGGCAGTTGTTGATTGCATAGCGCAAGCGCTCGGCCATGACGCTCTGGCTGGAGTACGGGGGCAGCCGCAGCTGGAAGAAGCAGGTCTGTGAGGTAGGCAGGCTGTCGTAAGGCTGCGGGAGGAAGTTCGTCAATGTTTAATATACTTTTGATTTTAATCTAATTTAATTTTCATTTTTTTTTTTTTGGAATTATATGTGTTTAAAGGCATTGAATCATGGCCTCTATGTAAGCTGACTGATTTCGGGGTAGAGAAAGGTGGGGTATACATAATAATAATAATAATAATAATAATAATAATAATAATAATAATAATTTATTTGTACCCCACTACCATCTCCCCAAGGGACTTGGTGCGGCTTACATGAGGCCACGCCCACAACACATCAATAAACAAAGGCAATAACAAATAGTCAATACAAATCAGTTAAACTCAAAAACAGAAAATACACAATAATCAATAAACAATATCAATAACATACAGTGTTTAAAACCTATGGCCGGGCCAAATGTAATATTTAAAATTTAAAAATGCTGCGCATAAACAAGGTAGGGTAAACTAGGATAGGGTTTTCCGAGAAAGATGAGGGCGCGCAGACAACTAAATCAATATTAAAGTGCATTTTGAGGTCATATTGCTGAGAGTTTTCCTTATTCTGGGAAGGCACACTGGAACAACCACGTTTTCGGGCTCCTCTTAAAGACTGCCAACGTTGGGCATGTCTGATGTCCTTAGGGAATGAATTCCAGTCGAGGGGCCACCACCGAGAAGGCCCTCTCCCTCGTCCCCACCAATCGCAGCTGCGAAGGAGGTGGGAGCGTGAGCAGGGCCTCTCCAGATGATCGACGAGATCGTGTGGGTTCGAAATGCGTAATAAAACAGAGTAAATAAATAAATAAGGAGGGATGAGGGAAGGAGGAATGTGAGAAGGTGAGAAGTGGAGAGATGAGATTAGATGAAGGAAGGAGAGATGAGGGAGGGATGCAGGAATAAAAGGGAAGGGTGACAGGCAGGAAGGAGAGAAGAGCCATGCCCACCCGACTCACCCGATCGACCTTCATTATCTGGAAGCGCTGGGAGATGTCGGCAGTGTTGGCAGGGAGGCGAGAGCGGCCGGAGACGAAGCGCATGAAGAGGACACGCTCCTCGTTGGAGAACTCCTCCAGCGTACGCCAGAACCACTGCACCAGCGTGTGGGCCTCGTCCACCTCCCGGTAGCGCACCACCTTCTTCAGCACCTCCACCGAGATCTCCGGCATGCCGCACACCATCTGCTCCAGTTGCCGGGCAGTCAGCAGCGAGAGCAGCGGCACGGGCACGATCCACGACATGCCCTCGCGCACAGCTGCCACCTGCAGAAGGGAGAGCATAATGTGTGGAAGAGGAGAGACTTGGCATCAAAGGACAGCTTCCCTCGCTCTTCGAGAAACAAGACTGCCCCTAGGAAAACACAGGCCTGAACAAACATGTCTCCTGTTTGTAAATCATAGAATCAAAGAGTTGGAAGAGACCTCATGGGTCTCATGGACCTCCAGTCCAACCCCTGCCAAGAAGCAGGAATATTGCATTCAAATCACCCCTGACAGATGGCTATCCAGCCTCTGTTTAAAAGAAGGAGCCTCCACCACACTCTGGGGCAGAGAGTTCCACTGCTGAACGGCTCTCACACTCGGGAAGTTATTCCCTCATGTTCAGATGGAATCTCCTCTCTTGCAGTTTGAAGCCACTGTTCCATTGCGTCCTAGTCTCCAGGGAAGCAGAAAACAAGCTTGCTCCCTCCTCCCTATGGCTTCCTCTCACATATTTATACATGGCTATCATATCTCCTCTCAGCCTTCTCTTTTTAAGGCTAAACATGCCCAGCTCCTTAAGCCGCTCCTCATAGGGCTTGTTCTCCAGACCCTTGATCGTTTTAGTCACCCTCCTCTGGACACATTCCAGCTTGTCAATATCTCCCTTCAATTGTGGTGCCCAGAATAGGACACAATATTCTAGATGTGGTCTAGCCAATGCGGAATAGAGGGGTAGCATGACTTCCCTAGATCTAGACACTATGCTCCTATTGATGCAGGCCAAAATCCCACTGGTTTTTTTTGCCACCACATCACATTGTTGGCTCATGTTTAACTTGTTGTCCATGAGGACTCCAAGATCTTTTTGACACATACTGCTCTCAAGCCAGGCATTGTCCGCCATTCTGTACTTCAATCCCAAAGTCACGCTTTCTCCTCCCTATATCTCAAAAAGTTGAAGAAATATTGTATTGCTGTGTTTGCTCACATCTAACATTCACCTTTTTTGGCTAAATGAGCTTCCCAAAATTAGGGTGCGCATTAGACTTGTGTTTTAAGGTACAAAGCAGCCTAAAGGGAAGCTGCTTCAGGGGCTGCACCTGGTGTTTCTATTTGATAGATGTCACCTCTAATTTAATGTGATCATGGGATTTGTAGTTGGGTGAGGCGTCTCCATCCTTTGGCAGAGAAAGCTCAAGGCCTTCTCAAACTGTAATGAAAGTGCATTCATTCTACAGCAAAGATGCACCCCAAGGTTTTTCTTTCCATTACTGGAAGCTTCAAAATGCAATTAAAGTGCATTCATTTTGTTAACATTTTATTTGCACCGGGATTGTGGCGCAGCTGGCTGAGTGTCAGCTGCATTAAGATCACTCTGACCAAAAAGGTCATGAGTTCGAAGCCAGCCCGGGTTGGAGTGGGTTTCCAACCAATTGTGTGTAGCCTGTTGTCGACCTTTGCAACCTGAAAGACAGTTGTATCTGTTAAGTAGGAAAATAAGGTACCACCTTAAAGTGTGGGGAGGCTAAATTAACTGATTTATGAGGCCATAAAGAAGACTCCAGCAAAGCATTCCAGAGGGGAAGCATGTGGGGAATGTGGAAGTACTTCATCAGCGTCGCAGATGGACAATGAAAGCGACAGCTCCCCTGGTGGCCAGAAAAAGTTAAATAGCCACTGTGTATGTCTGTATATGTCTGTATGTCAAAAATTGGCATTGAATGTTTGCCATATATGTGTACACTGAGTTCCCTGTGGGGTGAGAAGGGCATAATATAAAAGCTGCAAATAAATAAAATAAATAAATTTGTGAAGACAGAATTATAAGCAGGCAGGGAATGTGTACCTTTTGGGCCAAATGTCAACAAGGGCACTTTTGGCCCCTATGCTTACATTCACCAGCAAATACTTTTTTTGGTTTCAGGATTTTGAAAATTGAGGTACACAGTAAATTTGATGGCACGTGAGACTCAATATGGTAAATACTGTGATTCTTCCATTCCGAGACAGCTGGAGAAATACGGCAATTATACCGTGTTTCTTCCATTCTGAGATGTAAAAGTAAAGTAAAGGCTTATTCCAGAAGGCTTATTACCATATGTAACACACAATCCAAAGGCAAATGGAAATTCACACATTAGAACTGACTGATGCCTCTGCTTACAAGGATCTAAGCCAGGCCTGGGCCAACTTCGGCTCTCCCTCCAGCCCAATAGGGCTCCGGCCCAGCGTACCTGTCCAAACGTATCTCCTTCTACGTCCCACCTCGGAGTTTAAGATCTTTTGGGGAGGCCCTGCTCTCGGCCTCGCCTCTATCACAAGTGAGGCTGGTAGGGACGAGGGACAGGGCCTTCTCAGTGGTGGCCCCTCGCCTGTGGAATTCACTCCCCGGGGAAATTAGGTCATCAACATCCCTCCTCTCCTTCAGAAGGAAGCTGAAAACATGGATATGGGACGAGGCCTTTGGGTAATCTGGCAGACCGACAAGGTAATGATGACCAGAATTTGGAAAGGACTATGGTAATGCTGAATGGACTTACGGATTTTAGAACTTGGTGAACGTTGGCCAATAGATTGGCTTTTTAGTTATTATTGTATTAATTGAATGTTTTAACTATTGTGGTTATTGTTGTTATGTATCTGATGAACTAGCTGTACCCTGCCACGCGTTGCTGTGGCCAACCTTCCCCCTATCTCCCCTTCTTTCCCTCCTTCCTTCACTCCGTTTCCTTCCTTCCTTCCTTCCGTCCTTCCTTCTTCCTTCCTTCTCTATCTCTTTCCTTCCTTCCCCCTTTTTCTTTCTCTTCTGCTGTCTCTCTTTTCTTCCTTCTGTCTTTCATCCTTTCTTTCCCTCCCTCTTTCTCTACATCTTATCCCCTTCCTTCGCTCCCTTTCCTTCCTTCTTCCTTTTTCTCTTCTGCAGTCTCTCTTTTCTTCCTTCTCTCTTTCCATCTTTCCTTCCCTCCCTCTTTCTCTACATCTTCCCCCTTCCTTCGCTCCTTCTTTCCTTCCTTCTTTCCCTTTTTTCTTTCCTTCTCTTCTTCCTTCTCTAACTTTCCTTCCTCCCCCCTTTTTCTTTCCCTCCCTCTTTCTCTCCTTCTTTCCCTCCTTCCTTCCTCTCCTTTCTTCCTTCTTTCTTTTCTTCCTCTTCCTTCCTTCCTCTTTCTTTCCCTCCCTCTTTCTCTCCTTTCTTCCTTGACAGATTAGAAGGGGGCGTGGCTTGGAGGTAAGGTGAGAAGGGTAAGAGGGAGGGGGAGGGGGATGGGTTTAGAAGGGGGCGTGGCTTGGAGGTAAGGTGAGAAGGGTAAGAGGGAGGAGGGGAGGGGGATGGGTTTAGAAGGGGGCGTGGCTTGGAGGTAAGGTGAGAAGGGTAAGAGGGAGGAGGGGAGGGGGGATGGGTTTAGAAGGGGGCGTGGCTTGGAGGTAAGGTGAGAAGGGTAAGAGGGAGGAGGGGAGGGGGATGGGTTTAGAAGGGGGCGTGGCTTGGAGGTAAGGTGAGAAGGGTAAGAGGGAGGAGGGGAGGGGGATGGGTTTAGAAGGGGTACCGCGCCGGGGGGTTGAGGGCGCGGGCGCGCGCGTGTGTGTGTGCCGCGCGGGGGGTGAGGGGGGGCGCGCGTGCGTGCGTGTGTGCCTCGTGTGAGGGGCGCGTGTGTGTGTGTGTGTGCCGGGGGGGGGTGAGGGGGCACGCGCGCGCGTGTGTGTGTGCCGCGCGGGGGGGTGAGGGGGGCGCGCGTGCGTGTGGGTGCCGGGGGGGTGAGGGGGGCGCGCGCGTGTGTGTGTGTGCCGCGCCGGGGGGGTGAGGGGGCCCGGCGCGCGCGTGTGTGTGCTGCGCCGGGGGGGGGAGGGGGGCGCGCGTGCGTGTGTGTGTGTGCCGGGGGGTGAGGGGGCACGCGCGCGGGTGTGTGTGTGTGTGCCGCGCCGGGGGTTGAGGGGCCGCACCTGTGCGTGTGTGTGTGCCGCGCGGGGGGGGGGAGGGGGAGGGGCCATGTGTGCGCGCGCGTCGGGAGTTTGCGCCAGAGCGCATGCTCAGTTCGCCGCGCGCGCGTGTGTGCCGCGGGGGGGGGCAGGGGCGGCGGGTGCGCGCGTGGCGGGGAGTTTCCGACGCGCGCGCGTGTGCCGCGGGGGGGGGGGTTAGGGGCGGCGGGTGTGCGCGTGGCGGGGAGTTTCCGCCGCGCGCGCGTGTGTGTCGCCGGGGGGGGGCGAGGGGCGGCGGGTGCGCGCGTGCCGGGGAGTTTGCGCCAGTGCGCATGTTCAGTTGTTTTGTGGTGTTGTTGTCGTTGCAGTTGTGTTTTTTTTATTTTGGAGTAGATTAGTTTGTAGCGAGTGGGTTGTCCTAGGGGCATGGCAATTTTGGTTCAGTTTCGTTGGGGGGTTGTGGAGTTATGCGACGCCGTACGACGCCCCCTACAGATTTATATATATAGATTGTTGGCATCAAATTGTGCTGGTTGTAAGCAGCCCTGAGTCCCCCCTCGGAGGTTGAGAAAGGTGGGGTAGACGTGCCTGAAATAAATAAATTTTGGACTCCTAGTGGCTGTTAGGAATTGTGAAAGTTGGAGTCCAAAACACCTGGAGGGAGGGCCAAAGTTGGCCCAGGCCTCTACCTGTATCTTGCAGCCCTTCCCCTTTGACTTCTGAGCAACTCTCACCTGCCGGTCCATTTCGTGGAGCCGGTACTCGATGGCCCTCTCCACGTACTCCTTGCGATTGGAGAAGGTGAGCGGGATGCTGTTCCCTCCAGGGATGATGGGCACCATTTTCCCATCGGCGCTCTGCCCCACGAAGGAATCCAGAGGGATCATCTGGAAGGAAGGGGGGAGAGAGGGAAGGAGAGGGGGTCAGCCCTGCGGCTGGGATCCTGTCCCTGGGCGCCAAGGGTAGGGGGTCCCCATACCTCGTGGAAGTTCTCCTCGGTGATGCCGCCATCTTCAATGTGAAGAATGCTGTTGAGGGTCTGGACGTAGAGAAGGTCCACCTCCTCCAGGTCCTCCAGGGCCAGCGGGATGCAGCAGAGCTGCTTCCAGACCAAGGGGGCCAAGTGCAGGTCCAGGGGCTTCTTGGTGCGGACGGCCACCCCCATCAGCACCCCCAGAAACTTGAACTGCAGCAGGTGCTCCTCCAGGAAGGCCGAGGGGTTGAAGAGGAACCTGGAAAGGGAAGCCAAGAAACCAGCGGGGTGGCACCCTCCCTCTGGGAAAGGAGGAGGAGAAAAGAGCCTTCCCCACTAAGCACCACGCTTGCCTATGGATTGATCTTAAGGGCTTGATAAGCAAGCCCTTCCTATACATTGCCACTACTGAGAATACATTGGTCTGTCGAGCTCTTGAGCATCCTGGACCGCTTTTGCTGCTGCTGTTAATTACACCCAACACTCTTTGGACAAGGAAGGCTAAAGAAAGGCCTTGTAAAACTACAACTGCGATGATCCCACAAGAATTAGTAACAGAACGAGAGCATCAACTACTCTGAGTAACACAGTGAGAGCAGTTACCTGTCCCTATTGTAGCCGACTTCGGCTGAAGCATTTGGGGACGGGATAAGGAGGTCGACCACCCCGGTTTCGAGTTCCTTTTGAATGAAAGGAAAAGAGGTTGACACATCATGCGTTGTAGTAGTAGTAGTAGTAGCAATAATAATAATAATAATAATAATAATAATACATTTGATTTGTTACCTGCCTCTCCTTTTGGCTTGATGCGAGGACACAACATGGTCATAGTCACATAATAATAATAATCTTTATTTATACCCCGCATTTTGGTCATAATCATAATAATAATAATACTCTATTTATACCCCGCTACCATCTCCCCAAGGGACTCGGTGCGGCTTACATGAGACCGAGCCCACAATACATCAGCAAAAACAACAACAGTAATACAAATCAATACATAACTCATAATAAAAATAAGCAGTATACATAGTAATAATAATAATAATAATAATACATTTGATTTGTTACCTGCCTCTCCTTTTGGCTTGATGCAGGTCACAACATGGTCATAGTCACATAGAATACAAGACCTGGTACCTGGCGCATTTTGGTCATAATAATAATAATAATAATAATAATAATAATAATAATATAAAAATTATTTATACCCCGCTACCATCTCCCCACCAAAAACAACAACAAAAGTAATACAAATCAATACATAACTCATAATAAAAATATGCAGTACACATAATAACAAGAACAATAATAATACATTTGATTTGTTATCTGCCTCTCCTTTTGGCTTGAGAAGAAGATGGTTGCATATGGCCTCAGGCCCAATCTGTACCTGGCACATTTCGGTGATGGTGTCGTCGAAGACCCCCCCGGCGTCGTCGGCCCCTTCCCCAACCAGCTTAACCTTCCAGGCGCGGGATGGGAGGCGCAGGTCCGAGGCGTTGAGCTTGACCACTTGCCTGGCGATTTGCACGAAGATGGGCTTGCACTTGCGGCCTCTGTGGCGGGGAGAAAAGGGCCGGCGTCAGAGGAGCCAGGAGGGGCTCCCCTTCCCCGGAAAAGGGTGTGTGGGGGGGCACGGGAACACATGGCTGACCTGGTGGAGATCCTCTTGACAGTGATCTGGGGCCCGTAGTTCTTGCCCTGCACCATGGTCTTCCCGATGGAACGCACCATGGGCAGTGTGTAGACCCTGGGCGCCAGCAGTGGGCGTAGCTGCCCCTGGACGATGCCCCAGGTCCCCGCATTGTAATGGGAGGTGCTGTTCTGAAGGGAGGAAGGAAGGAGCCATGCAAATCAGGGCCACAACCCCACCCATGCCACCTTGCCCTCCAGTCTCTCTGCACACCACCCACCCAAGGAGAGATGGGTCACATCATTATTACTATTATTATTATTACACTGGGTAACACAATTTCTGTTCCTGGATTCCAAATGCCATTTCCTACCTGGTTGTTGGGGCTGAGGTTGAGGAGGCGCCAGGAGGAGTACATCAAGTCGGAGAAGTGGTAGAGCAGGCGCAGCCGGGCCCGCACCGTGTGGGGACTCACCTCCTTCAAGGCCCCAAACTGCGGCGGCACTGCATCTGGCAGACCCAGCTGCAGCGGCACCGACACCCCTGCCCAGGAAAGGCCAAGGAAGAAGGGTCAGGAGCCGGACCAGCACCGGGTGGCCAAGCGCCCTGGGTTGGGAGGAGGAAATGCCCTTTCCCGGGATGTCCGTTTCTCCCATAGAAAGAAACATAGGCAGAAGTGTGCCCAACCTCTCTCTCCCCCTCTGGCACAGAGTCACCCTCTGTGCCATGCCCCTTACCTGGCGCTCGCGGGGGAACGGGCGGGCAGCTCCATGCGGCGCTGTGGCACCTACCGGCAGAGATCTGCCGGGCGCTCTTGCCTTGCAGGGAGGTGACGAGGGTGGGCTCCCGGACATGGTTGGTGTGGCCCAGGCCCAGCTGCAAAGGTGAGGGAGGAGGGGTGGAGAAGGATGGCAGAGACACATGGCTAGGGGCCGGCCAAGGAGAGATGCCTCTGTCCACCCACCCACATACACACTTGCCCTTGGAACATGCATCCATCTTGGTTCAGGGCTTCCTTGGCAACTTTGTGGGGTCGGTATGCCGCTAAACCTCAGGGCTAGTTTTCAGTTCTCTGCATGCATCCCATACGCACCTGCCCTTCGGAGTTGCTGCCCCAGGCATAGACGTCCCCCGAGGCGGAAAGGGCCAGCGTGTGCTCTGCTCCCACGGCGATGTCTTCCACAAAGAGCCCCGACAAGGCCGGGACCTGCTGTGGCCGGTTGTGGTTGCGGGCCCGGCCTTCAGGCAAGCCGATCAGCCGGTCTGCAACAAGGAGGAGGAGGAAGGGAGCCCTGTCAGCAGGGCTGTGCAGAGCAAGCGGGTGAAAAACACCTGACAACACACTATGCTTCTGCCGCTGCCTAAGAATCGAGTGGAGCCTTCTTCCCTAGAGGTTTTTAACCAGAAGCAGTATGGCTGTTTTCGCCCTCGCTGGCAGGAGGGGGGTGACTGGGTGGACCCAGGGGTCTAGGATACTATTGTTACTACTTCTACTAATACCACTATTACTATTATTAAACAGGGGTTAGGTGGCCACCTGCTGCAAGGGACTGGATTGTGTCTTCTCGCCTGGCAGAAGCAGTTGGAGTGGATAACCCCCTAGGGTCCCATCCAAGTCTATGATTCTCCCTAAGCAAGGGCTGGATGGTTTTAGGAGTCCCTTCCACATCTTTCTATGGAGATAAGAGGAGCCAATGGAGTGAACTGTGTTCCCCTCTTTCCCAGGTGAAGACTCTGCACAATAGACCCCAGGGCGCTCGCTTGCTCACTCACTCACCTTGTCCAAAGGTGTAGACGTGGCCGTCCTTGGTCAATGCCACCGAAAACTGGGTCCCACAGGCCACTTTCTTAATCCCAATTCCGCACAAAATGTCTACTTTCTAGTAACAATGAAATAAACCTTTATGAGTATTCACCCATTTAAAAATTCTAGCGCAATACAAGCCTATCCTGCAACTCAAAAGGAAGAGCACTGTTTTGAATGCAACTCAAGATTAATGTGCATAAGGCTCAAAGCAATTAAGATTATAGAAGCACCACTCTTCTAGCTTTTATAGGTGACGATGTTGTACCCTGCCATGAGCCGAAAGAGTAATAAATAATAACAACAACATTAGCACCGGGATTGTGGCGCAGCTGGCTGAGTGTCAGCTGCATTAAGATCACTCTGACCAAAAGGTCATGAGTTCGAAGCCAGCCTGGGTTGGAGTGGGTTTCCAACCAATTGTGTGTAGCCTGTTGTCGACCTTTGCAACCCCAAAGACAGTTGCATCTGTCAAGTAGGAAAATAAGGTACCACCTTAAAGTGTGGGGAGGCTAAATTAACTGATTTATGAGGCCATAAAGAAGACTCCAGCAAAGCATTCCAGCGGGGAAGCATGTGGGGAATGCGGAAGTGCTTCATCAGCGTCGCAGATGGGCGATGAAAGCGACAGTAGCTACTGAGCTCAAGGTTGAAGAGGGCAGGTCAAGGTGCAGAGCAGCTTAGTTTGTTGAGTCAGTCTCGACGATTTTGAGGTTGTCGAGGTCAACTTGGATTGATGGTGGTTGGTCCACAGTTGAGGTAGAGGGCTCAGAGTCCGAAAGAGCTGAAGTCGAAGGTTGAGCAGTCAATGGAGCAAGAGTTTGCTCATAGAGAAGATATTTTAGCTGGGCAGCTTTGTTCTTCTGAGCCTGGGCCATCAGGGACTGGTAGTGGCAACAGGAATAAATAACGTGGGACTTGCTAAGGAAAAGGAGGTGCTTAGCATGCTTGTTGGAATCTGGAAACTTAGCGGAGCACTGAGTAGTAAACATCGCGAAGAAGTTTCTGAAGCGAGCTTTGCGGCGGAAAAACAGGAACTGCGGAGCGTGTGGCCAGGGCACCTTTTATGCCTTGGAGAGGAGACTGGGCGAGGTTACCGCCAAAACTTCGGATTTAAACTTTGCAAGTTTTCTTATTGGAGTCTGGAAACTTAGCGGAGCACTGAGTAGTAAACATTGCAAAGAAGTTTCTGAAGCGAGCTTTGCGGCGGAAAAACAGGAACTGCGGAGCGTGTGGCCAGGGCACCTTTTATGCCTTGGAGAGGAGACTGGGCGGCGTTACCGGCAAAACTTCGGATTTAAACTTTGGAAGTTTTCTTGTTGGGAGTCTGGAAACTTAACGGAGCACTGAGTAGTAAACATCGCGAAGAAGTTTCTGAAGCGAGCTTTGCGGCGGAAAAACAGGAACTGTGGAGTGTGCGGCCAGGGCACCTTTTATGCCTTGGAGAGGAGACTGGGCGGCGTTACTGCCAAAACTTCGGATTTAAACTTTGGAAGTTTTCTTGTTGGAGTCTGGAAACTTAGCGGAGCACTGAGTAGTAAACATTGCGAAGAAGTTTCTGAAGCAAGCTTTGCGGCGGAAAAACAGGAACTGCGGAGCATGTGGCCAGGGCACCTTTTATGCCCTGGAGAGGAGACTGGGCGGGGTTACTGCCAAAACTTTGGATTTAAACTTTGGAAGTTTTCTGTTGGAACCTGCACAGGCACAGATACTCCACATGTGTGCATTCACAGAGTCCATGAAGAAAAATAGGCAATGCAGCTTCGGATGCTGAACCTATCTTTACACCTGCAAGTCAATAAAGCTGTAAGCTCCATTACTGGATGTCATTGCTCTCATATCATGATTTTCTGAGCATATAAATATGAGCTGCTAAAACAAACCATGACAGACACAACAGTATTCCCGTCTGAGCCAAAATATCAGCTTTCCACTTTGAGATCAAACACTGGCCAGCAAATCCTATTGAGATGCGACTGTAGATCATGTGGGGCTGGTAAAGCTTTGGGAGGTGAGAAGACAGACAAGGAAGGGAGGGAGGGAGGGAGGGAGGAGAAAACAAGCAGAGAGAGCTGACCTGTGGTGAGGATTTGGCGGTGGAGTTTCCCAGGCCCAGCTTCCCATAGTCTCCGTCACCAAAGGCCCAGACCATGGAGCCATCCGTGGACACGACTAGGGTGTGGTTCAGCCCACAGGCCACCTGGTTGGAGGAAAGGAGGGGATTCTTGACCCAACACAGAGCTCCCAATAAGCCCTACACACTGTTGATGGCTTTTATGGCAGGAATCACTGGGCTATATGGCTGTGTTCTGGCAGCATTTTCTCCTGAAGTTTTGTCTTTATTCACATTCACTGCTAGAACATGGCCACACAGCCCGGAAACCACAAAACCACCTAACAGCCCAAGACATTTATAGTGTTTCTATCAGATTCTCTGCTTGGCGGATAGAGCCCTGCTCCCATTGAAAACCCGAAAGGCAACTCTGACTATTGTGTTCCCATCTTCCCCGAAATGCCGTATTTTCAGGTGCTCTCAATGGCCTTCCCAAAATGAGGTTGCACTTAGATTTGCATCATGCAGTGATCCTAGTGCTGAGGGGATGCTGCTTCACCTGGAGCACCTATTTGAGGGACCTTATCTCTAGGGTCAATGTTATACAATCCTGGGATTTGTAGTCTGCAGCCTTGTCAAACTGCAGCATTGAAACAAGGCAGTTAAAGTGGATTCATTCTGCAGAATAGATGCAGCCGAAAGGTTTCTTTTCAATAGCTGGAAGTTTTGGTCTTCTAACACAATTGTTTGCAATGAAGAAATTACTCTAAGCCAGTGGTTCTCAACGTTCCTAATGCCGCGACCCCTTAATACAGTTCCTCATGTTGTGGTGACCCCCAGCCATTAAATTATTTTCGTTGCCACTTCATAATTGTAATTTTTCTACTGTTATGATTCATTATGCAAATATCTGATATGCAGGATGTATTCTCATTCACTGGACCAAATTTGGCACAAATACCCCATACGCCCAAATTTGAATACTGGTGGGGCTGGGATGGGAGGATTGATTTTGTCATTTGGGAGTTGTAGTTGCTGGGATTTATAGTTCACCTACATTCAAAGAGCATTCTGAACTACACCAACAATGGACTTGAACCAAACTTGGCACACAGAACTCCCATGTCCAACAGAAAATACTGGAAGGGTTTGGTGAGCACTGACCTTGGGTTTTAGAGTTGTAGTTCCCCTACATCCAGAGAGCACTATGGACTCAAACAATGATGGATCTGGATCAAACTTGGCACGAATATTCAATATGCCCAAATGTGAACACGGGTGAAGTTCAGGGAAAATAGACCTTGACATTTGGGAGTTGTAGTTGCTGGGATTTATAGTTCACCTACTACCAAAGAGCATTCTGAAGCCCACCAACGATAGAATTAGGCCAAACTTCCCACACAGAACTCCCATGACCAACAGAAAATACTGTCTGTGATGGTCTTTGGCGACCCCTCTGACACCCTTCAGGGGTCCCGACCCCCCAGGTTGAGAACCACTGCTCTAAGCTTTGGGGTTCCAACATAACTGTTTATAAGGAAGGAATCCTAAGCAGGAAGCAACTGCAATGTGCACCTTTTTTGGCCAAATTGCAAAGAGTGCTCTTTTTGTCACAATCCATTTGCCAGCAAATACTTTTTTTGGTTCCAAGGTTTTGTCAACTGAGGTGCGCATGACATTCGATGGCGCATGAGACTCAAGTCAATATGGGTAATTCCTGGGGGAGAAAGGAGGTTTCTGGAAAGCTCCACCCGCCAAGCCTGACCTCTCCAATCTGGTATCCCTCCAGCGCAGCCACTCTCTCCGGGAGCTTCTTATTGGAGGTGTTGCCCAGGCCCAGCCGGCCATAGTCCCCGTTCCCAAAGGTGAAGAGCTTCCCGTCGGCGGTCACCACGGCCGAGTGCTTGAAGCCGCAGGACATCTGATGGAGCAAGATTGTGCAAAGTAAGTTTTACAAGAAAGAATAGGGGAATGAGAGAAGAGCGAGAAAGAGTGAGAAGGGCGAGGGAGAGAGAAGCATTGCCAGGCACCAGGAAGAGAGGTCTGGGTGGAAGACAGAGGAGATCACATTGACCTGATAGAGATGGGAGGAGATAGATTGCGCAGAAGATGGTTTTGTTTCAGAACACAGAGGAACAAGGTGTTTAAGAACAGAAACACTGAACTGAAGAACAAAGAAAGGAAAGAGGAGGAAGTTTGATTGCGTGATTTCGTCAACCCCAGGCTATAAAACCCATGATGCAGGAACAGCCAAATGCGCCACGATCTTGATGCTTTCTTGGTGCAAACTACTGTCATACAATAGTTTTAAACTACAGTATTTCTAGGCTCCTCGTTTCTAGTTTCTGATTGGGAAATAAAGAGACTGGGGATACTGGGGCACTGTGCTTCAACCCTTTAGGCACCCAAACAGGGACATGAGAAAATTCTCAGTGTTCTTGTGGGTTTTTTCAGGCTATAGGGCCATGTTTTAGAGGCATTTCTCCTGACGTTTTGCCTGCATCTATGGCAAGCATCCTCAGAGGTAGTGAGGTCTGTTGGAAACAGGACCTTCCCAATGGCCGGCTGGGCCTGGGCAACACCTCCAATAAGAAGCTCCCGGAGAGAGTGGCTGCGCTGGAGGGATACCAGATTGGAGAGGATGCTTGCCATAGATGCAGGCGAAACGTCAGGAGAAATGCCTCTAAAACATGGCCCTATAGCCCGAAAAAACCCACAAGAACCTAGTGATTCCAGCCATGAAAGCCTTTGACAATACATTCTCAGTGTTTCCCTTTAATAATAATAATAATAATAATAATAATAATAATAATAATAATCCTTTATTTATACCCCGCTAACATCTCCCGAAGGACTCAGTGCGGCTTACAAGAGGCCGAGGCACAACACATCAATAAAACAACAGCATAACAAATACAACAATAAATAAACTCATAAAATAAACAATAAACATTAAAACAATAGCAATAAGCATTAGCCAATAACACCATGACACATTTAAAACTAAGGGCGGGCCAAATGTAATGATTAAAATTTTAAAATGCTGAACATGACAGGTGAGATGGATAGGTTTTTGGAGATAGGTGCGGTGTGCAGACAATCTTAAATCTCTAGTAAAGTGCAATTGGGACATGACGCTAGGAGTTTCCTATTCTGGGAAGGCACAACCATGTCTTCAAGCTCTTCCTAAAGACTGCCAATGTTGGGGCTTGTCTGATATCCTTGGGGAGAGACTTCCAGAGTCGGGGAGCCACCACGGAGAAGGCCCTGTCCCTTGTCCTCACCAATGGCGCTTGCGACGCAGATGGGATCGTGAGCAGGGCCTCTCCAGATGATCGGAGAGATAATGTGTGTTCATATAGGGAGATGCGGTCACACAGGTAGGCTTCCCGTTTCTGATTGGGCAATAAAGAGACTGGAGATACTGGGCCTCAACACATCTGGAAGAAGGGGATCAAGTAGAGGCCTTAATGAGGACAGTGGAAATGGATCAGATTCATGTGGGAAGGTGCAGACAGAATGGGCATAGCTCAATTGTACCGGGACCTCGGTTTCAGGCATGTTTTATCCTGGGAAAGCCTGGCAGTGGTGGGAGCCTCTTGCCCCCGTTTCCCTTCCCACCTCCACCTGCTCACCTGCACAACTTCCTCTCCTTGCAGGGCCTCGATCTGCCGTGGCCGCCGCTGCCGGTCAGAGTTCCCGTGGCCCAGCTTCCCATAATCCCCATCTCCCCAGCTGAACACCTCCCCACTCTCCGTCAGGGCCATGGAATGGCCGTCCGAGCCGCAGGATGTCACCAGTTGAGTGACCACGAAACCTGTAATGGGAAGAAAGGCAGGTGGAGTATGACTAGCAGTCCCATGAAACCCAGAGACCACAAACGTTCAAAGAGTGGAAGTGTCCCTCAAGGGATCCTGACTGAGGCCTGAGGAGCTCCTCTGCATAGCTTCGTGACGTAACAGGGCCTTCTCTGCAGTGGCCCCCTGGCTCTGAAACTTGCCGTCAACGGAAATTGGGCTGGCTTTCTTCTGGCCAATCAATCAAAATCTTTATTAATGAAACTGAAGTGCTCTGCCCAACAAGATTATGCCCACATTTAGTGTGCGACATAGAATCATAGAGTTGGAAGAGACCTCATCGGCCATCCAGTCCAACCCCCTGCCAAGAAGCAGGAATATTGCATTCAAAACACCCCCAACAGATGGCCATCCAGGCTCTGTTTAAAAGCCTCCAAAGAAGGAGCCTCCACCACACTCCGGGGCAGAGAGTTCCACTGCTGAACAGCTCTCACAATCAGGAAGTTCTTCCTCATGTTCAGATGGAATCTCCTTTCTTGTAGTTTAAAGTCATTGTTTCGTGTCCTAGTCTCCAGGGAAGCAGAAAACAAGCTTGCTTCCTCCTCCCTATGACTTCCTCTCACATATCTATACATGGCTATCATATCTCCCCTCAGCCTTCTCTTCTTCAGGCTAAACATGCCCAGCTCCTTAAGCCGCTCCTCATAGGGCTTGTCCTCCAGACCCTTGATCATTTTAGTCGCCCTCCTCTGGACACATTCCAGCTTGTCAACATCTCTCTTCAAGTGTGGTGCCCAGAATTGGACACAATATTCAAGGTGTGGTCTAACCAAAGCGGAATAGAGGAGTAGCATGACTTCCCTAGATCTAAACACTATGCTCCTCTTGATGCAGGCCAAAATCCCATTGGCTTTTTTTGCCACCACATCACATTGTTGCCTCATGTTTAACTTGTTGTCCATGAGGACTCCAAGATCTTTTTCACACGTCCTGCTCTCGAGCCAGGCATTGTCCCCCATTCTGTACCTTTGCATTTCATTTTTTCTGCCTAAGTGGAGTATCTTGCATTTGTTCCTGTTGAACTTCATTTTGTTAGTTTTGGCCCATCTCTCTAATCTGTCAATATCATTTTGAATCCTGCTCCTGTCCTCTGGAGTATTTGCTGTCCCAATTTGGTGTCATCTGCAAACTTGATGATCATTAGTATTATTATTATTAACTTTTATTTCTATTCTGCCTTTTTCTCCATAGAGACTCAAGGTTGAAAACAATAACATGACACAACCCACTAAAATTTAAAAACAAGGCAAATGCGAACATTAAGAAAAACAAGTATTTGTAATACTTATATTATTATTATGATAATTTATTTATTATTTATTTATTATTTGCACTTGTTAACCGCCACTCTCAGCCCAAGGGCGACTCGTGGCGGTGTACAGAACATAGAAAAGATAACAATTTACAATGCATCAAGACCATGACATAACATCTTATAATAGTAATAATATCAGTATTACAAATATTTTCCATTAATATTTGTATTTGCCTTGCTTTCTAATTTTAATTGTGTCATGTTGCTGTTGAAATACCTTGAATCTTTATGGGACAGAAATAAAGATGACTATGATTATGATTATGATGATTATTATTATCAGCATCATCTTTATTTCTATCCCATAGAAACTCAAGGCGGACAACAGTAACAGCCCACCTTGCAGTGCAGAGATGACGGTCAGCACGTGGAGGTCATCCGAATTGCCTTGCCCCAGGCGGCCGTAGCTCCCTTCTCCACAGGCCAGGACCGTCCCATTCGCCTGGATCACAAAGGTGCAGTTCTGGCCACAAATGACCTGAAGCAAGGGAAGAAGCAACACAAGGCTGAGTTTCAGAACAAAAGAGCTGGCTAAAAATACAAACGACAGCCAGTGCCCAAGTTATGAACAAAAGAGGTTCTGTATGTTTGTTCTTAAGTTGAATTTGTATGTAAGTCAGAACAAGGACATTTTAAAGTGTAACTCCAGTCAAAGATGCATCTTTTTTAGTTTTGTGTGGCATACATTTCCTGTGGGATTTTCTCTGCTGTCTGTGCCCTTGTTTGGAAGATTCCATCTCACTTTCTGTCCCTGTGAGAATGGGATTTTGGAAAATGTGGTTTGTTGTGGAAACAAGTGTTCGAAATAGCAACCTTCCAGGCCTCCACTGTTTGTAAATATGTGTATAATATTGTCGAAGGCTTTCATGGCCGGAATGACTGGGTTGTTGCAGGTTTTTTCGGGCTATATGGCCATGTTCTAGAGGCATTCTCTCCTGGAGTTTCGCCTGCATCTATGGCAAGCATCCTCAGAGGTAGTGAGGTCTGTTGGAACTAGGAAAAATATTATTATTATTATTATTATTATTATTATTATTATTAAACTTTATTTATACCCCGCTACCATCTCCCCAAGGGACTCGGTGCGGCTTACATGAGGCCGAGCCCACAATACACCAATACAAACAATAACAACAACAGTAAAACAAATTAAATAAAACTCATAACAAAAAAGCATTATACAATGACAATAATACAACACACAATTAAAATCTATGGCTGGGCCAAATGGAATTAAAGTTAAAAATAATGCTAGCCATGAATAAGGTAGGAGAGATGGGGCGTTAGTGGGAGCGTACAACAATCCTACATCAATGTAAAGTGCATTTGGAGGGCACAATGCTTAAAATTCATTATTCTGGGAAGGCAGACTGGAACAATCACGTTTTCAGGCTCCTCCTAAAGACTGCCAGAGTTGGGGAATGGCTGATGTCCTTGGGAAGTGAATTCCAGAGTAGAGGGGCCACCACTGAGAAGGGCCTCTCCAGATGAACAAAGAGATCGTGTGGGTTCGTACACAGAAATGCAGTCATGTAGGCATTCTCTCCTGACGTTTCGCCTGCATCTATGGCAAGCATCCTCAGAGGTTGTGAGATTTATTGGAACTAGGAAAATGGGTTTATATATCTGTGAAAAGACCAAGGTGGGACAAAGAACTCTTGTCTGCTGGAGCTAGGTAGACAAGAGCTAAGCGGCACCTAGCTCCAGCAGACAAGAGTTCTTTGTCCCACATTTTGCTCCAGTTTTCCAATGAATATCTCATCATTGAGTCTCAAGCACTTCAACCTAGTTTGTGGCAGCCACAGAAACAAAGTTTCTGGAGTAGAACAACTACTTTCAAAGCAAGGACCACACAATTAAACTAGAAATAACACCTTCAAACCAGGAACAGAACAAACCAGGAACAGTGAATGCAGACTGGCTTTTGGAAGATGAACTGATGCATAGGGTTGTTGTAGGTTTTTTCGGGCTGTATGGCCATGTTCTAGAGGTATTCTCTCCTGACGTTTCGCCTGCATCTATGGTAAGCATCCTCAGAGGTAGTGAGGATGCTTGCCATAGATGCCTCTAAGGATACTTGCCAGAGATGCAGGCGAAACGTCAGGAGAGAATGCCTCTAGAACATGGCCATACAGCCCGAAAAAACCTACAACAACCCAGTGATTCCGGCCATGAAAGCCTTCGACAATAAACTGATGCATAGTTATTGAAACACTGTAACTATGAAAATAACAAAAATGTGTTTGGCATCATTTGACAAGATCACATGCATAATTGACAGTCCTTTCCTGTTTAAATGTTTCAGGACATTTGCAATGCAGCAGAATAGGTGGAGGCTTTAGTGTTTGTTTATTTTCCCTATTTATACCTTGCTTTCCTCGACCCCAAAGACCCCAACCTCAAGGCAGCTTACATATGGCAATTATTCAATGCCTAAAACACATACAACTTTAATCTTATAATCCGTTGAATTAAGATTAATACCTATTAAAATTTTTAAAAATTACATTCAATATCAAAATCACGCCACCCAACAATCACAGTCTGAGGCCGTTCTGTAGTCCTTGCACATATTCCAATTAGATTCCATTATTTCACTGCATCTCCAAAGGCCTGGTCCCTGAGCCAGGCTTTTACTCTCCTTCTGAAGGCGAGGAGGGAGGAGGCTGACCTCATGTCTGTGAGACACTATATGTTGGACCAATAGGAACAGCCTTTGAAGCACAGTGTTGCAATCTGTAGTATGCAAGGGCTTCCCACACCCAGAAGAAGAAGGGCTTGGGTTGTAATGAATTGCTCCTCCCAGCCGTCCATCCATCCATCCATCCATCCATCCATCCCGAGAATGAGAAATCATACTTACCGTGACGGTTCCTTCTGGGATGGCAGGAGGAGCAATCCATGCTCTCCCCGCCTCACATGCATACGAACAACACAAAAATCAGTTGACAAGTGGAAGTGGTTCTCGGAATTCATTAAGGCTTGACTACAGTAACTCTTAGAGGAGTGGATTCCTCTCACTTCCATTTGTAACTGGGAGTCATTGGGGACCATAGACTGCATACAAAGAAAGTGAGGAAGGAAGGCAAGGCAGCAGGGGTGCCTCCTGGAGGGTGGGGGGGCCTTGCTCACCTGCTGGGCCTGCGAGAAGGAGGGGGCGGGAAGCGGCACCAGGACGTTCCTCCCGGCTTCTGCCAGTTGCCCGTGACGCCCGGCGCCCCACAGGAAGACGTCGCACTTCCCGCCAAGGTGCCAGTCCTGAGGAAGGAGGAGGAGGAGGAAGGAAGGGCCAGGAGGTCAGCAAGGGGATTCCCCACAGAAAGGGCATTCCCATCGCAAGGGGATTCCCTCCCGCAGGAAGGGGATTCCTGCCCAGGCCCGCCTCCGCTCACCTCAGGGCGCGATGTCGCCCAGGACATGATCTGCTCGTCCATGCCGTTGATCCATTTGCTGTTGTCCTTTTTAAAAAAAGTGAAATAACAAACTGAGAAAGGGGCAACCATCCCCGCAAATTCCTTCTGTGCCCTGCGTATTTCAAAGCGAGGGAATGAGGGAAGAATGGACTTAGAGCAGGCGTGGGCCAACTTGGGTCCTTCCTCCAGATACAAATAACACTAACAATGAAACTTTCTTTATATCCCGCCCTTTCTCCCCATGAAGATTCAGGTACCAACAAACAAAGGCAAACTTTCAGCACTCACAACAAAGACAATAACCGTAACATTTAAACAAAAATCACTAATAAATACATTTATGTTTTGGGCTTCAACTCACAAAATTGTGGGAGTTGAAGTACAAAACACCTGCAGGAGGGCTGAAGTTGGCCCATGACTGAGTTATATGAATCTGAATGTATTCCCTATCCTTTCCCCCATATATTTAGGTTGGTCTAGCAGCGGTTCTCAACCTGGGGGTTGCGACCCCTGGGGGTGTCACTGGGCCATTTTGTGGGGGTTGCGAAGGTGCCTTGGTTGGCCCCGCCCCCTCTGCCTCCTCAAAATGGCTGCCGGCCCCTGTGCCAGGGAAACAGAGAAATTGTACAAGGGACACGAGGTAGGTGAGGGTCCCTTTGCGCAAGGCCTTGCCATGTGAGAGGCCTCCCTCGCGCTCCCGCCGGCCAGCAAGGGCACGAGGCAGGGAAGGGCCCCTTTGCACAAGCCCTTGCCCCACTGAAAATGGCTGAAAGAACAATTTAAATGTCCAAAAAGGATTTATGCCATGCTCCTTCTTACCATCAGGAGGGCGAGCTCCTCTTCGGGGACGGGCTCCAGGTCGGGGACGGCGAAGGCCTCGGGGAAGGCAGTGCCCCTGGCCAGGGCTTCGGCGGCCTTGACGGTGGTGGAGAAGCACTCCAGCCAGGCCCACTCGGAGGGGCTCCAGGCTGCGGGTAGTTCTGGGGGCAGGCCTCCCTGCTGGTGCTGATGCTGCTGCTGGTGCAGGAGGTGCGGGGCCACAGGCGCGCGGCACAGCAGCCGGTCCAGGCACAGCCCCACTGCCAGCGAGGCCAGGCACTGCAGGTATGGACTGTGCACCAGCTGGTCCCCACATACGACGTACGGCTACAGAAAGGAAGGAAGAGGGAGAAGATATTCAGCCCAAGGCACCCACCGCCAACAGGCTTGCCGCCATGCAGCCTCTACACAATGATAATAATAGAATGGTCATCTAGCCCTGTTATATATATTATTGTATATTATAGTTTTGGAAGGGACCCCAAAGGCCATCCAGTCCAACCCCCTTCTTACCTTCTCATAGGCGTACTGCTCCTGGAGCATGATGGGCAGGCGCTCCAGAAAGGCCCTCATGCAGGGAGCCATGTTCAGGCCCACAATGCCCTGTTGCTTTAAGGCGCTCCGGCAGGTGGCCAAGACGTGGCTGGAGGAGATCCAGTCAGGGGTGCAGTTGACCACCAGCACGTCCTGCACAGAAGGAAAGCGGGCCCAGGAGAGTCAGCCAAAGAAAGAAAGGAAGGAAGGAAGGAAGGAAGGAAGGAAGGAAGGAGGGAGGGAAGGAAGGAAGGAGAAGAGGATGGAAGGGAGGAGGGAGGGAGGGCACAGGCTTCTTGAATTGCAGCCATGCTGGGCAGAAGAAGGGATGCATTTCGCATCTCATTCTTTACCTTGGATCGATTAGAGCAAGTGGCAACTCCAACGTCAGGGATCCAGACAGCTGCCTGAACAGCTCCGGAACCAATCACCACACTCTGCAAAACAGAACCATCCTGGAAGCAAAGAGAGGACAAGACAACAAGGCTTCCTTAGCAAATGCATATTATTTGGTGGAATCAGAGGGCACCGAAGCCGAAACTCGGCACCGAGAAGGAGGAGGGGGAGTGGATGTCCTACCCGGAGCGACCAGATGTTGACCAAGCCCCCCAGGCCCCCTGAAACCAGGGTTAGTCCATCCGAGCTGAAGGTCACCGTCCGGACCGGAGTGATGTGTCCCCGCAGCTGGAAGACGCACCTATAGGCCTCCTGCAAACTCAAAACAGCCATCGTCAGGGTTTCCTTGGATGCAGAAAACCCTTTTAACGGCAATTAGATAAAGTCGAAGAAATAGCACAACCCTAGACCTCGGATATTCCGCTTCTTCATCATATATACAGCAGTCACAGCAGGTGGGAACCTCCCAGGAACAGAGACCAAGAGCAAACGGAGCTTGGATCTACACTGCCATATAATGTGCTTTCAGAATGAAGATTAACTGAACTGGTTCATAGATCCAGCACCAATTTAACTGGCCAACTTACATTGGCTGCCTTGGATTTTTTATCTGACTCGCCAATTTCAAAAATGGCACCCAGTTTCCCCCATCAGCTCTAGTTTTTGAGATACAGAACACAGGCCTTCTACTAGTCGCCGATTGGAAACCATGATGTTAATATGTGTTTTATAGAAATACGTTTTAGAATGTATATTTTATAATATGTATGTCTCAAATATTCTGTAACCTGCCCTGAGCCATGAGGAGAAGTGAATAAGAAACATTATTATTATCATTTGAAACACAACAAGATGAGTCCACAGCAAACAAGATCCCTCTGCTGGCTGTTGTATTGGATCACACATCGGACACTTTCCAAGTGTCTCGGACTGTGTGATGTTTTGGCAAATAATGCGTGTAAATCCCAGTAGGGTGGCCTTCTGCAGTTGACAGATGGTAATTTTTTTTAATAATCTTTATTAAGGTTTTCCATAAAATATACAAGTATAATAAAATCATCATAGAAGATGAGAAAGCAGGAAGAGAGGAAAAAAAAGAAAAGAAAAGAAAGTGGGGAAAAAAAGAAAAAAAAAAGATGAAAAGGGTTTTGACCTCCTGGTATCTTCCGAAAGTCTTCTATGTGATCTTATTTTATTGTTTCTTTATTTCTTTACTTTCTTGTTTCCTTCTTTCCCTGCTCTTATTGCGTTACAGTCTTTATTTGTCCCTTTCAAATCACAATTTCTTTTTTCTTAAGTATTCGGTGACTTCTCTCCAATCCGTTTCTTTTCTTCTTATTTCTTTGTTTTTCAATAACAGGAAGGTGAGCCTGTCCAAGTTTCTAATTTCTAACATTTTAATTATCCAATCGTCCTCTTTTGGTATCTCTTCTTGCCTCCATTTTCTGGCAAAGCACATTCTTGCAGCAGTTAAGGCTAAGAATAGGATTTTATCTTTGTCTTTTTCCAAATTCTTATCATATATTCCTAACAGAAACAGATCTGGTTTCAGTGGTATTTGATTTTTAACATAATTTGAATTTCTTTTTGTATTTTCATCCAATATTCTTTTGCTTTGTCACATGTCCACCACATGTAGTAATATGAACCTTCTTCTTTTTCTTTTTTTCTTTTTTTTACATTTCCAACATGTCGTGCTTGTATTGTTATAAATTTTCCCTAATTTTTTCGGGGTCATATACCACCTTTGTGACATTTTGACCCCATTTTCTCTAAGATCTGAAGCATATGTAAACTTTAATCTCTTCTTCCAAATTTTGTTCCATTCTTCTTTTCTGATATTTCTTTGTATATTTTCATTCAGATGGTATATTTTCAGATGGTATATTTCATATATTTTCATTTAGATGGTAATTTTGTCAGCGTCGATTGTGTTTAAGTGCAGGCCAAGGTCTTGAGGCACTGGGACCACCTTGACTGGCTTTTGCCAGAGTCGTCGTCATCATCTCCTTCCCCTTCCCACTGTATCAAAGAAACTAGAGCGGATGTAATCTATTATCTAATGGAGTTTTCTGAATCAGTGCCCTAAAGAACCTCAGGAAGAGGCCTAAAACATCAAGACATCAAGGAACGTTGTTGTAGTTTTGTTGTTGGACTGTGTTTTTTTTTATTTTCTGCTAAAAGGGCAGCCCTGCGGAGCCTGCTTACTCCTCCTTTAGCAAAGCAAGGCACCACTATTTCCAATACAAGATGGATCTTTGGAAGGGCGGCAATCTTTACCTTTGAGTCCCCTTTGGGAGAGATTAAGTGGGATATATAATAATAATAAAAATAACAACAACGATAATAATGTACCTTCCCGGCAGCCTCCTCGTCCCACCATCCTTCGGCGCCATTGAGGTTGGGCTGGCGTTGCAAAAGCTCGTCTTGGGGGACCGTCCAGACGCACAGCAAGCCGTTTTGGCACCCGCTAAAGAGGAAGGATAAAAGAGCTGCTGCAACCCACCTGGCAATAATACAGCAGAGCAAGAGATACCATGTGCATCCTGTTATATGCATTTTAATAGCCTTTATCTCTTTGTGTGAATGAAGCTGTATCCCGAGCCCTAAGGAGAGGTGAGTAATGCACATCATTATTACTATTATTGTTATTATTATTATTATTTGATACAGAAAACGCAAAACCACTAGGCATCTTTTTAAAGGAAAACATGGGGAAGAGTGTCCCAAAAATTCCATTAAGAAATAAAAATAAAAGTAGATAGCAAAGAAGTAAGGGTTACTTACCTGTAACTGTATTTCTTTAAGTGGTAGTCTGTGAAAATCCCACATATGGCTTTCCCCATGCATGCACAGCTATTTGGAACATTCTAGAGGTTTCAGTAAAGCATTTTGGCAGAAACCCTGGCCACACTCCCCGTGTACTATACATGCCCGTGGGCAGGGCTATGCCTCAGTTCCTCCCCGCTAGATCGCAGCTGAAGTGCCAAGCCATGATACAAGAGGGAAGGACAGGCGGAGCTGTGCAAATTTCACAGACTACCACTCAAAGAAATATGGTTACAGGTAAGCAGCCCTCACGACTTCTTCATGGAGTCTGTGAAATGTGCACATATGGGTGACTGACAAGCTACTAACTTTGGAGGTGGGTCATGCCACACAGGAGAACAGTACTGCTCTGCCAAAAGTGGCGTCCTTCTTTGCCAGGATGTCTAGCTTGTAATTAGTAGCAAACAACAAGGACGTTGACCACCTTGCTGCTCTACAGATGACTTTCAGCAGAGACAACTCTGGTTGAGTGTGTGGTGGATCATGACCTGCCAAGCTGGTAAGTGAGGCGGATCATTGAGATGATCCAGGAAGCCAGGCATTCAGAGGTTACTAGTAGACTCAGGGCATCCTTTCTATACTTAGGGAAGAGCCTTAGTGACTTCCTGTGAGAAGCAGTTCTGTGGACATAAAATACCAAAGCTCTCTTGACATCCAAGGACTGAAGAGCTACTTCCTGAGGAGAGGATGGCTTCAGGAAAAAGGTAGGTAAAGCGATGTCTTGGCACATATGGAAATGTACGCCATCTTGGGAAGGAATATCACATCCATATGGAGGACTATCATGTCATCATGGAATCAAATGTAAAGGGTTGAAGGAGGGCAAGTTAGCTGGCCAATGTAATGGCTACCAAGAATGTGGTCTTCCAGTAAAGGTGACAAAGGTCATTGGAGGCCATTGGCTCAAAGGGTGCTTTTGGGAGTTGTGATAAAACAAATTCTAGGCTCCATGACTGGGGGGGGGGGGGGCAGAATGGATGGACATTTTTTAAGCCCTTGATGAATGATTGTGTCAAGGATATGTTGATTAGGTGATTATTTGGGACTTCTTCTGGATCATCACAAGGCCAAAGCATCTGCAGGAGAAACAAAGTGTATTGAATGTCAGACCGCAGCTGCCCATGGGAGTTAGCAGTCAGTGGCCAATCATCAATGTAAGGGAAAATAATGATCACATTGACGAAATAAGCGCCTGCGGTGATATAGTAAATATTGTGAGGAATCCCCATCGCTGGCGTTGTTGGGATGGGTATGGTTGGTGTACATACTTGCTGACTGTTTGCTTTATTTTATGAGAGTGCTCAAGCTGGGAATTGGCATATTTTGGGTATGGGTAGTAGAAATGGGGGTCTGGTGAACGAGATCAGGAGTATCCATGAGACGTCCATGAATGGATTCGGGATCAAGAGTCCCAAGACTCTGAGGAAGGTGTCTGTACCATCTGTCTGTACCATCTGCTGTGTGGGTGGTAGTGCTCCATTGGATGCCCCTTCGCCACTAAGGGAGGTCGATGGTCCTGTGGTATCTTCAGAGGGGCGCTTCTGAGGTCATTTGAGGAGCTAGTTGGTTCTTGTAATCAGTGCTGGTCTCTGCCTCCCCAATGTCCCCCTTCGGGGGTTGAGAAGGACGGGATAGAAATGCGAGGAATAAATAAATAAATGTCAAGCTAGAACTCGAATGGTTCAACTGGCGTGAACTGAGGCAGCGCTCCCAGTTCACCTGCCAAAGTTCACGGCCCTGATCAGCATTCCCACTGCCTTGGGAGCAGATGCCTTGTAGAGGAGGGCTCAAGGGCTGCACAGCAGTGAGTTGCCTTCCTTTTTTGGGCTTATCTCCTTCCTAAGTTTTAGCGCATGATGGCACTAAAACTAAGGATGGGCATAAGTCCCAAAAAGGAAGACAACTCACTGGCATACAGCCCTTGAAGAGGCTCTTGCCTTCTTCTTTGGTGGCTCTGTAGTTTGAGCATTGCCACTAGCGGTCCAGGCCGCATCCGCATTTTGTGGAGAGAGGGGCTCCTGTGCTTCCGAGTTGGAGAGGATGGATGGCAATTCAGAGGCAGCACCAGGGCCTGCTCATAAAGGAGGTCCTTAAGGCAGGAATCTCTGTTTTGGTGGGCCTGGGGAGTAAAGGCCTGGCATATTTGGCAAGTCTGGGGGAAATGTGCTTCCCCCAAAGCATAAAAGGCACATATTGTGCTCGTCAGGATCCAGGAGTTTAGCTCCACAGGCTCCACACTTTTTAAAAAATAAAGTAGACATGGCCTGTAGTGTCGTCAGGAGTGCTGAGGTCGGGACTGGAGAGACTCGTGTCATCTAAAGAGGTCTGAGTCAACATCTGAGTAGGTGAATCAAGTGTAAGGCAAGCTGTTACTCAAAGGGAAAGTCCCTAGTTGTTAAAACCATTAGAGGAAAGTTTTTAAGCTACTAGAAGAGGATCCTAGATACTGCTGGTTACAGTAGAAAAAAGGAACAAAGCTGTAGCCCTGCACACGGGCATATATAGTATATGTGTGGGTGGGCCTCTGCCAAAATGTTTCACTTTGAAAGCTCTAGAATGTTTTGAATAGCTGCGCATGCACAGGAAAACTCGTATGTACACATTTCACAGTCTCCATGAAGAAGAGAAAGAAGGAGGAGGAGGAGGAGGAGGAGGAGGAGAACAAGACAATTTATCATTAGAGACAAGAGGGGTGATTTGGAGGATTTAAATGGATGACAATAATAAAGAAGGAACATTAAGAGGACGTCGAATGCATTACAAATTATAATTATAATTATAGACATGTATAAGCAAGTTATAAACATGTGATCTACAAATGAATCACAGTTAAGAATGGGGCTGACAGTGAAAGGGGCTGAGAAAGTGAAAGAAATCTCTCCCTCGGAAGTTAAATACACTCCTGGAAGAGTTATTATCAGAGGGAAAAGGGGTCTCCACTTAAGCTTTATCTCCAATCCTTGTTTCCACCCAAGTTAATTTTTTCAAAATCCAATGGTCACAGTGGCAGAAAGTGAGGTGAAATCTCTGCAAAGGAAACACCACCAGGATGTTAACCTTTTCATATGCTACCAAAAGCTAGAACAAAAAATATTTTTTCTGGAGTTACACTTAAGAAATGCCCGTGTTCAGAGTTACAAACTAATTCAGCTTGAGAACAAATCTACATGTTTGTAACTTGGGGATTGCCTGTATTACCTGCTCATTAAAGCAAAGAGATAAAACGCTATTAAAAAAAAACAAACAAGTATTCCATATGTTGGTATTACCATTTTTTACCAGATTACAAATACAGTCCCTTGCTCCATGATCACTGGCATGGGCCAAGCTTGGCCCCCCAGGTGCCTCAACTCCCACGATTCCTACCAGTATACCAAGTGACCCCAAAGGGTTAACGGTCAAAGCAAAGAGGAACCCAGGGAATATGGGTGTCCACTCACGTGGCCAGTAAGAGCTGAGGCTTGGGCCCCCGTCCTGGGAGGCCGCACCAGGCAGTGGTGGTCACCGGGCCCGGGTGGGGGAGGGAGTGCAAGTGGCACCAGCCTCCGGCCACAGAGAAGCCCCAGAGCTTGACTAACTCCTCCTTGGCGCAGGTCAGCAGGATCCGGCCGGTTGGGTCCCACTTCAGGCTCAGGAGACTGTCCTGGGAAACACAAGAAAGGCATCACCAGGACGCAACGTGAGGATGGAGATGGACTTAGAAGGAAAAAGTATTAAACAGAAACAGAGGAAACTCAAAGTTAAGAAGTTTAAGGTTCAGGGTGTTGAGAGTTCACCAGATGTAAAAACTCATTCTCATTCAAGGTAAAAACTCATTCAAGGTAAAAACCCATTCTGTTAAGCATGTAGTGACCAAAACAGGCGTGAACGGGTTAGGACAAAGAAGTGGACATACCTAGGGGAAAGGAATTGCATGTCACATCCATAGGCTGTCTTTGAATGTTGAGACTGAGAAGCAGAGCATAAATGTCCTAGATGCAATGATGTATTCCTTTTTTTCCAGATCACGCTGATGAGTAAGGGCTCCTCTGCCTCCTTTTTTCTCTGCTCCTCCTTCCCGCCATTCCTGGCGCGGAGCTGCTGTTGGCTTCACTCTAAAAGTCAGCCATGGTACTTGTTTGCTTTGATAACACAGGTTGCATTGAACTATGAAATTGAACTACCCTGGCTCAGTGCGATGGCATCCTGGGAGTTGTATTTTACATGGTCTTTGCTTCGCAGACCACTAGTTTAGTTCTCAGGGACCACTAGTGGTCCACGGACCACAAGTTAGGAAACAGTGCTCTAAAGTATTTATCAGTCAGACTCTGATCGGGAGGAGTTGGGGCACTGATCTTTCTTACAATTATTGTTTGTTTATTGTTACGCCTTCTTATTGTGAGTTTCTAACTCTGTTCTCACTAGGAATTGGGTACCCGAAAGTCAGCTCGGGGGAGAGAACAGTGTTTGGGGTCTGGCTAAGGGCCTATTAAGGTCTGGCAAGGCTGAAGACCCCGTCCCGATAAGGGAATCTGGGAAAATGCATTAGAAAGGAGGCGAAGAACTTAATGAACGGTGGTAAAAAAGGTACTGATGAGAACTTTTGAGTACAAACAACACATGTTCACATCGTCAAAGAGGATGGCTCTAAGTTATTATTATTATTAATTAATTAATTAATTAATTAATTAACTTTATTTGTACCCCGCTTACATGAGGCCAAGCCCAAACACAACAACAAAAGCAATAAAACATCAATACAAGCAATTAAAAAACATAGACAATAAAATACACAACATTATCTAAAAAGCAACACATAATTAAAACAGTGGGAAGGCCACATGTAGAGTCAAAATTGGAAATAATGCTGCGCCATGAACGAAAGGTGATACTAGTGTTTGTGGAGGGCATACAAGCAGACTCAGGGAAATGTAAAGTGCTTTGGAGGACAAAGTGCTATGGGATTCATTATTCCAGGAAGGCACACTGGAACAGCCATGTCTTCAAGCTCCTCCTGAAGACTGCCAGGGTTGGGGCCTGTCTGATGTCTTTAGGGAGTGAGTTCCAGAGTCGAGAGGCCACCACGGAAAAGGCCCTCTCCCTCGTCCCCACCAAACGCTCCTGCGATGCTGGTGGGATCGAGAGCAGGGCCTCTCCGAAAGATCGAAGGGATCGTGTGGGTTCGTATACAGAGATGCGATCACGTAGGTAGGCGGGTCCCAAACCATTCAGGGCTTTATAGGTAAGAATCTGAACCTTGAATTGGGTCCGGTAGAAAGAAGCGAAGTCACCTCTCTGTTTTGGAAGTGATGGGGCTCCCACAGGTCTGAGTTAAATGACAGAGATTATCTAAACAACTAAATAATAGATAATCAAAATCTAAGGAAGAACCCTCTTCCTTATTAACTATGCGTTAATCTTCAGGAATGCAGCTGTTTACACGCCTCTCTTCTCCCCGCAGCATTAGGCCTGAACAGAGGAGGAATGGTGAGTATGAATGATGAATGAACATATGGGAGCGAATGTTGGAGCAAATGTAGCAATAGAGCTGTTATAAGTCCCAGTGCTGGGCCTGTATGCCTGCTTCTTTCTCTGAAAGTGCCTGATTTTCACTGTCCCACCGGAAATGGATGAAGAACATTTTTTAAGGTTCACAAGGGATTCCCTCCCGGAAGCCGTACCTTGTGGGCATCGACCAGGACAATGCCTCCTTTCCCAAGGGGCTCCTCTTTGGTGCCAATCAGTAGCTTCCCGTCCAAATAGCCCACCGCAAAAGGCTTGTCTTCGCTGAACCACGCCAGGCAGGTCACCGACACTGCAAAAGGAGACAGAAAGAGAAAAGATGGACAAAAAAAAGGCTTAGCTTGCTCAATTCAATGTTATCAAGCCTCTTCTGGAATACGAGAGAAGAAAACACGAACAAGGGTACAAGCAAGAGCTGTCATTCCACAAAGCAAACCCCGATTTGGCCACATACTGAGTCCAATGCTGATGGTAGAAAACTGAAGCCTCCCGTCATTTCATCAGCCAACAGGTTCTCCCCATTCGGGTTATTTTGCATAGAATCATCAAATGCTTGGATTGGAAAATAAGACCGTGAATCATAGAATTATAGGTCTGGAAGAGACCTTCGGGCCATCCAGTGAACCTCATTCTGCCAAGAAGCAGGAAAATCACATTCAAAGCACTCCCGACAGATGGCCATCCAGCCTCTGCTTAAAAGCCTTCAAAGAAGGAGCCTCCACCACACTCCAGGACAGAGAGAGTGAGTTCTACTGCTGAAGAGCTCTCATAGTCAGTAAGTTCTTCCCCATATTCAGATGGAATCTCCTTTCCTGTAGTTTGAAGCCATTGTTCCATTGTGTCCTAGTCTCCAAGGAAGCAGTAAGGAAGCCTGCTCCCTCCTCTCTATGACTTCCCCTCACCTCTTGATCCATGACCCTCAACATGCCTCCTCTCAGCCTTCTCTTCTGCAGACTAAAGAGGTCCAGCTCTTGAGGCCACTCCTCATAGGGCTTGTTCTCCAGACCCTTGATCATTTGAGTCGCCCTCCTCTAGATACCTTCCAGCTTAGAGTCAACATCTCCTGTCAATTGCGGTGCCCAAAATTGGACACAGTGTGATTCTAAGTAAAGTGGTCTGACCAAGACAGAAATGAATAGAGGGATAGCATGACTTTCCTAGATCTAGACACTATACTCCTATTTATACAGGCCAAAATTCCATTGGCTTTTTTTTGCTGCTGCTGCATGACATTCCTGGCTCATGTTCCCCTTCCTCCCCACGAGGACATCTTTTTCACACATACTGCTGTCAAGCCAAGCTTCGTCCCCCATTCTGTATCTTTGCATTTCATTTTTCTGCCTAAGTGGAGTATCTTGCATTTGTCACTGTTGAACTTCATTGTGTTAGTTTTGGCCCATCATTTCTCTAATCTGTTAAGATCGTTTTGAATTCTGCTCCCGTCTTCTGGGGTATTAGCTATCCCTCCCAATTTACTGTCATCTGCAAACTTGATGATCATGCCTTCTCATCTTTCATCTAGAAATAGTTTTCTAAGATCTACAGAGACACTCAGTGGAATACCTCAGCAAGTGAGAGTCCAAAAATGGCAGGCTCAAACCCAGAACCTCAACCAATGGCTGATACCAAATGAGAGACTCCCCCCTGGGCACAAAGAAAACTGGGAAACTTGGAAGGCGCTGAACAGACTGCGCTCTGGCACCACAAGATGCAGAGCCAACCTCAAGAAATGGGGCTACAAAGTGGAATCCACGACATGCGAGTGTGGAGAGAAGCAAACCACGGTCCACCTGCTGCAATGCAACCTGAGCCCTGCCACATGCACAATGGAGGACCTTCTTGCAGCAACACCAGAAGCACTCCAAGTGGCCAGCTACTGGTCAAAGGACATTTAATCAACTACCAAACTCACAAATGTTGCATTTTGTATTTTGTCTGTTTGTTTTCTTTGTTCTGTTAGAAATGTAATATAATTGACTGAGCTATAACTTTACTCTGTCTGATAAGCCTTCTATCTTGAACTCAAGGGAGAAGCTCCATGAATATATTTTTAATAATTGTGCCCACCATGATAAGCAGGCCATTAATAACTCCAAATTCTCCCACTGGTTTAGACTGTACAAACTTGACCATGATAGGGCTATCTACCTGACTAGGCTCACATTTCCAAACTTAGACAAGCCTTCGCAGCCCTTTGTTTTTAAAGTATGCCCACAGCAGTGATTGATGGCAGATATACGGGCACTCCTCTGGCTCTTCGTTAATGTGTTTGCGGGGCCACGGAAATTGAGGATCTGCCTCACTATTTGCTTTTCTGCCCTTTGTATTCTGATCCAAGAACCAAAATCCTGGGGTTTATTCTTCACCTCCTTCAGACCAACACTGTGTCCGAAAAGATTTTCTATCTCTTGGCTGACACTAACCCCGTGGTTACTCACAAAGTGTCTCTTTTTGCCCTGGCAGCACAGAAAATCCGGGCAAAACTAATCTCTGATATTGCAGTTGACTGTGCTGAGGATGCTTTCAACTAATAGTGGCTGTTTGTGTAGTTTTAATAATGCTGTATCTATTTGCTTTTACTCGGTTTTTAATTACGCAGGTATGAGTCTATACATTATGTAGTATTTTAAAGATGCGTCTTTCCATCGATATATGTAGCATTTTAATGATTTACAGGATTTTATTCTGTATTTTATATTGTATTTAATAATCTGGTGTTTATGTATTTATTTATTTGCCTTGCCTTGTATGTGAATACATCGAATAAATTAAACACAATATAACTGAATGGTTGCCCTGACACGACAAATAAATAACCTTTCATGTAAGTCATGAACAGGACCAGGCCCAGGATGCAACCCTGCTAATGGCACTCAATTCGTCACTTCTTTCCAGGATGAGGACGAGGAAGAATTGGGGAGAATCACCCCATGGGTTCATTTGCTTAACCAATTACAGATCCACCTAACTGTTGTTTTGCCTAGACCATATTGGACTACTTTCCTTGCCAGAAGGTCATGGGGGACCTTGTCGAAGGAAGGAAGGCCTTCCTGAAATCCAGGTACGCTCCATCCACGGCATTCCCTGCATCTACCCAGCTTGTAACTCTATCGAAAAAAGAGATCAGATGAGTCTGGCATGATGTGTTTTTGATAAATCTGTGTTGACTATTAGCAATGACTGCATTCTTTTCTATGTGTTTACAGAACACTTCTTTAACAATCTTTTCCAGAATCTTGCCTGGTACTGACATGAGGCTGACTGACGGTCGTCCTTTTTTCCTTTCTTGAAGATAGATGGGGACCACCTTTGCCCTCCTCCAATATACTGGGACTTCTCCCGTTCTCCAAGAACTCTCAAAGGTGATTGCCATTGGCTCTGAAATTACTTCTGCTGGTTCCTTCAATACTCTTGGGTGTAGTTAATCCGGCATTGGGTACTTGAATTCATTTAGGGCGGCCAGGTATTCCTGGACAACTTGTTTCCCTATTTGGGTTGGATTTCCCCTATTTCTTCATCCATTCCATGTTGCTGAGGTTTATTTATTTATTTATTTAAAACATTTATACCCGTCCTTCTCAACCTCCGCAGAGGGACTCAGAATGGATTCCAACAGGAAACAATTTGATTCCAAACATAATATAAAAACATAATAAAATACATCCACAAAATTAATGGTTTTCTTTTTGTGAGAAGACTGAGGCAAAGAATGCAGTTCTCGGCAGTGGCCAGGGGAGCTTTCGCACAGTTAAAACTTGTGCACCAGCTGTGCCCATACCTTGGGAAGTCTGATCTGGCCACGGTGGTCCACGCTCCGGTTACATCCCAAATAGATCACTGCAACACACTCTATGTGGGGCTGTCTTTGAAGACTGTTCAGAAACTCCAAGTAGTCCAACGGGCAGCAGCCAGATTATTAACTGGAGCGACATCCAGGGAACATACCACCCCTCTGTTATGTCAGCTCCACTGGCTGCCGGTCCATTTCTGAGCACAATTCAAAGTGTTGGTCTTGGCCTATAAAGCCCTGTACAGTTCCGGCCCGGCTTACCTGTCCGAACGTATTTCCTCTACGTCCCGCCTTGGAATCTGAGATCATCCAGGGAGGCCCTGCTCTCGGTCCCGCCCTCTTCATAAGCGTGCTTGGCAGGGACAAGGGACAGGGCCTTCTCAGTGGTGGGACCTAATCTCACTCCATCCTTCCTCTCTTTTAGAAAGAAGCTCAAAACATGGTTTTGGAACCAGGCCTTTGGACAGTAGGTTTGGCAGTAATCATAATGTTGAAATGTTGACTATGAATATTACTATTATTATTATTATTTTGTTATTAAACTTTATTTGTACTCCGCTAGCATCTCCCGAAGGACTCGATGCGGCTTACAAAGGCCAAGGCCTCAACACACAGTATAACAATACAAAACCTAAAGCAAATTAAAACAATTAAAGCAAAATAAACAACAGGCAATAAACAATACACCAAGACACAATAAAACTGGGCCGGGCCAGAGTAATGGGTACAGGATTAAAAGTGCTGATGTGAAAGGTGGTATATAAGGCATTATAGGGCAAGTGCAGTGTGCAGCAATCTTAGTTCTAGTAAAGTGCTTATGGGACTTGGTATTGGAGATTTCCTAATCTGGAAAGGCACATCAGAACAGCCAGGTCTTCAGGTACTTTCTGAAGACTGCCAATGTAGGGGCCTGTCTAATATCTTTGGGGAGGGTGTTCCAGAGTCGGGGGGCCACCATGGAAAAGGCCCTGTCACGTGTCCCCACCAAGCGCGCTTGCAACGCAGGCGGGATCACGAGCAGGGCCTCTCCAGATGACCAAAGTGAACGCGTGGGTTCGTAGATGGAGATGCGGTCACGCAGGTAGGGTGGTCCCAAACCGTTCAGGGCTTTGTAGGTAAGTACCTGCACCTTAAATTGGGCTCGGAAAATAAACGGCAGCCAGTGGAGCTCCTTGAACAGGAGGGTTGACCTCTCTCTGTAAGGGGCCCCAGTTAACATATGATAGGCTTTGGACTGGGTTGTCGGTGCTAAATCAGACTTTGATTCAGCTACATGATGTAATAATGTTTTAAATGTATTTTAATCTAGTGTCTTATCTTTTGTATAATGTTGTATGCAATGTGTTGTATGTTGTCGGCATCAAATTGCTGCCGTTGTAAGCCGCCCTGAGTCCCCCTTCGGGGGTTGAGAAGGACAGGGTAGAAATGCTGGAAATAAATAAATTAATAAATGCATTCTGCCTTTTCCCTATCCCGTCAGCATTGCCCCATCTTCTCCTCACAGAGGCCCTATTGCCTCCTTGTTCTTTCTTTTTCTACCAGCGTAAGCAAAGAAGCCCTTTGTATTATTTTTTAATGTCCCTGGCAAGCCTGAGCTCATTTTGTGCTTTAGCCTTGCGAACCTTTTCCCTACAGGAGTTGGGTATTGATTTGGATTCTTCTTTGGTGATTTCTCCCCTTTTCCATTTCTTGTGCATGTCTCTTTTTAGTCTTAGCCCTGTTAGAAGTTCTTTGGACATCCATTCTGGCTTCTTTGAACTTGTCTGATTTTTTTCTCTTTGTTGGCACTGTTTGCAATTGTGCCTTGAGCATTTCATTGTTGAAAAACTCCCATTCATCCTGAACTCCTCCCTTGTTTTTTAGTATGAGTCCACGGAGTGCCACTCAGTATTTCCTTCATTTTTTGGAAGTCAGTTCTCCTAAAATCCAGAATGTGGGTTTGACTTGTCTTAGTTTCAGCCTTCCTTCATATCACAAACTGCAGGAGCATATCTTCACTTGCCCCTAAGGATCCAATCACTTTGACTGGTCCTCCACTTTTGTTAGAATGAGATTGAATGAGATCCCCTTGTTGCCTCTTCTACTTTCTGGACCACAAAATTGTTTGCAAGGCAATCGAGGAAATTGCTGGACTTTGTGCTTTTGGCCGAGTTTGTTTTCCAGCAAATAGCGGGATAGTTAAAATCGCTCATGATTACTATATCTCTCCTTTGTGCCTGTTTGGTCAATTGTTGGCAGAGGACTTCATCAAGTTCTTCATCCTGGCTTGGAGGTCTGTAGTAGACGCCTACAACTAAACCTTTTGAGTCCTAGTTCCCTTGATTCTTATCCAGATGCTTAAAAGCTGGTTTCCCTGATGGAAGTCTTGCACCTCTTCTGTGATTTGACATATAAGGCTATTCCCCCTCCTCTCCCCTTCATTCCATTTCTGTAAAAGAGGCCCGGGGAGTTCGGCATGATCTCATGGGCACCTGAACAGTCTTAAATTAGGTGGTTTGGGCTTCAAGCTCTGAGGACACACAATGCTAAAGAGTGGATTTCCTGTCTCTGTTCTCAAGTTCATGATTCAAGTTTCCTGCTCTGGTTCATGCCTTTGCTCCTTGAAGGGTTTGCCTTGGAAGAAGCTCCTGTTTTTTGGTTTATGAATTTATGTTTACTGCTGAAGATTTTAGTTCTTTTGACTTGTCATTTTTAGATTACTGCTATTTTGTATTTCCTATTCTACTGATTCTTTTGGAAATGTCATTTTATCCCTTTTCACCTGCTTTCTTTAATAAACATTTTTAGATAGTACTACTGGACTCTGGTGTGATGCCGAGTGAAACGGTGCTAGAGTGCAACTGTTTGTGTGTTTACTTCTTTCACTGAAAGCACCTGATTCAACCCGTCCCACTGGAAATGGATGGAAGAACATGTTAAGGTTCAAAAGGAATTCATGACATGGTTTGTGAGGCCAGCCAGCGGGCAGGCCTACTTACCGTCCTTGCGGTAGCAGTGCTCCAGCTCCAGGCGGCGCATGGCAGAGGCGTCCAGGACTTCAATGAGGCCGAGGGAGCCGTCCATGCGCCCCACCAGCAGTGCCTCGGGGGCCACCTCCCCAGTCCAGACTGCGGCCGAACCCTCCTCTGCCCAGGACAGCGCCGAGACCCAGTGTGGTTGGGCATCCAGTAGGCCTTTCCCGCCTGGAGGCGAGACACAACAACAACAAACCTAATAACAACTCTGGATCTTTGTGTTATGAAATCATTAACAAAATTGGTATCAAAGATAGAAGTCAGTCCTCGAGTTTTGTAAGATCACAATTCAATAGTGATGACCCTTTATAACAATTCAATAGTGGGTTGTTGTAGGTTTTTTCAGGCTATATGGCCATGGTCTAGAGGCATTCTCTCCTGACGCTTCGCCTGCATCTATGGCAAGCATCCTCAGAGGTAGTGAGGATGCCTCACTACCTCTGAGGATGCTTGCCATAGATGCAGGCGAAATGTCAGGAGAGAATGCCTCTACACCATGGCCATAGTGATTCCGGCCATGAAAGCCTTCGACAATAAATTCAATAGTGATGACCCAGATCTGCAACATGGGAGACTAAATGACATATTGCTGCAAAACGAAAAAATAGAGAATTCATAAAACAAAACACAATAAAGGAACATTTCAAAACAAAGATAAAGGAAGAGATCAACAAATTTTACGGGATGCTTGAAAAACGTGAAGGCCTTTTATGACTCCACAACATGCAACAGGGTCTTAGGTCATTTCAAAAAGGAAAATCAATAAATAAACTTCAAATAGATCTATGGGTATAACTTAATTATTGTTTTTAATATTAATGATGATTAATAATGTTTTAATATTTGTATATTTTGAATTGTATGGTAATACTTTTAATGTTAACCGCTTTGAGTCTTGTGGAGAGAAAAAGCAGGATATAAATAAACATAACAATAATAAAAAATAACAAATAAATAAATCAGCCACAGCAGCAGCGGTTTGGCAGATCAGACGGTTCTAGCAGCAGAACGAATGAGCTCCAGCAATTACAGGAGCAGGGTCAAGCTATGAACGCTGTTAAAAGACTATATTGAACTCAGGGGCTTTTCTTGTAGCTGACACTTTGACTAAGAAGAGGCAAAGACGGTGTAGTGAAATTGCTACTCTATGTTAAAGTTTTGGTGTATAGCTCTATGTTTACATATGGCAGATAGGGAAGAATAGGTACAGACAGGGTAGCAACAGCAGAGATAGGATTCATTTGCATATGTGAAGCCAATTGGTCATATGTAGATTAGTGTAGGCCCAGGATTTGAAAAGGCTGCTAGGCCAAAATGACAGATGGGGAGAGCAGAGCTGAACATTCCAAAGGGGCTGAGCCAAGGTTCTGAAAGAGGCAGAGTGAGGGAGTTTAAAAATGACAGGAATCTGTGTGTGAAGAGGAGAGTTGGTTTTTGAGTGCCTGATAGAAATAAGCTGTTATGAAGATGTGTTAAAGACTGATATAGAGAAGCAGTTAGTTAAATAGAGCTCGAGTTTTAAGGAACATAAAGAAGGCTAGTGTTGCCTTAGTTCAGAATATAATTCAGCCAAGAGTGTGTAAAGCAAGTAACATGTTTGTGAATTTGAAACACTGATAGTCTATTCAGAAGAATTAACCAAGTAAATGATACTGACTGTAAGCCTCAAGATTGCAACAAAACACAAATGTAACCACAAGCGTTGGAGCCAGAAGTTATAAATAAACTGTGTGACTTTGTTATACACGTGTTTCATTGCCTGCGATATAAAATACAAAGGTTTAACAGCACACAGAAAGCCCCAGCCAATATAAAAGAAGAAACTGAATCAGTATAAGGCAGCAAAGAGGTTTTTAGAGTGGAAATAGTCTCTCCCTCCCCTCAGACGGCAATGGGGAAGAAAGGCTTTCCCTACCACCGAACTCGGGGGCCTATCTACTCCTTGATAAGGGATATAAACGGGTGCGGGATGTGGCTGAGTCCTTACCGTTGACCTGCCAGATGTTGACCATCTTTTCCAAGGCTCCAGCCAGGAAGCGCCCACTGGGGCTCCAACAGGCCAGGGAGAGACTGGGGTCGCTGGGGGAGCCCGGGCTGCTATCCTCTGCTTCGCCTTCCCTGCAAACACACAAAGACAGGCCTTATTGCCTTTGACCGACGCTCCCTTGACTCAATGAAACTGCAGCAATGATACGTACAGTTTAATGAAGACACAGGTCTGCTGCAAGGAGTACTGCTTCTTTGTTATGCTCCACACCCGGATCGTCCCATCATTGCCGCTTGTGGCCAAGAGGCCCTTCTTGTTGCACCAAACGCAAGTGGTGACCTGTTTTAAAAGGGGGTAAAGGGCCATCAAGTGCAGCAGCCAGTAGCTTTTGGGGCTACAGGCTTTCTTCAGGGGTGCATCTACACTGCAGGACTAATGTAGTTTAGTACTGCTTTTACTGCTCTGGAACCCTGGGAGTTGTAATCTGGTGAGGTTTGGGGTTGCCGTTTGGGCTTTCGGGTCTCTAAAAGGTTTGCCATTGCTGCCCTAGACGGTTTCCTGATGGGGCTCATCCATTTCAACGGGGATAAATCAGGGGCAAAATGTGACTCCACGTCAAAGCTAATCGTTTTAGTTTGCTAAGAAGCTAATAAGGAAATTAAAATCATCCCACCAATATTTCTAACCTACATTTAACTCTTGTATATCTTGCATTAACCATGTTTAATCACTTTGTTATACCCCACCTTGAGGAGAGGTGGGTAATAAATGTATTATAATTGTTGTTGTATTATTTATTATTATACTAGCTGTACCCGCCACGCATTGCTGTGGCCAACATTCCCTCCCTCTTTCTCTCCTTCCTTCCCTCCCTCTTTCCCTTATTTCCCTTCTTCTTTCTTCCATTTCTAGCTGTTTCTTTCCTCCCTCCCTTTGCTCTGTGATTACACCCTTCCTTCTCTCTTTCCTTCCTTCCTACCCTCCCTCTTTCTGACTTTCGTTCCTCTCTCCTTCCTTCCCTCTCTATTTCCTTTCACTTTTTATTTCCTTCTCACCTTCCTTCTCTACCTTTCTTTCTTTCCTTCCTTCTCTCCTTCCCTCTTTCCCTCTCTCCTTCCCTCCTTCATTCCTTCCCCCTTTCCCTCCTTCTTTCGTTACTTCTCTTCTCTCCCAACTTTTCTGACCAACTTTTTCTGACCAACTATGTAAGTTAATTTGCCCTAATAGCAGAAAAAGGGCAAATGTGCATGGCTGCTAGTATCACAGAGTAATAAGAGTTGGAAGAGCCTGTACAGGCCACCGAATCCAACCCCCTTCCGCCATGGAGACGGGGAAAGGGCACTTAAGGGCTCAATGGCATTGCTGCTACAGTGAAGTGGTAGAGGGGGAGGTGCTCACCCGGTTCTGGTGGGCCTCCAGCTTGATGGAGGCGCACTTGCGCAGGTCGGAGGCCATGTCGGCTAAGGTCTGGGGGATGCTCTGGCTGTTGTCGCGGTCGTGCGCAGCCAGGGTGCGGACCAGTTGCTGGGCGGCCCACTGCCGGTGCTGTGAGGACAACCTTGAAGAGAGGCAGCAAGCGGCTAGTGCATTAGCCAGCTCCAGTGGGCCTACAGCGGAAGGATCATAGGAAGGGAGGGTAGGTGGGTAGGTGGACAGCGGTGGTGCAATATCCCACCCCCCTCTGCCCCAAACCACATTCGACGTCAAACACGGGACAACTTTGGCCCTCTTCCAGGTCTTTTGAACTGCAACTCCCCCTTCTTTCTGCCAGGAAGGACACCATCCAATCCCTTACAACAAATGGCCACCCAGACTGTCAGAGAATCAGAAACTCTTTCAGAGAGTCCAGGGGCCATTCAGTGCAACTCCCTTCTGCCACTATACACAAAAAGCACCATCAAAGCAGCCCTGACAAATGACCATCAAGTCTCTGGTTAATAATAATAATAATAATAATAATAATAATAATAATATCCTAGTTGGAAGGCTTCCCCAAAGGACATCCAGTCCCACCCTTTTCTGCCATGCAGGGAGAGCACCATCAAAGCACCCCCGACAGATGGCCACTCTGCCTTGGTAATAATAATAATAATAATAATAATAATAATAATAATAATAATAGCCAAGGGAGCAACCCCAGGTGCCATCCAGTCCAACCCTTTTCTGCCATGCAGGGAGAGCACCATCAAGCTGCCCCAATAGATGTCCACCCAGCCTCTGCTTAATAATAATAATAATAATAATAATAATAATAATAATAATTAATAATAATAATAGGATTCTAGTCAGAAGGGTCCCCCCAAAGGAATCCAGGCCAGCCCTTCTGGCATACAGGAAAAGCATCATCCAAGCTGCCCCAATAGATGTCCACCCAGCCTCTGATTAAATAATAATAATAATAATAATAATAATAATAATAATAATAATAATAATAATAGGATTCTAGTCAGAAGGGTCCCCCCAAAGGAATCCAGTCCAGCCCTTCTGGCATACAGGAAAAGCATAATCAAAGCTGCCCCAATAGATGTCCACCCAGCCTCTGCTTAATAATAATAATAATAATAATAATAATAATAATAATAGGATCCTATAGGTAGAAGGGCCCCCCAAAGGCTATTCAGTCCAGCCCTTCTGCAATGCAGGAAAACCACAATCAACGCCCCCCCCCCCCCCCCCCCAAAAAAAAAAAGATGGCCACTCAGCCTCTGCTTCATAGCCTCCAAAGAAGGAAGGAGCCTCCACCAAACTCCGAGGTAGAGAGTTTCACTGCTGAGCAGCTCTTCCTCTTACGGTCAGGAAGCCCTTCCTAACATTTAAGAAGAATCTCTTTTCCTGGGATTTGAACCCAGGAGTCCCAGTCTGCAGGCCCGCATAAAGGAAGCCCTGCTCTCTCTTCCTTAGGACATCTTTTCACATATTGAAACATGGCTCTCCTCTCCACTTTTGGAAGTTTCAGTGTTGGGAAACACTGTCCTGAGCCATTGTTCCCCTCCCTACCCCGCCACAACCAAAGAAGATGTAGAACCCAACTCAGCCCACGAGATGAAGCAAAAGGCCACCTCCAGTCTGTACCTTTCTTCTCCACCTCGGCTTTGTCATAATTGGGCCGCAGCTTGGCCCCCTTGTCGGCCAACAGGGCCACCAGCGCCTGGGTCACCACAAAGTTGGGGGATGTCACCAGCTTGTTCTCCTCGGCGATCCCACGCAGGAAGCTGGGCAGGAACTTCCGCTGCACCGGGTCATCCACTGTGGTCAGGTTGACTCCTGTGGCGGCCGAAATCAGGTTCTGAAACAGCCAAGAAATAGTCTTGATAAGTGTAGGGAGGAATCTGAGAAGGGAGAGATTCCTCTCACTTCCTGTTCTTAACTAGGAGTCGCATGTAAGTTGTATGTTTGTAAATTGGGGACGGCTTGTGTTTCCTCCCTATTCATTCCAGCCAAGCTTCAGTATCCGTCTCCCTCCCTTCCCCGTCTTATTTGCCTTCTTCTCGCCTATCTCCTCTTCTTGAATGAGCCCTCCTCCTCCTCAACCTCTCTTCTTGCAGCTTGTGGTGGATCTAGTTCGAATCTGCGTCTTATAAAAAAACTCATGGGGAATGATACTGGGAGGGCTGCAGAAGAAGAGGAGGAGGAGGAGGAGGTGGCGGAAAAGAGGCTCCCTGTTATTTGAGAACACAGAAATGCTGGACCACTCTCACAACCACCATGTCAGACTACACAGAGAAGCCATTGAAATCCACAAGCATGTGGACAATTTCAACAGAAAGGAGGAAACCATGAAAATGAATAAAATCTGGCTACCAGTATTAAAAAACTCTTAAAATTACAACAGCACAACAACAGTGAGGAAACAAACAAGGACATCTAATCACCTCTCAACAAAAGTTTGCTCCAGGCCATTATATGCTAATCAAAGTGGTTAGTTGAAACATTCACACCAAGCTCCAGCAGAAAAGAGTCCTTTGTCCCACCTTGGTCATTCCACAGATATATAAACCCCTTTTTCCTAGTTCCAACAGACCTCACTACCTCTGAGGATGCTTGCCATAGATGGAGGTGAAACGTCAGGAGAGAATGCCTCTAGACCATGGCCATATAGCCCGAAAAACCCTACAACAACCCAGGCTCCCTGTTACCTGTGTGCAGAGATGGACTAGGAGCTTGGCAGCACTGGGTGAGTTGGAGGCCAGGCAGCCGACAGCAGTGCTGAGGTAGGCCAGGCAGGAGATGGGCTTGCTCATCTTGCTGTGGAGAGCTCCCCGCGACCTCTCTGCAGCCCCCGAGGCAGAGGAGGAGGAAGTGGAAGAGGAGGAGGAGCAGGGTCCCGTGGAGAGTCCCGCACGACCGGCGGCAGCCAGGCACATCAGACGCACCAAGGTCCGGATGTCCGTCAGGCCAAGAGACTCTAGCCCTGCGGCCAGGCTGCAACTGGAACCGCTGGAGGAGAAAAGGAAGCAAGAAAGGAATCACAACTGTTTCCCCCAACGACTCATACAAAGAAGCATCCACACTTGTAAAAAGAGCAAGTATATTTCATTTCCTAATTATTTCTATCATTAAAAAAACATGGGAAAGATTTATTAATCTGCAAGAAGCGTGCTTTTGCAGGAGGGACATCATCCTGCAGCACACTTTGATCTAGTTTTTAATAATAATAATAATAATAATAATAATAATAATAATAATAACAACAACAACACTTTATTTGTACCCCGCTACCATCTCCCCAAGGGACTCGATGCGGCTTACATGAGGCTGAGCCCAAATACAACAATACACGCAATAACAACAACAATATAAGCAATTAAAATAAAAAAAAACATGGACAATAAGATATGCAACATTAACAATAAGACAGCACACAATTAAAACAGTGGGAAGGCCAAATGTAAAATTAAAATTGAAAATAATGCTGGAGGATGGGCGAAAAGGTGGTAGTGGCGTTTGTGGAAAACATACAAGCAGACCTAAAATGTAAAGTTTTTCAATGAGTATTTCATCAGGCTCCTTTGCTTGAAAATGGAGAAAGCATCTCCACAGAGCCGGAAATGAAAGGAGAAGCCTCTGCCTTTGTTTGTGTTTGTATGTCTCATTGTATATGATTGTAAAGGCATTGAATGTTTGCCTATGTATGCAAATGCTGTAATCCGCTCTGAGAAGAGAAGGGTGGAATATAAATCATGTGTTATTATTATTATTATTATTATTATTATTATTATTATTATTATTATTATTATTAGCATCATCATTATCATAGAGTCTCAATCAATTTAACTTCAACAAGAACCAAGGTTTTGGAGAAGAACAACTCCTTTCAAATTAAGGGCCGCACTATTAAATGGGAATAACACTTTCAAGCCAGTAACAGAACATGTTTCAAATGGAGTAACACAGTGATGTTGTTATTGTTGTTACTATCATTATCATTGTTATTATCATAATCATAATAATAATAATCATAGAATCAAAGAGTTGGAAGAGACCTCATGGGCCATCCAGTCCAACCCCCTGCCAAGAAGCAGGAATACTGCATTTAAATCACTCCTGACAGATGGTCATCCAGCCTCTGTTTAAAAGCTTCCAAAGAAGGAGCCTCCACCACACTCTGGGGCAGAGAGTTCCACTGCTGAACGGCTCTCACAGGAAGTTCTTCCTCATGTTCAGATGGAATCTCCTCTCTTGTAGTTTGAAGCCATTGTTCCGCGTCCTAGTCTCCAGAGAAGCAGAAAACAAGCTTGCTCCCTCCTCCCTGTGGCTTCCTCTCACATATTTACACATGGCTATCATATCTCCTCTCAGCCTTCTCTTCTTCAGGCTAAACATGCCCAGCTCCTTAAGCCGCTCCTCATAGGGCTTGTTCTCCAGATATAATAATAATAATAATAATAATAATAATAATAATAATAATAATAATAAAATTATAATTATAATAATAATTATTATTAAGAAGGGGCTGGATAGCCACCTGTCAAGAGGGATCAGATGGTGCTTTTCCTGCTTGGCAGAAAAGGATCCGACTGGATGGACCTTTCCAAGTTCTATTACCTTTGGTCCTCCAGGTGTTTTGGACTTCCGCTTGCACAATTCTTAACAGCTGGTAAGCTGGCTGAGATTTCTGAGAGTTCAAGTCCAAAACACCAGGAGGACCAAAGGTCAGGAACAACTGTATTACACTATGTAACACTATAGTTTTGTTCTGGGGTTCTAAATGCCATTGTTTCCTAGATGGTTCTATCATACGTGGTTGTGGAACCAGGCCTTTGGGCAATCTGACAACTAGATAAGAACAATCAGATGATTAGGACTGACAGGACTGACAATGTGGAATTGGTATTTGGACTATGAGATAGCGAATGCTGACCGTCAATGAGGAGTAATTGGGTTTGTATTGGTTTTATTGTTGTAATATAGGAACTGTTGTTTAATTGTTAATTGCTGCTATTTGTTTACTACTGTTATGTGATGCTGGCATCAAATTGTGCCTTTGTAAGCCGCCCTGAGTCCCCTTCGGGGTGAGAAGGGCGAGATAGAAGTAACCGAAATAAATGAATAAAATAAATAAAAACATGGACAAAGTTGACTACATGCAACAAACCCTGTCTTTGTGGCAAGGACATCATCCTGCCAGAGCACAACTTGCTCTAGTTCAGTGGTTCTCAACCTGGGGTCTCCAGATGTTTTTTGCTTACAACTCCCAGAAATCCCAGTCAGTTTACCAGCTGTTAGGATTTCTGGGAGTTGAAGGCCAAAAACATCTGGTGACCCCAGGTTGAGAACCACTGCTGTTTTTCCATGAATATCTCATCATTGGCCCTCAACCAATTCAACCTAGTTTGTAGCAGCAACAAACATGACCAAGTTTCTGTAGGAGAACAATTCCTTACAAAGTAAGGACTGCACAGTGAAACAGGAATAACACTTTAAAACCCGGAATAGAAAACTTTTCCAATTTTGTTGCATGGTGTTTTGAATGGTCAGTCAGGGAAGAAACTCCTTCGAGCCAAATATATTCAGTTTTGGGGATGATGTGCAGAGTAACTTGGGGCTTCACCAAGGCTTTGCCTCTCTTGTGGTGGTTCCTGCTGAAAGGGTTTCCAGGCTGGTTTTTAAAGGGCTCTTATCCCCAGAAGTTTTGGTAGCAGAGACGGGCGCGGTCTTTTCCGGTGTGCCCAAGAAACCCCTCAAAATACAGGAATTGCCCTGAAAACTCATTCAGCACAAACAATAACCTAACTTGTGGCAGCCACAAAAACAACGTTTCTGGAGTAAAGGAACGACTTTTCAAGTTAGGACTGAACAATGAAACAGGAATAACACTTTCAAGCCAGGAATAGGACATTTTTCAGATTTTGTGACATAGTGTGATTCTATGGTTTGATGTAGGTGGGTGGTTGGGTGAGAAGGAGCGGGACTCACCTGACGGAGAGGAGGGAGAGGGCACGCATTACCATGGTCCTGGCCAGGAGCACTTGGGCGGCCGCTGTCACCCGGCGCAGTGCCACCAGCCGGTCATGCGGGTTCACCAGGGCAGCCGCCTGCTCCCCCAGCGTCACGCGGCCCAAGGAGCCCTTATCCACCGAGCCCTGGCAGCCTGCAGGGAAGGCAAGGCAAGCGTTAGGGCCGAGTGGCTCTCACCCACCACTCACCATGAAGGGTTCCAAAGGTGACTCTCAACAACAGCGGCCACCCGTCCTTTGGGCTGAAGGCATCCACACACAACCTAGATCCTTCTTCCTTCCCTTCCTCCCTCCCTCCCTCCCTCCCAGTAAAACATTCTCCCCTTCCTCCATCTGGCATCAGCAGTAGCTGGCCACTTGGACTGCTTCTGGTGTTGCTATAAGAAGGTCCCCCGTTATGCATGTAGCAGGGCTCAGGCCGTATTGTAGTAAGTGGTCTGTGGTTTGCTCTTCTCCACACTCGCATGTTGTGGACTCCACTTTGTGGTCCCATTTCTTAAGGTTGGCTCTGCATCTCGTGGTGTCTGTTCAGCGCCTTCCAAGTCACCCAGTCTTATGGGGGGGGGGGGGGGGGGTCCTCTCATTTGGTATCAGTCATGGATTGTATCTCTGCAGATCTTAGAAAACTACTTCTTGATTTAAGGCCTTGGCGTGCTGGCTAATATCCAAACGGGATGGGCCGGAGATGTAATTGCTTTGGTCCTTTCATTATTGGCTGCTACTTCCTGGCGGATGTCAGGTGGTGCAATGCCAGCTAAGCCGGGGGTTCTCAAACTTTTTAAACAGAGGGACAGGTCACAGTCCCTCAAATTGTTGGAGGGCCAGATTATAATTTGAAGAAAAAAAACATGAATGGATTCCTATACACACTGCACATACCTAATTTGTAGTGCAAAAAACACCATAAAATAATACAATAAATGAAATAAAGAAGAATTTTAACAAATATAATAGCATTTCAATGGGAAGTGTGGGCCTGCTTTTAGCTGATGAGATAGGATTGTTGTTGTTGTTGTTGTGCTTTCAAGTCATTTCAGACTTAGGTTGACCCTGAGCAAGGGTTGGATAAATGACCTTGGAGGACCGTATCCGGCCCCCAGGCCTTAGTTTGAGGACCCCTGGGCAAAGCAGTGTAATTTCTCCAGTGGTGTGGGGCGTAGGCATCATGTGATAATGTGGCATGTCTCATTGCGCCACGTCCACTGTTTTAATGTGGTGAGATGTGTTCCACCTTGGGCATGCGTACTCAGGAGCAGAGTATCAAAGCACAAGGGCAGATGTCTTCACTGTGTCTGGTTGTGATTCCCAGGTTGTGCCCGTCAGCTTTTGTATGGTATTGTTTCTAGTGCACACTTTTTATTTGATATTCAGAGCATGGTTCAGAGTTTGTTTGTTTTTTTGTCGTGTCAGGAGCGACTTGAGAAACTGCAAGTCGCTTCTGGTGTGAGAGAATTGGCCGTCTGCAAGGACGTTGCCCGGGGGACGCCCGGATGATTTGATGTTTTTATCATCCTTGTGGGAGGCTTCTCTCATGTCCCTGCATGAGGAGCTGGAGTTGATAGAGGGAGCTCATCCGCCTCTCCCCGGATTCGAACCTGCGACCTGTCGGTCTTCAGTCCTGCCGGAACAGGGGTTTAACCCACTGCGCCACCGGGGGCTGGTTCAGAGTGACTTCCAGGCATTGTTTAAAACAAATGGTGACTCACTGTGTTTGAGCATGAGTGAGGCACACCAGAACACAGATGGATAAAATTCAGAAAAGACAATTTAGGGATGTATTACTGTAGATAACTGTTGGGATGTGCCTCCGAAGTCAACTCTTGTTTTCTTACAACTCTCTCATAGTGTTTTTTTGCCCAGATTGAGCCAGAAGAAGGTCTTACATAGGCAGAGAATAGCCAAAGAACTGTTGATAATGGGGGTTAATTTCCAAAAAGGGAGACAGCATTACAACAATGGTAATGCAGCAGCAGTTCAGAAGATCAGAAGCTTCTAATCCCAGCATTAGAGCTGCTGAGCTTCAGACCTAGCTATCTAACTCATGATAGACATCTTGTTTCTCTCCATGCTCACAATGGAGGACTCAGTGGAGAACTCAGAAAGAGGTGTGTTCCTAACAAGATGGCGATAAGAGGCGAGAACAGAATGACAGCCAGGCAGAGAGGCCAATGTGGGAAGGAAGGCCTTTTCCTCCCAACCTGCTCATCTGCCTCTCCATGTCCTCGATGAGGGCTACACCCTTGTGCCAGGATGTGGTTGAATCCCACATAAAGGCCCCTTGACCCAATACGGTGCCATGAGAAACCTGCCAGCCACCACCTCCTTTCCCTGGTCTATTGGCCAGAGGGAAGAGTGCAGGCCCTGAGGAACTCACCGATCTGCATGAGTGTTTCCTCCATGCTGTTGGTGGCGGTGACCATGGCCACAGATGCCCCCAGCGGGTCGCTGTCTGGGAACTGGACCGGCTCAGGAACGATTCGGCGGTCGTTGAGGCCAAGGGGTCCGGCCAGCAGCTCAAACTCCTCCTCCCCGGTCAGCTTCTCCTCCTCGTCCACGTCCAACATGTCCCAGTCCTCTAGGAGCAGGAGAAGCACAAAGCCCAGTCAAGGACCAGCACTCTTGGGGGCAGAGCCAGGCAGGCCCAGGCCTTGGCAGAGGAAGGCAAATAGACAGACAGACAGAGAGCCAAGGAGTACCTTCATAGACGCTCTCTTGCTTGCCAATCAGGTCGGGGGCTTGTCCTTTGTACCTGTGCGGAAAGGGAGGGAGCAAAGAAATTAACACTGTTTAGCTGGTGTTGCACCACTTGACATCCACCGGGAAGAGACAACTAATAGTGAAAGAACCAAGGCAGTGACATATCCGGCCCATCCCCTGTTCAGATATCAGCCAGCACGCCAACAACTTAAATCAAGAAATAATTTTCTAAGATCTACAGATACTCGCTGAAACACCTCAGTAAGCAAGAGTCCAAAAGTGGCAGGTTAAAACCTGGAACCTCAGTCCATGGCTGATACCAAATAAGAGACTCCCTCCTGGGCACATAGAAGACTGAGCGACTTGGAAGGTGCTGAACACACTGCCCTCTGGCACCACAGGATGCAGAGCCAATCTTAAGAAATGGGCTACAAAGTCGAGTCCATGACATGTGAGTGTGGAGAAAAGCAAAGCACAGACCACTTACTACAATGCAGCCTGAGCCCTGACACATAAACTATGGAGGCCCTTTTTATAGCAACATCAGAAGCACTCCAAGTGGCCAGCTACTGGTCAAAGAACATTTAATAAAATGCCAAGTATGCGAACTTTGTGGGTTTTTTTAATGCAATACAACTGTTTGGTTTGCTCCTGCCACAATAAATATATATACATCTATATCTATATTTATAAATCTTTATCTATATTTATATCTATTATTATTATTATTATTATTATTATTATTATTATTATTATTATTATTATTATTATTACCATAGAATCCTAGAGTTGGAGGGGACCCAAAGGGCCATCCAATCCATCCCCCTTCTGCCTTCATGCAGCAAAACCACAATCTAATCCCTCCCAACTGATGGCCACCTGTTCTCTGACTTTAATTGATGAGTTTCCCTTATCACAGAATCCTAGAGTTGAAAGAAGATATCCCCCAGGGTCATCCATGCAGGAAAAGCACAATCAAAGCCCCCCTCCACCTGGTAAGTGGCAACCCAGCACACAACTCCTAGAAGGAGCCCCCCCCCCTTTCCCCATGGACACCTTTCTGAGGCGGAGGTCTTGCTCTTGCTCTTGAGGGCCAGGTACTTCTCCCGGCAGCTTCCGCAAAGGAGGTAGTAGGGGTTCCCGCTGCCGCACTCCCCACCAAACCAGCCATCGACGTAGGAGCCGTTGCTGCGGTAGCCCTGGCGATTGGCGCTGCGGCCGCAGCCTGGGTGATTCCTCTTCATGTGCTGGTTGAAGCTGACCACGCTGCACTCGCACAGCTCACACACCACCACCTCCTCCCGGTCTTCCGACTCGCAAACGTGCTGCCAGCAGAACAATTGCGCACATGGTTAGGTGGAAAGAGTCCCATCCCATCCGCAACAAGAAATCACAGACTAAGCCATGTTGTTACCACTCGGCCTTGCGTAGTTCAGTCTATAGTTTTTAGTGCCTTGGACAAGATCCTCATCTAAATACCATATTTCATCACATAATTGTCACCACCAAGTATAGACGGGTGGCCAAATAGGTATTTCTTGTGTTCCTCATATAATAGTTGCAAAGCCGCTGATTCCCCCTCCCCCTTCTTTAATTTCAATAGTCACACCCCCTTTTTTTGATTAAAAGTGTGACTGTTATGCGAAGAAATATGGTACTCATTGCACACTTCATGAAGCCAGGTCCTCACACTTAACATCTAAGAGCAAAGCGTACTAAGTGACTGTGGTTGCATCAAAACCATACAGAAGCCATTTTTGCAGATCAAACCAACAAAGTGTTTAACAAAATGTGGGTTTGTGAGGAACATCCTCCACAGCAATGTCCTTTGTGCATGGAATTCCCCTCTGTTTAAAAAGAGAATTTTGAGGGCCAATCACTTGCTTAAATGATGCCAACTGGCGTCTTATGGCCCAAACTAACAGTGCTATGTTTTTATGTTATCAAAGGATCTGGATTCTGCCATAAATTTGCAAATTACAACATATACATACATACATATATATATGGAGTAAGAAGGTGGTTTTTAAAGAACTACCGCATACTGTTCTGTCAGCTGGAGCTGACAGAGGGAGCAGAACCTGTTCTCCCTGGATTCGAACCACTGACCTGTAAGTCAGCAGTCCTGCCGGCACAAGAGTTTAACCCACTGTGCCACCTATAACCATGTGTGTTTGTGTGTGTGTGTGTGTGTGTGTATATATATATAAACATACATTGAGTATGTGGATGGAAAGCACTATGTCAGGACCTAGGCAAACTTGGGCCCTCCCTCCAGTGTTTTGGACTTCAATTCCCACAATTCTGAACAGCCTGCCATGTAGAAAGTCAATGGACAGGTTATCTGTATTTCATTGCATAATAGTTGCACACCCATTTCTGGGCTGGCAAGAATGGTATTTTGGTGTTCCTCACATAAGAGTTGCAGAGCCCTTTGGGACAGATTTCCCCCTTCCTTCCTTCCAACTGCAAGTTAGATTTGAAGGCTAATGTAGGCACAGGTCAACTCTGGCCCTCCCTTCCCGGCTTTCAGGAATTGTGAGAATTGAAGTCCAAAACAGCTGAAGGGAAGGCCTGAGCGAAGCTTTAGCCTAGCAACATGGCCATACCCATACTGTGTGCCCATCTGTCTGCCCGCCCGCCCGTTTCCTTGAAAGCAACAGGAAGGAAGCGAAGCCGCCCCGGCGGTCGCCATCACACACACCCAGGTCGGCCAATCCAGTACCTCTGGGAGCCACATTCCCAGAATGTCATTATCACTGGCCAGGTCCTGCCCAAACATGGCCTCCATAGCCTCGTCGTCCAGGTCGATCTCCAGCTCTTCGTCCAGGTTGAAGTCGTAGAAGGCGCCCGGGTCCTGTGGCAGGGAGACCCCTTCCCTCCGGCTCTGGTTCCTGTGGGCCTGTACAGAGCGGTACAATCCCGCTTAAACCAGAGGAGAAAACCACAGGCTTTATTGTGCGGGAAGATCACAGCAAGGGCATTTGTTCTAGCTGCAACTAAAGATTCGTCCTGGCTAAATGTGGGTAGGAGGACAATGGGGGCAGAGCAAGGAACAGCTGCATGGAGAAAGGCCCCTGATACTGTATAATAGGGACACTTGGGGAATACTGTCTAATAATATGCCCCTTTTCTCAATGTTGGGGTCCCAAAACCTTCGGCAACAAGGAAAGGCTTCTAATTGTCACCCATTTACCCAAATCTATAGGCAATAAAACCCATTGTTTACAGTTGAGACTGTAGGTAATAATGATTCAACTGTACTTCATAAAGGAGTAAACAAATAAAGAAAATAATACTATCATCATCACTGTAAAAAATGGAGTAATAAATGACATTATTATTAGAAACACAACAAGATGAGTCCACAGCAGACATTCTGCTGGCTGTTGTAGTGGATCACGCATCGGACACTTCCGAAGTGTCTAGGACTGTGTGATGTATTGGTGAATAATGCGGGCAGGTCCCAGTAAGGTGGCCTTCTGCAGCTGGCAGATGGTAATTTTGTCAGCGCCAATTGTGTTTAACTGCAGGTCAAGGTCTTTAGGCGCTGCACCCAGTGTGCCGATCACCACTGGAACCACCTTGACTGGCTTGTGCCAGAGTCTTTGCAGTTCGATCTTTAAATCCTCATATTGTGTCAGCTTTTCCAGTTGTTTCTCTTCAATCCTGTTTTCACCTGGGATTGCGACATCGACAATCCATACTTTGTTTTTTAACACGATCGTGAGGTCAGGAGTATTGTGCTCCAAAACTCTGTCAGTCTGAATTCGGAAGTCCCAGAGGAATTTGACGTGTTCATTTTCTGTAACTTTTTCCGGCTTGTGAGCCCACCAGTTCTTTGTCACAGGCAGATGGTGTTTGTGGCACAGGTTCCAATGAATCATCTGAGCAACGGTGTTGTGCCTCTGCTTGCAGTCTGTCTGCGATATCTTTTTGCAGTAGCTGAGGATGGGATCTAGTGTTTCATCTGCTTCCTTGCAGAGTCTACATTTGGGAATTGTCGTCGACTTTTCAATCCTGGCTTTAATGGCATTTGTTCTAATGGCATTTGTTCTTGGGCTGTCAGAATCAGGCCCTCCATCTCCTTCTTCAAAGTTCCATTTGTGAGCCACATCCATATTTTTTCCTTGTCAATTTGGCAGTTTTTTTCCCAAGAACTATCCATGGAGAGCCTTCTTTGGCCAGTTTGCTCTTCTGCTCTGCATTATTATTATTATTATTATTATTATTATTATTATTATTATTATTATTTTCCCTCCTCTCCTTGTGGCTAGAGGTGCGTTAAAACACGTTTCATCCCAAATAGGATATGACATTGATAACCCAGGAACAAAAACTGTGTTACATAGTATAATAGTATAAAACTAACAATATGCCATATTTTCCGGCGTATAAGACAACCAACAACTTTTCGAGTTAAAATATAGAGTTTGGGATATACTCGCTGTATATCCCATACTCGCCGCCTCTTCCTCCTCCTCCCACCCTGCGAAGGGGAGAGAAGGAAGGAGATCCAAACTAAACAATTAAAAACAATTACATCAATTATTAAAATCGCACAAACAGAAACTAATTTTGCTACTCTTATCAATTGTAATGTAAATATCTGATATGCAGGATGTACTTTCATTGTAACAAATGGAACATAATTAAAGCATAGTGTTTGATCACAAAAACAATGTTTGGGGGACGACGGACAATGATTATGGGATTTGCAGTAACTTCAACTGATTCAGCTATGACTTCCACAGACCACTGAGACCTTCACAAATTACAGACTGGACCAAACTTGGCACACAGAACCCCCATGACCAACAGAAAATACTGGAGGGGTTTGGGAGGAATTGACAGTCATTAATGGGAGATGTATCCACACATCCAGAGAGGAACCCAAACAACTATTGATCTGGACCAAACTTGGCATGAATACTCAATATGCCCAAATTTGAACATTGGTGGAGTTTGGGGGAAAATAGACCTCGACATTTGGAAGCTCCTTGGATTTATAGTTCTCCTGCAATTAGAGAGCATTCTAAACTCCAACAGCAATGGAACTGAAGCAAACTTGGCACACAGAACTCGCATGAGCAACAGAGTATACTGGAAGGGTCTGGGATGGGACTGAGAGCAGGGCTTCCCCAGATGATCTTAACCTTCAAGAAGGTTCATAGAGGGAGATACGTTCAGACAGGTAAGCTGGACCAAAACAGTTTAGGGATTTATAGGCTAAAACCAGCACTTTGATTTGTGCTCGGAAGCAAATTGGCAGCCGGTGTAGCTGACGTAACAGGGGCGTTGAATGTTCCCTGTACGCCACTCCAGTTAACAATCTGGCTGCTGCCCATTGGACTACTTGAAGCTTCCGAACAGTCTTCAAGGGCAGCCCCACGTAGAGCACGTTGCAGTAGTCTATCCTGGACTTAACAAGAGTGTGTACCACTGTGGTCAAGGCAGCTGACACACAAGTTCTAATTGTGCGAAAGACCCCTAGCCACCACCAAGACCTGAAGTTCTAGGCTCAGTGATGAGTCCAGGAGGACTCTCAAGCTGCGAACTCGTGTCTTCAGGGAGACTGCAACCCTGTTCAGCACAGGCTATAAACCTATGCCCTGTCTGGCCTTGCAGCTGGCCAGGAGGACCTTTGTCTTGTCTCGATTCAATTTCAATTTCTTCACCCTCATCAGACCGTCACATCCTCCTTAGCAGCAGGTGGAAAGGAGTAATAGAGTTGGATATCATTTGCATACAGATGGCATCACATTCTAAAACTCCAGATGATCTCTCCCAGCAGCTTCATGTAGATGTTAAACCACATGGGGGACAGTATTGTGCCCTTCAGGACCCCACAGGACAATGGCTGCGGGGTCGAGCATGTGTCCCCTAACAACACCTTCTGAGAGTGATCCTCCAGGAAGGAGCCACTGCAAGTCAGTACTTCCAAGCCCCTTTCCTACGTGACGTCCCAGAAGGATACCATGGTCCACGGTATCGACGGCCACTGAGAAGTCCAGAACCAACAGGGACACCCCCCCCCCCCCCCACTATCCAGTTCTCTGCATAGATCCTCCACTACGGAGACCAAGGCTCAGTTCCATGGCCTAGTATGAAGCCAGACTGTGAGGGATCCAGATAATCACTGTCATCCAAGAACATCTGGAGTTGTGATGTGACCAAAATAATTAATATTTATTATCCTCCTCTCCTTGTGTCGAGGTGGGCTATATAACATGTTCCATCCCAATGAGGCAATGACATTGATAACTCGTGTTATATAGTGTTATTATTACTATGACTGTTGTTTTTATAATTATGAATCATTTAAGGCAGACATGCGCCAACTTCAGCCCTCCTCCAGGTGTTCTGGACTTCAACTCCCACAATTAGTAAGAGACTACCAGCTGTTGGGAGTTGTGGGAGTTGAAGACCAAAACACCTGGAGGACGGCCAAAGTTGTTGGCCCATGCCTGACTGCCAACCTAGCAGTTCAAAAACATGTGAATGTGAGTAGATCAATACGTACCGCTTTGGCAAGAAAGTAACGGCGTGCCATGCAGTCATGCTGGCCACATGACCTTGGAGGAGTCTACGGACAACGCCAGCTCTTCAGCTTAGAAAAGGAGATGAGCACCACCCCCAGAGTTGGACATGACTAGATTTAATGTCAAGGAGAAACCTTTACCTTTACTCAATATATACACACTCACCTGCTCGTGCCAGCAGCGTTCGGGCCGCCAAGTCGAACTTGTGTCTCCGGGTGACGGCAGAGCGTCCTCTGGAGGCGGGTCCACTTCCTGACGCGGTGTTTTCCCCGTTCTCCATGTTATCGTGGCTGAAAGTGCACAGAAAGAGCTTAGTTTCTAGGGAAACGCACATGATGATGCAAGAACAGGTTGCTTACCTGTAACTGTTTCTTTGAGTAGTGATCTGTGAAATTTGCACATATGGGTTTACTTTGCACATGTGCAATACAGTTCGGAACCTTCTAGCTCTTTTCTATTTAAACATTTTGATGGTATCCCTGCCTGCTCTCCCAGAGAGTGTATATATGCCCAAAGGCGGGGCTACAGCCTCAGTTCCCCCAACTGCTGACTGGCAGCCAAAGAGAAGAGTCTGCTGGCAGCGATACAACTGATAGTAGGAGTAGGAGAGGAGGGAAATGAGGTGCCCAGGTGTTAGATGAGGAGCAGCAAAGGAAGAGAATTCAGGAGTTACTTATGTCACCCACAGATGAAGAATCCTTTGAAGGTTTCTCTAAGAGTGAAATGTGTGAGGAGGAGGAAGGAGATGGGAATAGAGATATTAAGAGGATTACTCGAGAGGAGTCCGACGAGGAGCGTCAGAGAAAGAGGATCTGGGACATACTTATTGCTCCCATTGAAGAAGAGGATTTCATGGGCTTTACTGGAAGTAATGGGTCTGGGAGTAATGGGGATGAAGAGGAACCATTGGATTAGACTCAAGTTCAGGAGATCAGGAATGTGTGTATGCAACCCATGCCCAGTGACACTTTTGAGGGATTTTCTGGTGGGGATTGGCAATCTGGTGATACCATAAAATTGTGGGGAGACCTAAGTCTTGACAAAAGGTGAAAGAGTTGGAGGGATGGGCGTTGGCATTCAGCTGTTGAGGCTAAGCCAGCTGATAGCGATGAGGACGGGGTGGAGGGCAGCTCATCATCGGATGATGAGTTGTAAGATAAATGAAGGCATTGGAGTGATAGAACTTTGCAGTAGGCAAAGTGTTGGTTTCGTACTTTGGCTCTCGAAGAAACACAGCGACAGATAAGCAACTTGTTCTTCTTCTATGTGGCGTCTGTGAAATCGTACGTACGGGTGTCCGTCTGCGAGGACCAGGCCAGCCCTCAGATCGTGGCCCTCTACCTTTCACCGAAGATCACAGCGGTTGTGGACTCCCTGTCGCCCAGGATAGAGTGGATGTCTCCAGCTGGGGCTTTGCATCAGCAGCTTCCATTTTACCTTTTTTCCATTTTGGAGGCAACTTCCACCAGAAGCTTACTCATAGAAGAGCGCTTTCAAGGTGGACTCTCTTATGCACCTTGCCTGGGTGGTAAAGGCCTGGCAGATGGCACAGGCCTGAGCAACATCGCCCTCCCCCAGGCATAACAAACACAGTGCATGGAGTCAGGAATAGAGAAAGGCAGCAAAAAGTCCAGAGAAACTGTTACAGAAAAAGTAATAAAGGCACAAACCAAAGGTTCATAGCTGCAGTCAGCGTGGAAAAAAAGGAAGTGAGGCTGTAGCCTCGCCTTTAGGCATATATACCCTCTGGGAGAGTAGGCAGGGCTATCATCAAAATGTTTAGATCTAGAAGGTTATGAACTGCATTACGCATGTGCAGAGTAAACCAATATGTGCGATTTCAGACACCACATAGAATAAAAAGGGGCCCCACATGTGTCCATCTGTGATGGCATAAAAAGGGGACCCGCCCAGCCCTGAGATCGTGGCCCTCTACCTTTCACCGAAGGCTTCCTCCATCTCAGGGGCGTCAGCAGAAGGGATGTCTCCTGGGGACTGCAGGAAGCACTGGTCACTGGACTTGCCTCCTGAGAGGCCCGTCCCCACCCCCTGGAGGCGCGTGTCCACCCCGGCCTCTTCTCCCGGATGTGACTCCTCCTCCTCGGTCCCCGGGTGCTCAATCATCCACATGGCCAGCACTGTGATGTTCTGGGCATCTGCCTCACCTCTCGCACCTGTAAGGCACAGGGACACCACACACCTCTTTCACGTGTTTTGACTGCATTGTGCCCACCTCCAGCCATTAGGAGAGGTGGGTAACAAATAACAATTAATTAATTTCTATATCTGTATCATCATCATCATCATCATCATCATCATCATCATATAATATAATGTTCTGACTGTGTTATGCCCCACCTTGAGCAGTTAGGAGAGGTGGGCAACCCTCTCTCTCTCTCTCTCTCTCTCTATATATATATATATATATATACACACACACACACACACACATAGGATGGGCCATGGACGATGGGATTTACAGTACCTTCACCTGATTCACCTCCCACAGACCACTGCAGCCCCCACGAATCATGAATCTAAACTTGGCACACAGACATCCCATGACCCACTTTATGTCCTGGTGTAGTTTAGGGGGAGGACAATGGATGATGGGACTTTCAGTATCTCCACTCACTTCCTAAGACCACTGCAACCTTCACAAATGACTGATCCAAGACCAAACTTGGCACAGAGCTCCCATGACCAACTCTACATCCTAGTGCGGTTTGGGAAAGGATGGATCACTGACAATGGGACATACAGTACCTTAACTTACTTCCTGGGACCACTGTGACCCACACCGACAGATCAGATCCAAACTTGGCACATGAGCCACTCTACATCCAAGTGCAGTTTGGAGGTGGATGGACCATGGACGATGGGATGTCCATTACCTTCACTCACTCCCCAACACAACTGCGACCCACACCAATGACTGATCAATATTTTATTTATTATTTATTTTATTTGCTGCATTTGTTGACCGCCGCTCTCAGCCCTAGGGCGACTCGCGGCGGTGTACAACATATAAAAACAGTTTACAAAAGTACAACAAGAAATCAACATATCAAATTACACACTAATCTAAATTACACTAACTAATCCGCATCGTCACAACATAGAATCATAACCAATCTCATAATCCATATTCCGTTCCAGTTGTCATTACCAGTTAATGTAGCACTCAGTTAAATGCCTTCTCAAATAGCCAGGTCTTTAGGCTCTTACGGAAAGCCATAAGGGAGGGCGCCTGTCTGATGTCAACAGGGAGGGTGTTCCACAGCCGGGGGGCCACCACCGAGAAGGCCCTCTCTCTCGTCCCCGCCAGACGTGCCTGTGAGGCAGGCGGGATCGAGAGAAGGGCCTCCCCAGACGATCTCAAGGCCCTCGTGGGCTCATAGGCCGAGATGCGGTCCGAAAGGTATTTTGGGCCGGAACCGTTTAGGGCTTTGTAGGATAACACCAGCACCTTAAATTGGGCCCGGTAGCAGATCGGCAGCCAGTGGAGCTGGGACAACAAGGGCGTTGTGTGCTCCCTGCGTCCCGCTCCCGTTAGTAACATGGCTGCCGCGCGCTGGACTAGCTGAAGCTTCCGGGCCGTCTTCAAGGGCAGCCCCACGTAGAGAGCGTTGCAGTAGTCAAGGCGGGATGTGACCAGAGCGTGTACCACCGTGGCCAAGTCAGACTTCCCAAGATACGGGCGCAGCTGGCGCACGAGCCTAAGCTGTGCAAATGCTCCCCTGGTCACCGCTGAAACCTGGGGATCCAGGCTCAAAGATGAATCCAGGGTCACACCCAAGCTGCGAACCTGCGCCTTCAAGGGGAGTGCGACCCCGTCCAGCACAGGCTGTAACCCTATACCCTGTTCGGCCTTGCGACTGACCAGGAGTACCTCTGTCTTGTCTGGATTTAATTTCAGTTTGTTCGCCCTCATCCAGACCATTACAGCGGCCAGGCACCGGTTCAGGACCTCGACAGCCTCCTTAGTAGCAGGTGGAAAGGAGTGACAGAGTTGGACATCATCTGCGTACAGATGACACCGCACCCCGAAACTCCGGATGATCTCACCCAGCGGCTTCATGTAGATATTAAACAGCATGGGGGACAGTATAGAACCCTGTGGAACCCCACAGGTCAACGGCTGTGGTGTTGAACAGGAGTCCCCCAATAACACCTTCTGGGTACGACCCTCCAGAAATGACTGGAGCCACTGCAGAGCAGTGCCCCCGAGACCCATTTCCGCAAGGCGCCCCAGAAGGATACCGTGGTCGACGGTATCGAAGGCCGCTGAGAGGTCCAGGAGCACCAACAGGGACACACTCCCCCTGTCTAGCTCCCGGCGCAGATCATCCACTAAGGCGACCAAGACCGTCTCGGTACCATGTCCCGGTCTGAAACCAGACTGTGCCGGATCCAGAAATCCGTGTCTCTCAAGAATACCTGGAGTTGTGAGGCCACCACGCTTTCCATGACTTTGCCCAAAAAGGGGAGATTGGAAACAGGCCGAAAGTTGTCAAATTTAGTGGGGTCCAATGATGGTTTCTTCAACAGCGGTTTTATAATTGCTTGTTTTAAGCACGCTGGAATCTTGCCTTCCCGAAGGGAGGCATTAACCACCATCGTTACCCACTCAGCCAATCCCCCTCTGGCCTCCTTCAGAAGCCAGGATGGGCAGGGGTCTAGGATGGACGTGGTGGGCCTCATTCCTCCAAGTATCTTGTCCACATCCTCGGGCTTCACAAACTGAAAAGAATCCATCAAAATAGGACAAGCAGGTGCTCGTTTGATCAAGACCAAACTTGCCACACAGATCTCCCATGACCAACTCTACATCCTGGTGCAGTTTGTGGGATGAATCATGGACGATAGGACTTGCATATGGGAGTTGTAGTTCACCCGCACCCACTGAACCCAGCCAACATAGGAGCTAGACTAAACTTGGAGCAAAGACAAACAATGCCTTCTCAAATAACCCGGGCACCACCAGGTTCCCAAATTAGTAACAAATAAATAAATTGGGAGAGTTTCATGGATGTCTCAATTCCTTACCAAAACATTAATAGCTGGTCCCCTTACCTGTGGCTTCCATGGCTTTGGCGATCTGCCGGAGGGAGAAGCCCATTTCCAGCAGAGGCACCGCGATGGCTGGCGGAGGCGGGGAGGTCGAGAGGCGGCTGCTGGGGTCTGACAAAGCTGCAGGTGGGAAAGGGAGAACCAACAGGAAAGGTTTTTCTATCTTTTGTATGGACAGGATGCAGGAGTGCAAAAGGTACCTCGGTCAGAGCGAATCAGCTCAGGGGGGCGGTCCTACCTGTGCGGTTGGCAGGCCGCGCAGACTGGGAGTCTGGGGAGGTGAGGGACTGCCGGCGGCCCACGTCGTCCGAGGGGGAGGTGGGCAACGAGGAGACTGGCGGGGTCTGGGCCCGCCTCGCAGGGAGGGCAGCTGTTGTCGGGTAGCTGGAGAACATTTGCCTGGAAGAAAGAGGGACAAATGGTGTGGGAAGAGGTCCCATGGACTCACATAACACCATTGTTGTGCCAGGGTTATAAATGTCAATTCCTAATTGGGCTGGGACATGAGGAGAGGAGGGCAATTAATAATAATAATAATAATATTAATAATAATAATAATAATAGTGTCACAAGTACCACCTGCCAGTAGTAAAGAATTGGTGGGATCATAAACATGCAAAGGCCATGAAAAATAAATATGCAAAATTGCTGTGGGACTTTCGAATCCAGACTGACAAAGTTTTGGAACACAATACACTAGACATCACAATTGTGGAAAAGAAAAAAGTTTGGATTATTGATGTCGCCATACCAGGTGACAGTCGCATTGAGGAAAAACCACAGGAAAAACTCAGCAGTTATCAGGACCTCAAAATCGAATTGTTAAGGCTCTGGCATAAATCAGTACAGGTGGTCCCAGTGGCAATCGGCACACCGGGTGCCGTGCCAAAAGATCTCAGCCGGCATTTGGAAACCATAAACACTGACAAATTCATGATCTGTCAACTACAAAAGGCCACCTGACTTGGATCTGAACGCATCATTCAAAATTACATCACACAGTCCTAGACGCTTGGGAAGTGTTCGACTTGTGATTTTGTGATACGAAATCCAGCATAGAGATCTCGTTTGCTGTGTCATACTGTGTTTTTGAGTCAATAATAATAGTATGTTATTGTTATCATTATACTTTGTAACACAGTTTTTGTTGCTGAATTATCAATATCATTTCCTAATTGGGACGGAACCTGTTGTAGTCCGCCTCTAGCCACAAGGAGAGGAGAGTCGATAATTGTAATAATGATAATAGTGGGATACCTCTAATATCCCAGGCCCTTGGGAAGAGCCCAATATTCAGAGACGAACCCCAGACACTTGGACTTCATGTGCATGTGTGCTGTGTTGTTATGTGCATGTAATAAAACGATGGCAAACTATTTTTGTTATTATTATATGATTACAGTATGTAACACGAGTTTTGTTCCTGGGTAATCAGTATAATTTCCTAACTGGTTCTACTATAAAAACATAGAAAAAAAGTTTATTAAACTGCACAAACTTTGTCTTTGCAGGAGGGACATTGTGCAATACGTTCTGCTCTAGTTTTCAATCTAGTTTGCAGCAGTCACAAAAACAATGATGTTTGTGCAGTAAAGCAACTCCTTTTCAAGCCAGGACTGCACAATTAAACAGGAATCATACTTTCAAATTAGGAACAGAATAATTTTTAAAATGATTGGGGAGCCAACTAGGCACCCGCCATTGCACTCCTCCTGCCTTGAGACCCATACACCATCTGATCTAAGGCCCCCCAATTGCAGGCTCCAAGTGCCTGGCTCACCGGAGGAGGCTGAGGGGCAGGACGCCGGGCGACTCGGAGGCGGGGACGGTCTCGGTGTCGGTGACCGGGGTGGTAGCGGTGGTGGTGTCCTCCAGGGAGCTGCTCATGAAGGAAGTGGTGCTGGAGGCCGAGGGGCTGGTGGTGACTGGCGTCTGGGCCTGCGGGGGCCCCTCACCCTCCTCCGCCTGAGGGTCCACCTCTGCAATGAAAAGGGACTGGGATTTGAAGCAGAGAGATGGAATCCTGGGCATACAGGCCATCACAGAGTTACAAACATTCAAAACATTCCTAGTTAAGAACAATGGGGCTGAAACAACAGGAAAGAAGGAAGGAAGAACGGAAGGAATGAAAGAAGGAGGGGGAAGGAGGAGGGAGGGAGGAAGGAAGGAAGGAAATGAGGGGGGAGGAAGGAATAAGGGAGGGAGCAGGGAGGGAGGGAGAAATGAATAAGCAAGGAAGCAGGGAGGGAGGTGGGAGGCAGGGAGGGGGGAAGGAAGGAAGGGAGGAATAAGGGAGGTGGAAGGAATAACGGAGGGAGGAACAGAGGAATAAGGGAAGGAGGAGGGAGGGAGGAAGGGAGGAATAAGGGAGGGAGGGAGGGAGGAGGAAGGAAGAAGGGAGGGAGGAATAAGGGAGGGAGCAAGGAGGGAGGAGACAGGGAGGAAGGAAAGGAGGGAGGAAGGAGGGAGGAATAAGGGATGGAGGGAGGAGGGAAGAAGAGAGGAAGGAAGGAAGGAAGGAAGGAAGGAAGGAAGGAAGGAAGGGAGGAGGTAGGGAGGGGGAGGTAAGGAAGGAAGGAATAAGGGAGGGAGGAAGGAAGGAAATAATAGATGGGTTGCTTACCTGTAACTGTGTTTCCGTCAGTGGTCCCTGTGAAATCCACACATATGGGTTTTCTGTGCCTGTGCAGACAGTTTCAGAACTCTGTAGAATGTTAAAGGATACTTTTTGGCGGTAGCCCCACCCATGCTCCCCCAATAGTGTATATAGCCAGTAGGTGGGGCTGCCGCTCCAGTTCCTTAGCCGCAGAATTGCAGCCCAGGATACCGGAGCATGACGACGGGCAGGGACGTGTGGATTTCAAAGGGACCACTGGAGGAAACACGGTTACAGGTAGGCAACCCATCTTTCCTCTGTGTGGCCACTGTGAATGCACACATATGGGTGACTAGCAAGCTACTAACCTTGGAGGTGGGTGTCATGCAACACGCAAAAGCAGCACCACTCTTCCGAAGGCAGCATCTCTTTTGGACATGACATCCACCTTATAGTGGCTGAAGGTGGATGGAGTAGCCCAGGTGGCTGCATGGCAGATGTCTTCCAAGGGCACCCCTTTAAGGAATGCCCTTGGAAGGGATGTGGCCAAGGATCTAGTTCAGTGGGCCTTCATCTGGGAAACCAGCTTGAAAGCATCTGGATAAGAATCAAGGGAACTGGACTCAAAATGATGTCATTGTAGGGGTCTACTACAGACCTCCAAGCCAGGAGGAAGAACTTGATGAAGTCTTTTGCCAAGAGTTGACCAAACAGGCACAGGAAGAGATGTAGTAGTCATGGGCGATTTCAACTATCCCGATATTTTCTGGAAAACAAACTTAGCCAAGAGTACAAAGTCCAACAAATTCCTTGCTTGCCTTGCAGACAATTTCATGGTCCAGAAGGTAGAAGAGGCAACAAGGCGGTTGGCTACTCTTGATCTCATCCTAACAAATGCGGAGGACCTGATCCATGCAATTGAAGTGGTCGGATCCTTAAGGGCAAGTGACCATGTGCTCCTGCAATTTGAGGTACAAAGGAAGGCCAAAACTAAGACAAGTCAAACCCGCATTTTGGACTTTAGGAGAGATGATTTCTGAAAAATGAAGGAAACACTGAGCAGCATTCCGTGGAAACAGATACTAAAAGACAAGGGAGTTACGGGTGGATGGGAGTTTCTCAAGAGTGAAATACTCAAGGCGCAATTGCAAACAGTGCCAACAAAGAGAAAAAATACAACAAGTGCAAAAGAAGCCAGAATGGATGTCCAAAGAACTTCTAACTGTGCTAAGACTCAAAAGAGACATGCACAAGAAGTGGAAAAAGGGAGAAATCACCAAAGAAGAATTCAAACAAATAGCCAACTCCTGTAGAGAAAAGGTCCGCAAGGCTAAAGCACAAAACGAGCTCAGGCTTGCCAGGGACATTAAAAACAATAAAAAGGGCTTCTTCTCTTATGTCAGTAGAAAAAGTAAGAACAAGGAGGCGATAGGGCCTCTTCGAGGAGAAGATGGGGCAATGCTGACAGGTATAGGGAAAAGGCAGAACTACTTAATGCCTTCTTTGCCTCAGTCTTCTCACAAAAAAAGTCATCTTCAACCTCAGCAAGATGGAGTGGATGAGGGATTAGAGGACATCCAACCCCAATTTGGGAAACAAGTCGTCCAGGAACACCTGGCCGCTCTAAATGAGTTCAAGTCCCTGGGGCCAGATCAACTACATTCAAGAGTATTGAAGGAACTAGCAGAAGTCATTTCAGAACCATTGACCATCTTTGAGAGTTCTTGGAGAACAGGAGAAGTACCAACAGATTGGAGGAGGGCCAATGTAATCCCAATCTTCAAGAAGGGAAAAAAGGATGACCGAAACAATTACCGTCCAGTCAGCCTCACGTCGATACCAGGCAAGATTCTGGAAAACATTGTTAAGGAAGTGGTCTGCAAACACTTAGAAACGAATGCGGTCATCGCTAATAGTCAACACCTATTTATCAAAAACAAGTCATGCCAGACTCATCTGATCTCTTTGTTCGATAGAGTTACAAGCTGGGTAGATGTGGGGAATGACGTGGATGTAGCGTATCTGGATTTCAGTAAGGCCTTCGACAAGGTCCCCCATGACATTCTGGCAAATAAACTAGTCCAATGTGGGCTAGGCAAAACTACGGTGAGGTGGAATGAAGTTCAACAGTGACAAATGCAAGATACTCCACTTAGGCAGAAAAAATGAAATGCAAGTACGCACCACGTGGCCCTCCCCAAAACATAACAGACAAACAGAATGGCAGTCCGTGTCTGGGTACTTGCCACCACATTGGGAGCATTTTTTGAAGACAGCCGCCATTTTGAGGCACAAAAGAGAGGTAAGTACAAGCCTGAGAAGAGTCAAACAGTCCGTGGTCAGCCAGCAAGGTACGAACGAAGTTCAAATAGGTAGGCAAAGAGTAGTCAGGGAATGGTCCAGTCAAAGTCCAAAAAATTTGGGGTAAAGATCAAAATATAAGATAAGAGCTAGTCACTTGAGAGGGGGGCGGGGTTTAACTGCTACTACTGCAGCAGAAAGAAGGAACTGGAGCGGAAGCCCAGACTACTGCCTATATATACTATTGGAGGAGCATGGGTGGGGCTACCGCCAAAAAGTATCCTTTAACATTCTAGAGAGTGCTGAAACTGTCTGCACAGGCGCAGAAAACCCATATGTGTGCATTTCACAGTGACCACGCAGAGGAAAAGGGAGGGAGGGAGGAAGCAATAAGGGAAGGAGGGAGGAGGTAGGCCAGAAGGAGGGAGGAAGAAGGGAAGAAGGAATAAGGGGTGGAGGGAGGGAGGGAGGGGGAGGGAGGGAGCAAGAAGGGAGGGAGGAATAAGAGAGGGTGGAGGGAGGGAGGAATAAGGGAGGGAGGGAGGAAAGAATAAGGGAAGGGGAAAATGAGGGAGGGAGAGAGGAATAAGGGAGGGTGGAGGGAGGGAGGAATAAGGGAGGGAGGAAAGAATAATGGAGGGAGAAAAAATGAGGGAGGGAGGGGGGAAGGAAGGAAGATCTTGGTGTCAAAGAGCAACTAATGTGACTCTTTGAAAGAGGTTTCCAGCTCTGGCTCTATAACGAGTGGCGTCCAAATGGCCACTTGGGCCTGGCCGTCTGCATGGGCTGCCTCCTACCTGTCTTGGTCCGGCTGCTGCTGCCCTGCTCCTCCAGCATCCCGTGGACCACCAGCTTGTAGACCATGGCCTGTGCACGCTCCAGATCTGCCAGTCCCAGGGCCCGCTTGATGGGCGAGCGCATGACTGCCCGCTTGACCATGTGGCGCATGAGGAACTGCAGGGCGGCCCGCATCTCAGCCTCCTCGTGGACGACCGGGGAGCTGGCGCAGTCTGAGTTGTGCCCACTCTCGGCCAGGACCTTGGGGATCAGAAGCAGCTCGGCGTACTTGCTGCAGCTCAGGAGGGTGCCAAGCGACTTCATGGCGCCCAGGTAGAGGTACGACAGCTGCACTGCCCGGATCTCCGACTGCATGGCAGCCTCGTGGCTCTTGGGGCCGTGGTCATGGTTCTTGCGTTTGCCCTCGGCGTTGGGGTGTGGTCCCTCTGCTGTCACGCCGAAGGAGATGGCTTCCAAGAGGAAGGGGCCACCCTCGCTTTCGAACCGAGAATGTCCCCTGCCCTCCTCGGTGCTGGGTGTCGACTCTGTGGCAGTGGCGTCCACTTCATCGGACTTCTGCTCAGCCTCCACCCGGTCTTCAGGGTCATTCCGGTGCTTCTTCTCGTGCCGCTTGGGGCACGGCTTCCCAGCCTCTTCATGGATCCCGGTCAGGAAGGTGAGGTCCAACAACACGGTGGCTGTCAGCCCTCGGAAGCGCGCCACGTCAAAGGGCAGGGGCTCGCACGGCTCCAGGTTATACAGGGGCGTGTCACTAGGCGACCAAAAAGTTGGGAAGCTTTAATAAAGACCAGAACGACACAGGAAGAAAGCGAGTGAGGGAGAGACAGGAGGAAAGTGCAGGAAACAACGCAGGTCAACATAAGTTGTCAGTAACAGAGTTAATTGGAACCTAAACCAACTGACAGTCTGAATATCAACAAAGGGAGAGGAAATGAGGGTTGTGGTCAGAGATCGGGGATGAGAGGGCTGATACTCGACACAAAGGCAGCAAGGAGATTTTGGAAACAATCAGTGCCCAGGACTTCATGTAATTACACCTTAAAACAATTAGGTGTGGGAAATCATCCAAAAAAATGGCCAGGAACATATAAACAGCCCTTTTTTTTGGTCGTGTCAGGAGCAACTTGAGAAACTGCAAATAGCTTCTGGCGTGAGAGAATTGGCCGACTGCAAGGACGTTGCCCAGGGGATGCTTGGATGTTTTGATGTTTTATCATCCTTGTGGGAGGCTTCTCTCATGTCCCCGCATGAGGAGCTGGAGCTGATAGAGGGAGCTCATCCGCGCTCTCCCCGGATTTGAACCTGTGACCTGTCGGTCTTTAGTCCTGCCAGCACAGGGGTTTAACCCACTGCGCCACCGGGGGCTCCTTAAATGTGACCATTTGAGTCCTTTGTACCTGATAAGCCTCCCTTTTAGGGAAAAAAGGCTGAGAAATCAGGTGGAATGATGTTTCCTGGATCGGCCAAGCATGCCATATTGTCCTGGCCTAAATTGCTCACCCACAAACTCCCAGAATGCTCACGATGTTAAAGGACATTATTGTATTTCTTGAGTCTAAGCAAGCGGTTGGAACAAGCCTGGGCCAACTTCAGCCCTCCCTCTCTTTAGGTATTCTGGACTCCCAACTCCCACAATTCCTAACAGCTGGTCATTGACAGGAATTGCACCGGGACTGTGGCACAGCTGGCTGGGAGTCAGCTGCGTGAAGATCACTACTGACCAAAAGGTCATGAATTCAAAGTCAGCCCGCGTTGGAATGAGCTTCTGACCATTGTGTGTAGCTTGCTGTCGACTTTAGCAGCCCAAAGGACAGTTGCATCTGTCAAGTAGGAGATTTAGGTACCGCTTATGCGGGTAGGCTAATTTAACTAATTTACGACGCCATGAAATCTCCAGCAAACAAGCAAGCAACGAATGAGGAAGTACTCCATCAGTGTCTCAAATGAACGGTGAAGCAACAGCTCCCCTGGTGGCTAGAATAACCTCATGAAAGCTAGAAAGTTAAATAGACTCTGTGTGTCTGTCTATATATGTTGTGTGTCTATGGCATTAAATGTTTGCTATGTATATGTACACTGTAATCCACCCTGTGGGGTGAGAAGGGTGGAATATAATAAATAAATAAATAAATAAATAATTTCATCGCATAATAGTTGCACCCAAAGTTGGCCCATGCCTGGGTTAGACGCTGCCTCTGTCTCCACTGGTTTACCAATGGAGCTCATGAACCTCCCTCCCGCCAATGGATAGCCCCGGTGGATGGCCTTTCCCAGCCGCATCTGTTATTCGAGCAAAGGCGCTGCAGTACCTGATGGTGATCTCGGCCTCATCCCACTGGACCTTGGCGGAGGCACTGCCTTCCTTGACCACTCCCAGCAGCGTTGCGTAGCGCCCGGTCTGGCGGTGGATGCAGCGCCCTCCAACCCGCAGCCCGCCATCCACTCCGCCAATGACAGCAAGCACGGGCCAGACCTCCGTGCAGAGGATCTTCAGCTGGGGCTCCGAAAGGTCAGCCAGGCCATGACGCCCCCCTCCTGAACCAGGCTTGCTTCGCTCCTCTATCTCCTTCTCCTCGCGGGCCTCGCTCTCATCTCGGCTCTGCACCGAGCGGCTCTTCTTCAGCTTCTGCCCGGGGACAGAGGGGGCGGAGGAGGCCTCCTTGAGGCAGCCCTTGATCTTGTGCAGCCGCTCCGTCATCTTCTTGTTGATGCAGTGCGTCCAGCGGTCTGTCCGGTGGAGGATGCGGATGAGCTGGACGGTGGCCTCTGCCAGCACTGTGGTTACAGGGCTGCAAATGGGGTCCCCTGGGAGCAGGTCCCGTGGCGTCCCACGCATCTGCATGTCGCATATCTTGACCTAGGCACACACATACACATCCACTGAGCAGGGTTCTCAGGTCTTGCTATTTTTAAAATGTAATTAATAAGAATAATAAAGACACCACCTTTACTCTTAAGGCTCTAAAGTCCTGAAGAGTGCTAAAAACAATGCAATATAGAATTCACACACATACACACACAAATATCCACTAAGCAGGGTTCTCAAGTCTTGCTATTTTTATTTATGTAATAAATGATAATAACTCTAAAAAGTACACTGCTTTTTTTCTCTTAAGACTCAAAAATCCTGAACAGGGATAAAAGCAATACAATACACAATTCACACACACAAATCTGAATGTCACAAATCTTGACCTAACACACTCACAAATATCCACTGAGCAGGGTTCTCAGGTCTTACTATTTGTATTTATGTAAATAATAATAATAATAATAATAATAATAATTATTATTATTATTATTATTATTATTATTATTATTATTATTATTGATGAAAGTCAATAGTAGTAAACTGCTGAAAGTGCAAAAGACAAAGAGGGAATACTGTAAAAACACAATCCAGAGCAGAAGAGAAAACTTGCAAAAGAAGGCTCTCTATGGACAGTTTCTGGCAAAAATTGAGAGCCAAATTGACAAAGAAAAAGCATGGCTGTGGCTCACAAATGGAACTCTGAAAAAGGAGAGAAAGGAGGGCCTGATTCTGGCAGCCCAAGAACAAGCCGTTAGAACAAATGCCATCAAAGCCAGAATTGAAAAGTCAACAACAGATCCCAAATGTAGACTCTGCAAGGAAGCAGATGAAACAAATAGATCACATCCTCAGCTGCTGCAAGATGATCGAGCAGACAGATTACAAGCAGAGGCATAACACTGTTGCTCAGATGATTCATTGGAACTTGTGCCACAAATACCATCTGCCTGCGACAAAGAACTGGTGGGATCACAAGCCGGAAAGAGTTACAGAGAATGAACACTTCAAATTCCTCTGGGACTTCTGGATCCAGACAGACAGTTTTGGAGCATAATACTCCTGACCTCACAATCATATTAAAAAAAAAAAAGTATGGATCGTCAATGTCGCAATCCCAGGTGACAGCAGGATTGCAGAGAAACAACTGGAAAAGCTGACATGATATGAGGATTTAAGGATAAGGCTCTGGTACAAGCCAGTCAAGGTGGTCCCAGTGGTGATTGGCACACTGGGTGCAGTGCCTCAAGACCTTGGCCTGCACTTAAACACAATTGGCACTGACAAGATTACCATCTGCCAGTTGCTAAAGGTCACCTTACTGGGATCTGCATGCATTATTTGCGGATACATCACACAATCCTAGACACTTGGGAAGTGTCCAAAGTGTGATCCAATACAACAATCAGCAGAGTGATCTTGTCTGCTGTGGACTCGTCTTGTGTTTCAAATAAGAATAAGAATAAGAATGAGGAGGAGGAGAAGGAGGAGGAGGAGGAGGAGGAAGAGGAGGAGGAGGAGGAGGAGGAGGAGGAGAAGAAGAAGAAGAAGAAGAAGAAGAAGAAGAAGAAGAGTCACGGCCATAAACACCTGAGCCATATCTGTTGTAAGATATACTGCTGGCATCATAAACTGGACAATTTAGACAGTAAAACAAGAAAACCCATTATGAATTATGAATCATAGAATCATGGAATTATGACCATTCATAATTCACTGCATCCTCACAGTGATGTTGACCGGCTCTATCCGCTTAGATCTGGAGGCAGAGGACTCTAACAAGTAAAACAAGCAGTTGAAGAACACGCCCTGACAGAATATGTAAAGGAAAGCCAAGAACCTGCTTTAATTGAGGTCAGTAATCGAAAACTTCTCAAAGCACAGTAGACAAAGAATCAGTACAACAAAACTGAACTCCAAACCAGAGCTGATAACTGGCACCAACAAAGCATTGCATGGGCAGTTCCTTGACAAAATTGAAGGAAAAGTTAACAGGGAGAAGATCTGGTTATGGTTCACAAATGGAATACTGAAGGAGACAGAAGGCCTGATTCTTGCAGCCCAGGAGCAAGCCATCAGAACAAATGCCATTAAGGCCAGGATCAAAAAATGATGATCCAAAATGCAAGAAAGCTGGTGAAACCATTGATCATATCCTCAGCTGTTGCAAGAAAATCATAGACGGACTACAAATAAAGACACAACTCTGTGGCCCAAATGATTCACTGGAACTTATGTCACTATTATCATCTGCCAGCAGTAAAGAATTGGTGGGATCGTAAACCCGCAAAGATAGTGGAAAATAAACATACAAAAATACTCTGGGACTTTCGAATTCATATTGACAAAGTTTTGGAACACAATACACCAGACATCATGATTGTGGAAAAGAAAAAAGTCTGGATTATTGATATCCTCAGATTTTGTTATTTGGGAGTTGTAGTTGCTGGGATTTATAGTTCACCCATAATCAAAGAGCGTTCTGAACTCCACCAATGATGGAATTGAACCAAACTTGCCACACAGGACTCCCATGACCAACGGAAAACACTAGAAGGGTTTGGTGGGCATTGACCTTGAGTTTTGGAGTTGTAGTTTACTTACATCTAGAGAGCACTGTGGACTCAAACAATGATGGATCTGGATCAAACTTGGCACAAATACTGAATATGCCCAAATATAAACACAGATGGAGTTTGGGGAAAATAGACCTAGGCATTTGGGAGTTGTAGTTACTGGGATTTATAGTTCCTCTACAATCAAAGAGCATTCTGAACCCCATCAACGACAGAATTGGGGCAAACTTCCCACACAGAACCCTCATGACCAACAGAAAATACTGTGTTTTCTGGTGGTCTTCGGTGATCCTTCTGACACCCCCCTGGTGACCCCGCCCCCGGGGTCTTGACTTCCCAGGTTGAGAAATGCTGCCTTAAGGCCATCCAGTCCAACTCCCTTCACCAGGACAAGAAAACATAATCAAAGCCCTCCTGACAAAGGGCCATCCAGCCATTCACACATACACATATATGTATATGACAGAAGCAGTATCAAAGATTTGAAAGGGACCCCTAAAGAAGGACAATGATATGTTGCATGTTTCAGAGTAGGCAAACCAGACAATCTCCACATCAACACTGGCAAAGAAATAGCAAGAAATACTGTTTACCCACAAGCATAAAGACATTACATATATTAGAAACCAACACTTTCTCGTTACTTTATTTTCCAGATCACCAAACTGGGCCACAGCAACGCGTGGCAGGGGACCGCCAGTAATAAAAATAATAATAATCAATACACTGCCTCTTTCTCTTAGACTCAAAGTTCTAAAGAGTGTTCAAAACAAAACAATATACAATTCAAGCCCTGTAAGCATCATAGTAAACAATGCTCTATTTCTGATACCTTCTCTCCAGGATTGCTGCTATAAAACATCACACACGGGTAGAGCTCTGCCGCATCCACGTCTTCAAAAGCCAGCTTGGGTTCCTGTTAAAAGAGAAACCTTTTTTTCACACACAGTTGTTTGGTGGCAAAACCCGCCTGGCAAGACACCCCTGCCTGCCACTTGGGGTCAAACGGGGATGTTCCAGGCAGGACGGCTGCGTGGGGAAGGTGCTCCGCACCTCTCCGTTCTTGCCGAAGGAGATAGTCCTGGCCTCCATGTCCAGCACGCAGGTGATGAAGTCTCCTTGGGTGAAGCTGGTCAGCGTTAGGGTCTGTTCCCCATTATGGTAGAGGTTCCCGCTGTAGGCACGGTAGAGCCACATGTCCGAGGTTGTGCGGTGGTTGAAGTCGTGGACCGGCCAGCGGGAGACGCCCACACAAGTCCCTTCATTGCCCCGATTCTCCTTCACGATGTAGAACTAGGAAGCCACAGAGACACAAACATTAACCCTATGGAGACACCGCAATTGGCCATAAATTATGGAAAATTACCCGTATTTACTCCAATCTAATGGTCACCTTTCTTTTGGATAAATGGCCTCGCCAAAATCAGAGTGTGCATTAGATTTGCATTGTACAATAATCTTATTGCAGAGCCAAAGAAGAAAGGAAAGTTGCTTCAGGAGCTCCTCTTTGAAGGACATTATCTCTCATTTAATGGCTCAGTGCTATGGGATCCTGGGATTTGTAGTTTGGTGAGGCATCAGCATCCTGTGGCAGAGAAGGCTCACAGCCTTGTCAAACTACAGCAGGGTTCCTCAAACTTTTTAAATAGGGGGCCAGGTCACAGTCCCTCAAACTGTTGGAGGGCCGGATTATAATTTGAAGGGGGAAAAAAGAATTCATTCCTATGCACACTTCACATATCTTATGTGCAAAAAACATTTAAAGACAACATAATAATTAAGATGAAGAACAAATTTAACAAATATAAACTTCTTCGTATTTCAATGGGAAGAGTGGGCCTGCTTTTGGCTGATGAGATAAGCTTGTTGTTGTTGTTGTTGTTGTTGTGTGCTTTCAAGTCATTTCAGACTTGGGTTGACCCTGAGCGAGGGCCGGGTAAATGACCATGGAGGGCCATATCCGGCCTCCGGACCTTAGTTTGAGGATCCCTGAACTACAGGATCCTCTCAGCATTGAACCAAGGCAATTAGAGGATTCATTCTACAGCAGAGATGTACCCCAAGGTTTTCTTTTCCATCACTGGAAGCTTTGGGGTTCTAACACAATTGTTTATGATGAAGGAATTCTAAGCAGGCTGCAACTGCAATGACAAAACTACCAAGAGAGCACCTTTTGCCACTGCACATTGTATTTGCCATCAAATATCCCTCTTATTTTGGTTTTGGGGTTTTGAAAATGGAGGTGTGCTTGAGATTTGATTTGAGTCAATATGGTAATGAGGAAAAGTACATTTTTTGAATCCCAAAAGCTATATGAACAAGTCCATTAACTGAGTGAGAAGAAGAATGGTTCACACCATTAGAGAAGGAGGAGATCAGGAGAGGTTTGCACTCGCCACTCGCTTCCACGCCCCTTTGCCTACCTTCCACTGGTAGCAGCCAGAGGTGACGCCGGTGGAGGCCAGGCCATAGCCCTTCCCGCCGCTCCCGTGGGTCAGGATCTGCCCATTCTCCACAACACAGCACTGGGCCTTCTCCGGGTCAAAAGACACTTCCTGGATCGGGAGGTTCTCATCCTCTTCTTCTGACTCCCCCTGTTTCTTTCAAGATTTGGACATGAGCACCATTTACTTTTGTTGCATTTATGCCCTGTGTCTTTCTCCCAATGTGGGAGTCGCAGTTGCTCTCGGGGCAGGTGAACTGCGGTGCACAGTTTTTAAAAAAATATGGTTATGTTTAGTATTAACTTTACTTCTATCCTGCCTTTCTCCCCATGAGGACTCTGGGCGGCTGGCCACCCCCACTTTAGTCAGGTCAAGAACAATCTGGACTTCTGGTCCCTCGTTCTAGCATCATTGTTTACCTGCACAGACAAATATGAGTGAATACCAAAGGACTGGGGGCTGGCAATTTTTGTCCCCATATACAAAACGCAAGAGAAGCAGGAAAACTTCCTGCAAATTATAGACCCATCAACCTCCTCAACACCATCAGCAAAATATACGCAAGGATGAATGAGTTGAGACTTGATGAGCTATAATTTGAAAAGCTTGAAAAATTAGAGCAAAATGTGTTGCTGCGCAATGTCTAGCTCCCCCTCCGCACCCCAAAGACAAACTTTCCCCATGTTTTTATAATAGAACCAATTAGGAAATAATGACATTTATAACCCAGGAACACAAATCATAGTGTGACATAGTGTAATAGGGATCCAGCTGGAATAAGCAAACGAGGCGGGGCTCTTACAAATTGTATGTGAGCAGTACCTGCAGCTTAATTTCTTGCTCCTTCTCCTTGATCTGAATGATGTGCTTCGCTTGTGCCACGGGACTCTCCCACATGCAGTCCGAAAGGAGGGAAAAGAGACGCTCAATCACCTGTTGGGGGAACATTGTTTCAAGGCATTTCATTCCAGTTGGCCCTCTTTGCCTCCAGATAACAGTAGCATTCAAAATGTTTGGGGAAATGCCCTTTTAAAGAAAGCGGGACGTAAACAGTCATCACTTTACAAATGGTTTGACGTGCAGTTTTCAAGGAGGAATTGTGGGAATTGAAGTCCAAAACCCCTGGAGGGAGGATCCAAGTTGGCCCATGCCTGATCTACCTAAATGGGAGTCAAAATATACATGTATTTCCAAGACTGCTTCCACTTGCAGAGAGCCCCATCAATGACAGATCTTGACCAAACATGGTATACAGAGCCATTATGAGCAGCTTAAATACTAGAGGCCTTTCGGGGAGATTGAGGGAGGATGATGTGAGCTGTAGTCTACCCATCTCCTGTGTGTCCTACATCCAGAGAGCTATTTGTATTTCTAATGGAACCATTCATAAAAATCCAAACCCAAACAATGACTATCTATAGACATAATAACAGTGAAATACGTGCATATGTGACAGAGGTGTCCACACCCTCCAGCCTCCACAAACAGGCTATAGTTCCAAGTGCTGAGAAGCCTCCAAAGGCACCCCCTCCACTGACATTTAAGGTTACAGCGAGCACCATGAACCATGAAGCTGTAGCCCAAACGCTGCCAATATCCTCCCTAAACATCATCACCATCTTCATCATACTGTGTCTGTTCTGACTCTGCAGGAGGTCTCAAAGTTACGAACAAGATCAGTTCTGTAGGTTTGTTCTTAAGTTGAATGTGTATGTAAGTTGGAACAGGTACATTCCTTAAGTATAACTCCAGCATATATATCTATCTATATATATATAAATGTTCTGTGCGTAATGAGTACCTTAAAAACAAAAGAACCAATGAACGAAATCACACCAAATTTGGCAACAAAACGTCTCACAACACAAGGAGTGACCATCATTCAAAAAATTATGATTTTGTCATTTGGGAGTTGCTGGGATTTATAGTTCACCTACAATCAAAGAGCATTCTGAACTCCATCAACGATGGAATTGAACCAAACTTGCCACACAGAACTCCCCTGACCAACAGAAAATACTGGAAGGGTTTGGTGGGCATTGACCTTGAGTTTGGGAGTTGTAGTTCACCTTCATCCAGAGACTACCATGGACTCAAACAATGATGGATCGGGACCAAACTTGGCACGAATATTCCATATGCCCAAATATGAACATAGATGCAGTTTGGGAGTAATAGACCTTGACATTTGGGAGTTGTAGTTACTGGGATTTATAGTTCACCTATAATCAAATGTTCTGAACCCCACCATCGACACAATGGGGCCGAACTTCCCACACAGAACCGCCATGACCAACGGAAAATACTCAAGGCCATCCAGTCCAACTCCCTTCACCAGGGCAAGAAAACATAATCAAAGCCCTCCTGACAAAGAGCCATCCAGCCATAAATATACATAGATATGATTCACACACACACAGATATAATATAGATTTGAAAGAAGGATAATTATATGTTCCATGTTCCAGAGTAGGCAAACCAGACACTCTCCACATCAACACTGACAAAGAAACAGCAAGAAATACTGTTTACCCACCAGCATACAGAAATTACATATATTCGAAGCCAACACTTTCTCATTACTTTATTTTCCACCTGGGCCACAGTAACACGTGGCAGGAGACAGCTAGTATATATATACAGGGGGGGGGCACGGGGACAGAGACAGAGAGACAGAGAGAGGGAGAAGCTTTGAATGGTCAAGACCCCTGCATGGTTTCCTTTGCTGCCTGTACCCCTGTTCAGAAGATTTTCCCTCCCTTTCTGTCCCTGTGAGAATATGAAAAATTGGCTTGTTATGGAAAAAAGGATTGGGGAGAAAGCTTTCCCCGTGATGGTAACTCTTCCAGGAGTGCATTTCCTGATTTCTCTCCCTTCATGTTGTCTCAGCCCCATTGTTCTTATGGGTCATATATTAAGTTAGGGGTTTGTAACCCGGGACCTTAGAAACACAATGGTACAAACCTGATCCATCTGGTCATCTTCCACCCCAGATTCGCAGGCGGGCAGGACGGCTTCCAGGACGTGCAGGGCCAGCAGCCGAGTGCGCAGGTTGCCCACCAGAGGAACGCCTGCAGTGAGAGACAAGAGAACGGAGGAGGGAAAGACAGGTGAGGAACCCCTCATGGGCCCCGATTTTTAAAAACACTGCCATCAACCTGGATCCAGCAATATCACATCTATCTCAGGCATAGGCAAACTTTGGCCCTCCTCCAGGTGTTTTGGACTCCCACAATTCCTAACAGCTGGTAGGAATTGTGGGAATTAAAGTCCAAAACACCTGGAGGGAGGATCCAAGTTGGCCCATGCCTGATCTACCTAAATGGGAGTCAAAATATACATGTATTTCCAAGACTGCTTCCACTTGCAGAGAGCCCCATCAATGACAGATCTTGACCAAACATGGTATACAGAGCCATTATGAGCAGCTTAAATACTAGAGGCCTTTAGGGGAGATTGGGGGAGGAGGGTGTCAGCTGTAGTCTACCCATCTCCTGTGTGTCCTACATCCAGAGAGCCATTTGTATTTCTAATGGAACCATTCATAAAAATCCAAAACCAAACAATGACTATCTATACACATAATAAAAGTGAAATACGTGCGTATGTGGCAGAGGTGTCCACACCCTCCAGCCTCCACAAACACCCTCCAGCCTCCACAAACAGGCTATAGTTCCAAGTGCTGAAAAGCCTCCAAAGACACTCCCTCCACTGACATTTAAGGTTACAGCGAGCACCATGAACCTGTAGCCTAAACGCTGCCAATATCCTCCCCAAACATCATATGGCCACCATCCAAGGAAGGCTTTTATTTGGGGACAATTTAATCCTAGAATTGACGTGTTTCCTCCACCACAGGCAGGCATCCCAGGGTTTCACGTGTGGAATTTGCATGACCCCGCCCACTGCCTCTCCCTTAACCTTTTCCTACCCTTTCCTATTGTGGCAGCCGTTAGGAAAAAATAAAATAATAAAGGGAAATCATAATGATTTAGAATAAAATAAAAGATTCATGTTCCTACCTGATCCAGGGAGTTAATTTGCAAACATGAGAAACCTGCAGATGATATCGATTGACACTGAACTTTGGGGTCAGTTTGCTCTAGCCAATGTTTGCTCTAGCCGATGTTTACATAGATATGAAGTCAACAAGAGAAGTTTGGCAGGACAAAGAAATCAATAGTATCGATCCAAGACTTGGAACATCTAAGGTCATATGATGAGAGAGCGCCATCCTCTGACCACTTAATGTAAATAGCAGGCAAATTCAGAAATGCTTTTATCCTAAGTAAATTCCTTCATGGTCTTCAGATTAAGAAAGAAGTTATAATGAAGTAATTAAGGCTGGATTGATTAGATGAGATTGCCTTGATCAAATCTTATGTTATAAGCATATAAAAGTTATAATTTAATTAGAGATTTAAGAAATTGAATATACGTGTCACCTTAGGGTAACGTGTGAAGGTTGGGATAAGTTACATAATTGAGCAGATGTTTGGGGTCACAATGTGCCTGCCAAGACCTGATAAAGATGTCCTTGGCAACTATACATGGAAACACCTGTTAATGATTGTATTGTGTAAATGTCAGACTCGTTCTGCGCATGTGTAAAAAAAAGTGATTTTATGCTATAGAACTGGAGCAATTGCGACTTCAAGGTTGTGACAGTCATTTGAGCTGTTCACCCTATCCTCTGCAGAGATAGTAATAAACGCCTGGAAATTGAACAAGCTGCCTCCATCTTCCTTCCTTCTCCAAAAGCACTCTAATGATCTCGGGTAACGTATATTCCGCAACACTATGGCACACAGCAAACACAGAGGACTCAGCAACTGAACAGACTGGAGGGGTTTGGGAGACTAACTCAACAGGATGGAAGTTGTAGTTGACCCTATTCAAACCCCTTCAGTCTGTTCAGTTGCTGATCAATTCCTCTGTGTTTGCTGTGTTCCCTAATAAAGGGTAGGAAAGGATTAAGGGAGAGGCAGTGAGCGGGGTCATGCAAATTCCACACAAGGAACCCTGGGATGCCTGCCTGTGGTGGAGATAACATGTCAAATCTAGGACCCCCTTCGATAATGGACCTGGACCACATTTGGCATGCAGAACCCCCATGACTAGGTTTGGGGAATTGACCTTGATTTATAGGAGTTGTAGTTCACCTACATCCAGAGAGCACTGAACCCAGGCAACGTCGGATCAGGTCCAAGCTTAGCACACAGATGCAACATGGCCAACTGTGCACACAGGCCTGGATTAGGGAGGGTTGACCCATGGATTAGGGAATTGTAGTTCACCCATATTCTTATGCATTATCTAATGGGAGCATTTATAAAAAACCAAATCAAACTCTGGCTTTTTTTCCTACATAATAATAATAATAGTAATAATAATAATAATAATAGTAATAATAATAATAATAATAATAATAAACCTTTATTTATACCCCACTACCATCTCCTGCAGGACTCGGTGTGGCTTACAAGAGGCCGAGCCCAAATACATCATAAAACATAACAACAACAATACATCAATAAATAACTCATAACAAGGCAAAAACAATACGATAATGACACGTTGCAATTAAAAACCGGTGGCAGGGCCAAATGTAAGAATTAAAATTTTAAAATGCTGGGCATGTCCAGGGAAATAGGTTGGATATTTTAAAGATAGGTGGGCATGCAGACAATACTAAATCTCTCGTAAAGTGCATTTGGGACATATTGCTTGGGAGTCCTTATTCTGGGAAGGCACACCGGAACATCCATGTCTTCAAGCTCTTTCTAAAGACTGCCAACGTTGGGGCCTGCCTGATGTCCTTGGGGAGGGAGTTCGAGTCACGGGGCCACCACCAAAAAGGCCCTGTCCCTCGTCCCCACCAATCGCGCTTGCAATGCAGGTGGGATCGTGAGCAGGGCCTCTCCAGATGAACGAAGAGATCGTGTAGGTTCATATACAGAAATGCGGTCACATTATATTAACTACATTATATTACCTAACACCCCAAAACAAACAATATCTTTTTCAAACAACCCGGGAATCACCGGGGAGCCAAGCTAGTTTCTTAAATTTGTCACTACAAAGCATCTCACCAGGGCATTGCCAGCGGCTACCTGAGCTAGAATTGAATAAATGAGGCAGGGAACATGTTTCAATCAGGAGTGGCCCTGGTCTACCCTGCTCTGAATACACAAACTGCATGAAAAGCGATTCATTTTGGAGGCAAGGTGTATCCTCAAGAACAAGGACCAAAGGCTCACCTGAGAAGCACTTCTGGGAGGCGATATTCAGCAGTACTTCTGTCCACTTCGGAGAAGCCATCCTGGATTGGATGGCTTTGGAAGAAACCACCCTCCTCAGGAAGACTAAGAAATCGCCTAGATGCAACTCGGCTGCGTGCTGTTTCCGGAGAGCTACTGCGGGATACAAATGGTATTTGAAGGGACACAACAACAACGACATCTGAATTGCTCCCTAAGTCTTGGCCCTTGGTATTGTATAATGCTGTATTTCCTCAATTCCACGACACACTTATTTCCCTAGATAAACACCTCTAAAATACGGGAATAAACATAATAATAATGACAACAATATTATTGTATTTCTCAGATCCAAAATTGCACTTTTTCTCCAAGATAAACATCTCCGAAAACGGAACATGTCTTAGAATTGCAGGTGTAACTTTTGTATTTTTGTTGGTGGAAGTGGTACTGAAATTAGGGTGCCGTGTAGAATTGATGGTGTCTTACAATGGAAGAAATACCGTAATAATAATCTATATAAATAAAAATGTAATGTTCGTTTGTGGGATTGACAGAACTCAAAAACCAGTGGGCCAATTGACACCAAATTTGGACAGCATGCACCTAACAACCCAATGTATGTCCTTCACTCAAAAATGTTGATTTTGTCATTTAGGAGTTGTAGTTGCTGGGATTTATAGTTCACCTACAATCAAAGAGCATTCTGAACTCCACCAATGATGGAGTTGAACCAATTGTGGCACACAGGGGTCCCATGACCAACAGAAACCACTAGAAGGGTTTGGTGGGCATTGAGTTTGGGAGTTGTAGTTCACCTATATCAAGACTCAAACAATGATGGATCTGGACCAAACTTGGCACGAATACTTCATGTGCCCAAATATGAACACAGATGGAGTTTGGGGGAAATAGACCTCAACATTTGGGATTTGTAGTTACTGAGATTTATAGTTCACCCACAGTCAAAGAGCATTCTGAATCCCACAAATGACAGAATTGGGGCAAACTTCCTACACAGAACCCCCATGACCAACAGAAAATACTTAAGGCCATCCAGTCCAACTCTCTTCACCATGGCAAGATAACATAATGAGTTCTCCTGACAAAGACCCATCCAGCCATAGATATAGATATGATTCACACACACACACACAGAGATATAGTATCATAGATTGGAAAGGGACCCCTAAAGAAGGACATTGATATGTTGCATGCTCCAGAGTAGGCAAACCAGACAATCTCCACATCGACACTGACAAAGAAACAACAAGAAATACTGTTTACCCACAAGCATAAAGAAATTACATATATTACAAACCAACACTTTCTCATTACTTTATTTTCCAGATCGCCAGACTGGGCCACAGCAATGTGTGGCAAGGGACGGCTAATAATAATAATAATAATAATAATAATAATAATAATAATAATGTATTTTTGTTGGTAGAGGCCATACTAAAATTACAATGCGCCTTAGAAATGCTGGTGTCTTACAATAGAAGAAATGTAGCAATAATAATGTATTTTTGTTGGTGGAGGTGGTACTGACATTAGGGTGCATCTTACAAACAATGGCAATTTATAATTGAAGCAATACACACGCTGCTTGCTCTGTCCCTTCCCCATCATCCCTTTTCTGGTCTTTAGAAAACCTTTCACGAGGGCCCGATACCTCTGAAGTCCTTCCTCTCGCTCTCTCCACTGGATTCGGTTTTCTTCTCGTCCTCCAGCTCTTGTTCGCCACCCTCTTTCTTCCCAAAGGAGGCCATGAGCATCCCTCCAGCCTGTGAGAGCAGGTTCTTTAGCTGACTGCACAGCAGGTCCAGCAAGGACTGCACCACTTTGGGGCTCAGCTTGTCCGCGTAGGTCCTGCGTGGGAAATGCAGAGCATCAGGGCCTGGGACTCGGCAGGAAAAGTTCAAAGAGGAGCAACCTCCCTGGATTCAAACCTGCGACCTGTCGGTCTTCAGTCCTGCTGACACAGAGGTTTAACCCACTGTGCCACCGAGGGCTCCATTATTTCAATATTTAATAATGGTGATGGATTATGATGTTATTATATCTGTATTGATAATAAAAAAAGATATTAAAAAACGAAAAGTAGAGCCAAATGTGCTGCAGGATGATGACCCTTCCACAAAGAAAAGCTTAATTGCAGTTTAAAAAACTGTTTCCATGTCCTTATGATAGAACCAATGAGAAAATGACACTTATAACCCAGGAACAAAAATCATGTGATACAGTGTTATTTATTATTGCTCTTAGATTAATGTAGGGAATCAGCAGCATTCCAGATGTTGTTGGACAGCAGAGACCAGTATTCCTCACTATGTATTTCCCATGGAAAATGCAGGCCCACGATATATACGGAGGACCATGAAATTCCCACTTGTTTTAATAGCTGCATATATGTATGTGTATGTATGTATATATAGATACACACACACAATATACATATACATACATATACACTGCTGTGCTCTAAAGCCCAGGCTGAACAGTTCCACAGCTTCACTGCCCGCTGCTGAGTAATGAAGCCTTAGGCCTAAGGTTGGCAGAAATCAAGCCTGTCCCAGGGTGACTGCAATCTCTTTGCCTCAACCCCTGCTTTCCTTTAGGCCTAAAGCCTTTACTGGCACCTGGATCAGGGCCTCCAGTCAGAGTTTCAGATGAAAGGACGTGAGAAAACACTCCTATTTCCTGTCTCCAAGCCTTATTCCCTCAGCTTGTCAACACGACTCACCCGGTGGTGATGGCGAGGATCTGGAGAAGCCTAGTGCTGGCGACCTTGAGGGCGGTGCTGAGCTGGGAGACGCCAGACTTGGGGAGGAGCTGCAGGGTCTGTCCCAGCATGGTGTCGGTCCCACAGAGCTGGGAGAGGACGTTGAGCAGGCCAGTGGAGATGGCCAAGGAGACGTCCACTGGCTGGTAATGGACACTCAGCGCAAAGACCGTCACCAGCAGGAGGCGCTGCTGGGCCTCTAAGGTGCGCGCGTGCGCACACACACACACACACACACACACAGAGAAAGAGACACACACACAAGAAAGACATGCTCAGAGGAGTCCCACCTTCAGCATCCCCTCATAGGACTGGCCTTCTGTGACTCACCCAAGAAGCTACCAGTTTCGCCCTTACCAATGTGGTGTTTATTTGCTTGGAGGGCCCTTTCCAGCGTGGCCGACAGCTGCTGATAGATCTTGTGCACCGCCACTTGGATCTCTGCCTGGATGTTCCTCTTGGCGGCCCGGATGCCGTCCTGCCAATAGAAAGGTCAAATCGAGCAAATGGTGGCATTTGCTCTCTCGGGTGCTAAAAACCTATTTGGGTCCCCAAGAGGCTTAGCTTATTTAATTTGGGCCAAGTTGTGCAGGCCTGCAATGGAGCATCACCCAGGGGGAAGGTGGTGGCACGGATTTCTAAGTATCCCGGAATTGGAAGAGGCCACATGGGCCATCCAGTCCGACCCCCTTCTGCCTTCATGAAATAAAGGCACAAGCAAAGCATCCATGACAGATTGCCAACCATGTCAGGACTTGTGATGAGGACAAAGGTGACAGGCTTCTTCACCCGGCATCTGAGTCAGAGCCAAGCAGAGAGCAGCAGCCTGAGCAGGCGGGCACTGAGGAATCTCCCCCGGAAAACCTGGACCAGGGAAATAAGTGCAAATTCAGGAGCTGCAGGAAGCAGAGCAGGAATTAAGCATTCTAGCTAGGATGCAATTAACGATTGATGGCATCCAACTGAAGAGATCCACCTGCTTGGGTCAGGTGAGGGCCAACAGGTGAAAGCATAAGCTGGTAGTTGCTGGGAGCAATGTTGTGGAACTGCTGCAATCTGAATCTGCGTCTGTGAACTTTTGGATGGGACCTTGACTTTGGTGACTGCACGATGGCTTGAGTTGGTGAGATCACTTGGCTTTGCTCCTTGAAAAGAACCCTGGACTATCGGTATGCTTTGCCCTTTGACTATGAGACGGACAGCAGTTGCATTAACAAAGACTCTGTGTTCAGGTCTCTGACAATCCTGCCTCTGCTTAAAAGCCTCCAAGGAAGGAGCTTCCACTAGACTCTGGGGAGGCAGAGATTCACTGCTGAACAGCTCTCTTTAAGGAATTTGGGGAGGAGCTGCAGGGTCTGTCCCAGCATGGTGTCGGTCCCACAGAGCTGGGAGAGGACGTTGAGCAGGCCAGTGGAGATGGCCAAGGAGACATCCACTGGCTGGAAATGGACACTCAGCACAAAGACCATCACCAGCAGGTCCGGCCTCTGTCCTGATCTGCTATGAAGCTCCCGTGCCCGCAGTCCTCACCTGGTAGTGATGGAGGCGGACACTCTCCCCCTTGGTGCCTGTGTGGCCCACAGAGCCCAGGCCAAAGCACCCAGCCAGGAACTGCAGCCGCACCGAGGTGAGGAGGGAGGCCGACGGGAAGGCCAGCCCTTGGCGAAGCCCCAGGGGGGACACGGCGGTGGAGGCGGAGGCAGCAGAGGTGCTACTGTTGCCCTTCTCCTCCTCCATCCCGGAGAGCAGGACCAGGATCTGGTGCAGGGCCTCCAAGCGCAGCTGGAAGGAAGCAACACATGTCCATTGGGATGTGCCGACAAGAGCACAAGCAACACGGCACAGCCCTGGCCAGATGAACAGTCTTTGAGAAGGGAAATCAAGAGGCTGGGAGGCAGCATACCTACCTACCGGAGAAAATGAGCCCAGAGCCAACCAGATCTCTTTCTCTCCATGATGGCATGTGCTGCCACTAGAGCAGGCATGGGAAAACTTCAGCCCTCCCTCCAGGTGTTTTGGACTTCAACTCCCACCATTGCTAACAGCCAGTCATGAAGCCACTGACAGGTTAACTGTATTACATCACATAACAGTTGCACTCCCATTTTTTGAGTAGCAAGACTGGTATTTTTGTGTTCCACACATAAGAGTCGCAGAGCCATTTGGGACTGATTCCCCCCTTCCTTCCTTCCTTCCTTCCTTCCTAATAATAATAATAATAATAATAATAATAATAATAATACTTTATTTGTACCCCGCTACCATCTCCCCAAGGGACTCGGTGCGGCTTACATAAGGCCTAGCCCACAATACATCAAAACAAGCAATAACAACAACAATACAAAGCAATTTAAAAATCTCAACTCAAATAGCATAAACATTGACAATAGCACAACACAACAATAGCCTTCCTTCCTTCCTGTTGACAGATTTGAAGGTCTAATACAGACATGGGCAAATTTCAGTTCTCTCTCCAGGTGTTTTGGACTTCAACTTCCACAATTCCTAACAGCTGGTAGAAGGGAGGGCTGAAGTTGGCCCATGCTTAACATAAACCATCCCTTTTATTTCTCTTATTTTACCCAAAGGCCAGACACACCTCGGCGCGCTGCTGCTGCTGCTCCATGGCCAGGACATAGGCCTGGGGGCTGGTGGACATGCTCTCCTCGGGCTCCTTAAAGCCCGGCGGGCTGCCCACATCTCCGCTGACGAAGCCCACCACGTTCTCGATGATGGTGTGGAGCCCCACAGCCTGGGTGGGGTCAAAGTCCAACAACGACTCCCCGAAGAGGCAGGAGGAGGAGCCGTAGAGCCAGTCTCGCTGCTTCAGGCGCGCCCAGGAGTCGCTCAGGGCCTCCATGGGACTGTGCCCCACACCTGCAGAAACACAACAGCAAAGGCTTCGTCACTTCCAGAGGAGCCTCTCTCCATGGGGTGTTGTGTAGTTTTCAGGCTGTCTGGCCAACATGTTCTACCAGCATTTTCCCCTGACATTTTGCCTGCATCTGTGGCTACTGGCATCTGATGATAGCCAAGCAAGTGGAGTATATAATAATGTCCAGGGTGGGAAGAAAGATACACTATCTGTTAGCCAAGTTTAACGGGTGGAATTAGCAAGCTGGAATTAGCAAGCATGCAAATGGGATCCCTCCATTAGCATGTGAGTAGCTAAGATTGAATTGTCCACAGTGAGGGCATCCGCCAAGAAGTTGTTGTTTATTCATTCACTCGCTTCTGACTCTTGTTGACCTCATGGACCAGCCCAGGCCAGACCTCCCTGTTGGTGGTAGCTCCTTCAAGGTCAAGCCAGTCCCTTCAAGGATACCATCCATCCATCTTGCCCTTGGTCAGCCCCTCTTCCTTTTTCCTTCTCCTTCCCCCATCATCCTTCTCTTCTCCAAGCTTTCCTATCTTCTCATAATGTGGCAAAAGTACTTCATCTTTGCCTGTAATATCCTTCCCTCCAGCAAGCAGTCTGGCTTTATTTCCTGGAGGATGGACTGGTTGGATCTTCTCATGGGCCAAGGCCCTCTCAGCATTTTCCTTCAACACCACAGTTCAAAAGCATCTCTCTTCCTTTACTCAGCCTTCCTTATGGTCCAGCTCTCACATTCATAGGTTACTACGGGAAATACCATTGCTTTGACTATGTGGATCTTTGTTGCCAGTGTGATGTCTCTACTCTTCACTCTTTTATCGAAATTGGTCATTGCTTTCCTCCCAAGAAGTAAATGTCTTCTGATTTCCTGGCTGCAGTCTGCATTTGCAATTATCTTTGCATCAAAAATACAAAGTCTGTCACTTCCTCCACGCTTTCTCCCTCTATTTGGCAGTTATCCATCAGTCTTGTTGCCATAATCTTGGTTTTCTTTATGTTTCACTGCAACCCAGCTTTAGTCCTTTCTTCATTCACCTTGGGTTAGAAGGCTCTTCAGCTCCTCCTTGCTTTTGGCCATCAAAGCGGGATCATCTGCATATCTAAGGTTGTTAATGTTTCTTCCAGCACTTTTAATTCCAGCCTTGGATTCGTCCAGCCCCACATGGACATCGCATGATGTGTTCTGCATACAAGTTGAATAGGTTAGGTGAGAGTAGACAGCTCTGCCATACTCCTTTTTCAATCTGGAACCAGTCTGTTGTTCCATGGTCTGTTCTTACTGTTGCTACTTGGCCATAATACAGATTCCTCAGGAGACAGGCAAGATGGATTGGTCTCCCCATACATACCACCAAGAACTTGCCACAATTTATTATGATCCACACAGTCAAGGGCTTTAGAATAGTCAATAAAACAGAAATAGATGTTTCTCTGAAACTCCCTGCCTTTCTCCGTTATTCAATGGTTGTTGGCAATTTGGTCTCTTGTTCCTCTGCCTTTTCTAAACCCAGCTTGTACATCTGGCAACTCTCGCTCCATGTCTTACTGGAGTCTACCTTGCAGGATCTTGAGCATTCCCTTACTGGCATGTGAAATAAGGGCCGCTATATGGAAGTTTGAGCATTCTTTAGCCTGGAGATATAAGTTGATTTTTTCCAATCTGATGGCCATTCTTGTGCTTTCCATATTTGCCGGCATATGGCAAGAAGTAGCCTGGCCTTTGTTCTCTTTGAATTGTTTGGCACCCTGGAGACCTCCTTAGCCTGGGTGGTGCTCACTGGTCCTTGATTGCTTGCTGCCCGGAGATCTCCTGTCTCTGGGTGGCGTTCATTAATCACTGTCTTGATTTTGGTGTTTTTCTATACTGGAAGCCAAATTTTGACTATACGATCTTCATGGCTACTCACCTGCTAATAGGTGGATTCCACTCACACTTGCAAATCCAGCTTGCTAATTGCACCCCTTTACACTTGATGAACAGGTAATGGCTCTTTCGTCCCATCCCGGGCATTATTCCACAGGTATATATACCACGTGCTTGACTCCCATCAGACCCTCTGAAAATGCCAGTAGCCAAAGATGCAGGCATAACAGAAAAGGAGCAAATGCTGCTAGAACACATTGGCCATTCATCCCCGAAACCACACAACAACACCCCAGGGATTCTGGCCATGAAAGCTTTCGACAATACATATCTCCATGTCAACAGCAACAGGAGCAAATTTGCAGATTGCAATTCAAGACAGATGGAAATGGAGGGGCGGGACTGGAGTGTGTGTCTCCTGGCATGTAATGCACTCACAGCTAGCCAAATATAGGGCACGTGACATAAACAAATAGGCACACAAAAGAATTCCAGCTGTGTTCAGATGGCCAACATCCTCTCAGAAGCCGCAGGAAGAAATAAAAGGCAAAAGCAGCTTCAGCTGAAAGCAAAAAGGCTAAGGAAGAAGGGAAGCAAATGAAAACAAGGGGAAGAGAGTCTTTTTGGGGGGGGAAGCACAGCCCGCAGCCAAAGAAACAGTGTGCTCAATGCTCTTTCTTTTTAATGTTTAAAAACATATGGCCACCTCTAAAGCAAACGTGGTGCTTGCATTGCAATATTATACCATCATGGGCAAAGCAAAGGTGATGGTTTATGAAATGGGGGTAAAAGGGCAAGTAAACCTGCACTGACTATTCCAATTCTGCCTTCCCTCTACATTATAGTAACATATAATTTGCTTTTCTAGACACAACCGGGGAGGAGCACACAAATGTCCTGCAGTGAGCTGAGCATCAATGCTGCAAGAATCAATTCAAAATTCAACAGGCTCTTACTGCAAAGAATGAGGTTCCCAAACATCACAGAAAATTCCTGCTCCCTTCCCACCAGGGCCTTCGTTACCAAAAGAATGGCCTAGAAGTGTACAATGTCAAGAAACTTTTGGGAAATGGAAATCTCCAGAACCTCTGAGAGATTTTATGATCTTTGGAAAGGGATGACCTTGTTAGAAGTCACAAACTTTTGAAAAAATGATGCTAAAAGCATGACCAGTTAAGAGTCATAACCTTTTGGAGGAAATGGTATTCATGCAAGGCAATCCGGTTTCTCAGCAATTACACAGATGTCCCTAGGTACTGCCTTGAACTGAGAGGGACAAAGATATGCCAATGCACAAACACATATATATAACCAGCAGAGTTTCAGAAGTGTTCCTTTCAGTTGCCCAAAAACATCTACTCTCCCTTAAAATACATTTGCCTTTAAACCATGCTCTCAAGAGACAAAAATAAGCAGACATCTTTAAAAGTTGGTTTACTCACCAACTTCATTGATATACTTTGCTTATCAATCCAGTTAAAATAGAATTTGAAGTAGTTTCTCTGTGTAGGTAACATAGGGCATCTTTCTTAGAATCAATAGTCCACAGTTCAAAGCATCTCTCTGTTCTGAGAGTCTAATAGAGTCTCTGTCTAGTCTCTAAGCATACTGTTCCTACTGAAGTCCAAAATAAACTGTTCCTACTGTCTTCTTAAGGCAAATACTTTTTCTAAAATGAAGTCTGAGTCCTGAATAAGCCCAGACCTGATGACATGGTCTGCAGCCCTTCCCACAACAATACAGTAGGCAATCTGAATTATATATAGAAAACAAATAACTAGTGGAGGCTTGAGAAGTTTGCCTATTTCCAACAGAAACAAAACCCAGACGAAACCCTGGCCTTATACATGGTGTGGCCACGATCCTACAGTAAGGAGACACTTTATCCTCACAGAGTTGTGAATGGTTGCATAATGCCATTTTATTCTTGAACTGTGAAAGCATCCACGTGCAAAACAATAACATGTGTGCAAATATGCCTCCATAACCGTGACCGATCCAACCATAACTCCTAACAGTTACACTGAAAATACCACTAAACTATGTCATTTTCGTAAAACAGAACTTTCCAAACTGTGTGCCACAAAACATTCAGTGTGTCGGCTTCACCATGTCGCACAAATGTAGCGAGAAACCTCTGAGTGAAAGAAGCCATAAATCATATATTTAAAAATTTAAATATATAAATATATATACAAAAAGTGGCTGTTATGAGATACATTGCATCCTCATACATTATTACAATTTACGAATGTGTTCATAATGCTTTAAAAAGTTAGATAATAATGATGATGATGATGATGATTATTATTATTATTATTATATTTATTTATACCCTGTTTTATCTCCCCAAAGGGAACTCAAAGCTGCAAATGATGATAAAAATATAAGATACAATAAATTTTCATTAATTATCCGCTTCTCCTATTGGCCGAAGCCAGGGCACAACACAGCTTTTGCAGAAGAGACGCCACGAAATGGACCCGATCCTTGAAACATCCTGAGAACAAGCTTTTCATTCTTTCATTTGCAACCTGAACCGAACACAAAACCAGCTCTACACAGGAGTTTTGGGAGCTCCAATCTTGGCACTGCAAACGCAAGCCAAGTCCCCTAAACCTTAGGCCTGCCATTTACTTGCCACTTCCTATTCAATGAGACCTTCAAAATGAGCATGGACCTGCTGCTATACATACTTCCAATGTGCCATAGAAGTATGTAGGCAAGCTAGAGGGAGAGAAAAGGAGAACCAGAACATGCCATCGGGTACTTGCTTGCAGTTCTTCTTTTTCCTGGGGCTCAACTGGCCCAAAAGGAGCAAACACACTACCATACAAGAATCAGAAGACAAAGAGAGGCATTGGGTACAGCAGAAGGAAGCCATCGCCCTACACCCCGCCCATAAAGGGGGGACCGCCAAAGGGGGGGGGGTTCCCTGCGTGGGTGCGCATCATACACACAAAGAGGCACCTCTCGCCCAAAAGACCACGCTCTCCCCGACAGATTAGAACGGGACACCTCTGGGTCCTACAGCCTCCCTTCCTTAACCATTTCAAGGGGCCAAGTGGTGTAATGGCTTTACACCCAGGTTTGGCATCAAGGAAGCATTGGAAGCAGGTCACGGACCACATTTTTATTTATTTTTATTTCATTTATTACCTGCCTTGAGCCTAAAGGAGAGCTGGGTAATTAATTTATTATTATTATTATCATCATCATCATTACTATTATCATTATTCTACTACACTGATTTGTGTAAATGAAATTTACATTTTTATTTATTTATATTTTATTTTATTAGTTACCTGCCTTGAGGCAAAAGGAGAGCCAAGTAATAAATTATTGGGTTGTTGTAGGTTTTTCCGGGCTATATGGCCATGTTCTAGAGGCATTTTCTCCTGACGTTTCGCCTACATCTATGGCAAGCATCCTCATAGGTAGTGAGGTTTGTTGGAAGTAGGAAAATGGGTTTATATATCTGTGGAATGACCAGGATGGGACAAAGGACTTTTGTCTGCTGGAGCTAGGTGTGAATGTTTCAACTGACCACCTTGATTAGCATTTAATGGCTTGGAAGAGCCTGGGGGAATCTTTTGTTGAGAGGTGATTTGTGCCTGACTGTTTACTCTCTGTTGTTTTGCTGTTGTAATTTTTGAGTTTTATAATACTGGTAGCCAAATTTTGTTCATTTTCATGGTTTCTTCCTTTCTGTTGAAATTGTCCACATGCTTGTGGATTTCAATGGTTTCTCTGTGTAGTCTGACATGGTGGTTGTGAGAGTAGTCCAGGATTTCTGTGTTCTCAAATAATATGCTGTGTCCAGGTTGGTTAATCAGGTGCTCTGCTATGGCTGACTTCTCTGCCATAATTATGAATAATAATAATAATTATTATTATTATTATCATCATCATCATCATCATCATATAATTATAATTATTGTAATAATAATAATTATTACATTATATTATATTATAATATGATAATATTATAATTATATTATATTATAATTATTATATTATAATTACAATGGAGCAGAATAATAATAATTATTATTATTACATTATATTATAGTATAATAATATTATAATTATATTATATTATAATTATTATATTATAATTACAATGGAGCAGAATAATAATAATAATAATAATAATAATAATTATTATTATTATTATTATTATTATTATTATTCTGCTCCATTGATTTGTGTAAATAAAATGCTTCCCTTTCAGCAGCGGAGCCACTGAGTCTGCTCCATGACCTGACTTGACATTTAGGGCAATGCTATCTTATAGGAGTATCAATAAATTAATAACAATATTTTATTTATTCGCCACCTCTCCTCAAGGCAGGCAATACATAAAAATGTTAAAAGGCCAACTCAGTTGAACATTCAGTTGGTCTGTTTTGGAATAATGAGACATAAAAGTTTCAATGACACCTTTGAAACTAACTTGGAAGATATCTCTAGCATTCGCTTTCATGGACATACTGCACCTCATCAAGACGTGTCCATGAAAACTGTGCCGCAAATTATATTTCCCAGTCCTGAAGATTTTTTTTTTTTTGCTTTAGTTCTATTTGAAGCTTAAAACGGCACAGACCACAAGCTGTCCTTTGTTGTCCTACAAGGTTGGGGCCAAAATCTAGCCTGACAGGAGGGACCTAAGCATGTCAGAGGCCACGTCCAACATGGCAGGGCATTTCCCAGAATCCCTTGCTTGAGAAACCAAGAGAGAAAGGAGTCCCCGAACCAAGGAAAAGTTGAGGCCATGGCTTTATAGGAAGCAATCAAAGACACACATAACAAATTCCCAGGGGGAAAGAGACATTACCCCTCTTTCTATGCGATGATGCCAAATCCAGGTCCACATTTCGCCGTCCATTCTACAGAAAGCAACAAGAGAGTGAGTGAGAACCCTTGTGGATGCTCTGCATTGGTATGAGCAGATGTGCTGCCAAAAGGACAGGGAAGAGCAGAGCGCATGTTCTTTTGCCTACCAGGGAGTAGCCTTCTTCGTCGGATTCAGGTTGAGACAGGTCCGACTCGCTCCGTGACTTCAGCAGCTTGTAGTTGGACATGGAATGGACTGAGTGGCTCTCAGCCATCAGGCTCTCGCTTCTGCCTTGCACAGACCCACAAGGAAAAGGGAGAAAGTGAAATGGTGGTGCGACACAATTCCATATTTCATCGTATAATGGTCACACTAATGGGGGAGTTGAGACTATTGTGTGAGGAAAAAAATAAGTTGGTTTTTCCAAATACATAAAATGTCTTAGCTCTGAAAGCAGAGGAGGAGGAGAAGCAGGAAGGAGGGAGGGTCCATCCTCAAATACTCTAATAACACAGATATCTATAAAAGAGTTGTAAATATGCAATTATCCTATTGAAATAAGCTTCAGTACAGATACAAGTTTAAGTAACTTTCATAATACATACATACATAATACATACAGGACAACAGAACACTTTCAACAGAAGTTACTATTACATTTGATTGAATGAAATAACCCCCAAGAAGCCTGATGAAGAGAATTTATTCTTGAAACAAGGACACAAAACACCCAGGGAACCTTGTTGTGTACTCCCAAGTTTGCTGAACACAACACGAATTTCCATGATCCATTCAACATGAACTATACTCCTAAGTTTGTGGAACACGACGTGAACATTTGTGAAAAACATTATGGACATATTGAAAGTGTATTCTCAGGTTTACTGAACACAACGTCAACTGTTTCCAAGGTTGATATATTCATTGTTATATATGTCCTATGATATTATTTTGTAAACCTTATATATATTTTTTGTTTCACTATTGAACTTTGTCCTGTATGTATTATGAAAGTTACTTAAACTTGTATCTGTACTGAAGCTTCTTTCAATAGGACAATTGCATATTTACAACTCCATCCTCAAATAAACAGCTCTGCTTTTGTTTAGGTTCTTGTGGGTTTTTTCAGGCTATAGGGCCATGTTCTAGAGGCATTTCTCTTGACGTTTCGCCTGCATCTATGGCAAGCATCCTCAGAGGTAGTGAGGTCTGTTGGAATTAGGACAATGGGTTTATATATCTGTGGAATGGCTGGGTGGGGCAAAGAGCTCTTCTCTGCTGGAGCTAGGTGTGAATGTTTCAACTGACCACCTTCATTAGCATTTGAAGGCCTGGCTGAGCCTGGGAAAATCTTTTGTTGAGAGGTGTTAAGATGTGCCTGGTTGTTTCCTCTCTGCTGTTTTGCTGTTGTAATTTTAGAGTTTTTTAATACTGGTAGCCAGATTTTGTTCATTTTCATGGTCTCTTCCTTTCTGTTGAAATTGTCCACATGCTTGTGGATTTCAGTGGCTTCTCTGTGTAGTCTGACATGGTGGTTGTTGGTGTGGTCCAGCATTTCTGTGTTCTCAAATAATATGCTGTGTCCAGGCTGGTTCATCAGGTGCTCTGCTATGGCTGACTTCTCTGGTTGAAGTAGTCTGCAGTGCCTTTCATGTTCCTTGATTCGTGTTTGGGCAATGCTGCGTTTGGTGGTCCCTATGTAGACTTGTCCATAGCTGCATGGTATACGGTAGACTCCTGCAGAGGTGAGAGGATCCCTCTTGTCCTTTGCTGAACGTAGCATTTGTTGGATTTTCTTGGTGGGTCTGTAGATAGTTTGTATGTTGTGTTTCCTCATCAGCTTCCCTATGCGTCAGTGGTTCCCTTGATGTATGGCAAGAACACTTTTCCTCTGGGTGGATCTTCATCTTTACTCTCGTGGCTTGTTCTTGGTCTTGCAGCTCTTCTGATGTCTGAGGTGGAGTATCCATTGGCCTGGAGAGCCCAGTTGAGGTGGTTCAGTTCATCTTGGAGGAGGTGGGGTTCGCAGATTCTTTTTGCACGGTCTGCCAAGGCTTTAATGGTGCTTCTTTTTTGACTTGGGTGATGGTTGGAGTTTTTATGTAGATATCTATCTGTGTGTGTGGGTTTTCTGTAGACGTTGTGACATCCCAGGCTCAGCCAGGCCTTCAAATGCTAATGAAGGTGGTCAGCTGAAACATTCACACCTAGCTGCAGCAGGGAAGAGCTCTTTGCCCCACCCCAGCCATTCCACAGATATATAAACCCACTGTCCTAATTCCAACAGACCTCACTACCTCTGAGGATGCTTGCCATAGATGCAGGCGAAACGTCAGGAGAAATGCCTCTAGAACATGGCTCTATAGCCCGAAAAAACCCACAAGAACCTAGCTCTGCTTTTGTTTGTTTGTTTGTTTGTTAAAACTGCAGAGCCTTTGGGTTTGATTTTCCCTTAACTTCCTTCCTTCCTTCTTTCCTTCTCCAAAGGCAAGGCAACTTGAAAACGACAAAGCGGAGGTCTCTGGAGCTCTGTCCTTCTCTCCTCCCTCCGAGGCCTTAAGGCAGTTCACAAAACCTGGAATAAATATCTTTGATGCAAGGAGGTAGGAGAGAAGACCCAAATCCCGGACACATCAATTTCAGGTTTTGTGAAGACACCAAAGACTGCAAGACCCAAACCCTCGCACCTGGTCATGAGCCCTCCTCCTGCTCCCCCTTCGGAGCCGCCTCCTCCGGAGAGAGACGGCGGTGGCTGCTGCTGTGGGGCCAGCCCTTCCTCTCTCCTTTGCCGCTGCAGCTCCTCCACCACAGGGCTGACCCCCAGGATTAGCAGGGCACAGCGGTGGACCACGGCGTTGCAGGCGGCGGTGTAGACATCCTGCCCTTCCGGGAGGAGCAGCTCCCTGCTGCCGCGCCACTCCTGTGGGGACCCCGGGGGCAGCTCCCCCTCCAGGCGCGCCCCAGCCCCTCCACCGCTGCTCCGCTCCCGGCTGCGTGCCACTTCGCGGGCTGATAGGAAACATTGAAAGATTTCTGTAACACGCAACACACAAAAGAAAGCAAAAGGTCTTAACGTCTAGGCAGAGTTCGGCGGCCGTCAGCAATCATTCAGACGTGTTTGCGGACTCGCAGATAAGCCCCGGCTGCAGTTTCAGCGGAGCTCCTGCTGAAGAGGTTTCTATGGGGTTCACTTACTGCCAGCCGTCATCACTTCGTGCTCATGCTCCTCTTCCTCCTCCTCCTGCTCCAGGTGGCCCTCTTCCCTCTCGCGCTCGGCCTGCTCCTCCATCTCCGCCTCCTCATCAATGGTGCGCGTGAAGGAACTCTCCTGTGCATCCAGCTCCGAGGAGTCTAGATTCTCTGACAGCTGCAGAAGAGAGGCAGGGAAATAAAAACTTATTCTTCTATAATAATTCAAGAAAAATTTTAATGTGAAATAATCTGCTATGAAAAATTCAGTTTGATTTCCACTGAAGATGAAGTGGAAAAGACCATATGAAGACCGGAAGACAATGTGAGAAAACAGAAGATACAACCAATCTTCATACCAGACATTTGTAAAGATGCAACTAACCAATAATAAATCTGGGTTTTCCGGGCTGTACGGCCATGTTCCAGAAGCATTATCTCCTGATGTTTCACCCACATTTATAGCAGGCATCCTCAGAGGTTGTGAGGTTTTTGGAAACAAGGCAAGTGGGGTCTATATTCCTGTGGAATAATGTCCAGAGTGGGAGAAAGAACTCTTGTCTGTTTGAGGCAAGTGTGAATGCTGCAACAGATCACCTTGATTAGCAATGAATAGCCTTGCAGCTTCAAGACTTGGCTGCTTCCTGCCTGGGGAATCCTTTGTTGGGAGGTGATCAGCTGGCTAATACCTCCCATCAAAGGATTCCCCCAGGCAGAAAGAGAATGCTTCTGGAACATGGCCATACATACCGGAAAACTCCCAGCAACCCAGTGATGTCAAGAAAGCCTTCAGCAACACAATAATTAATCTTTTTTCTTTTTCTTTCCCTTGTCCCTCTCCCCATCCTTTACTTTCCCCCAAAACAACAACAACAACAACAACTTCTTTTACTACTACTACTGCTACTACTACATTTATTACCTGCCTCTCCTTGCAGCTCAAGGCTGGGTCCAAGGCCTGCTCATTTCTTCCCTTGAACATAAAAAATGCCCTTTCCAGAGTTTGCTTATGGCAAAGTACAAAAGTTTGTAATGCTTGAAAAAGTGAGGTTATTTGGCAACTCAAAAATAAAGCCTGGCCACTGATGAATCACAGAATTAACCACAAGTTTCCAGAACTGGGAGAAGGCCTACTGGGCAGAGAGAAAGGGGAACAAGCACCCATACCATTTTGACCCTTAAAAAAGGAATCAAAAGCAATCTCATTCCCCAAAACGTGAAACTCAGGCCTCTGGACTCACCCATCGGTCTCTTGAAGATGACTGGGTCTGAATGAGCTCCATGTTCTTGCAGGCAAGCAAACGGCTTCGGACTTTGTACACGCACCGATACACTTCGACCAGAGCTTTGCCTGGCTGGTATCTGAAGGCACAAGAGTTCCGTCAAAGGGGGGTGAAATCACATACACGTCGCCAACCCCCCACCCCCCACCCCCACACACTGAAAAGCGACAAGCCAGAGAGGTCCTGCAGGCCTGTTCTTAGAATCATAGGATCATAGAGTTGGAAGAGACCTCATGGGCCATCCAGTCCAACCCCATTCTGCCAAGAAGCAGGAAAATTGCATTCAAAGCACCACTGACAGATGGCCATCCAGCCTCTGTTTAAAAGCTTCCAAAGAAGGAGCCTCCACCACACTCTGGGGCAGAGAGTTCCACTGCTGAACGGCTCTCACAGTCAGGAAGTTCTTCCTCATGTTCAGATTGAATCTCCTTTCTTTAGTTTGAAGCCATTGTTCCATGTCCTAGTCTCCAGGGAAGCAGAAAACAAGCTTGATCCCTCCTCCCTGTGGCTTCCTCTCACATATTTATACATGGCTATCATATCTCCTCTCAGCCTTCTCTTCTTAGGCTAAACATGCCCAGCTCCTTAAGCCGCTCCTCATAGGGCTTGTTCTCCAGACCCTTGATCATTTTAGTCACCCTCCTCTGGACACTTTCCAGCTTGTCAATATCTCTCTTCAATTGCGGTGCCCAGAATTGGACACAATATTCCAAGTGTGGTCTAACCATGGCAGAATAGAGGGGTAGCATGACTTCCCTGGATCTAAACTCTATATTCCTATTGATGCAGGCCAAAATCCCAATTCCTTTTTTTGCAGCCGCATCACATTGTTGGCTCATGTTTAACTTGTTGTCCACAAGGACTCCAAGATCTTTTTCACACGTACTGCTCTCGAGCCATGCCTCCCCCATTCTGTATCTTTGCATTTCATTTTTTGGGCCTAAGTGGAGTATCTTGCATTTGTCACTGTTGAACTTCATTCCACCCAACCATAATTTTGCCTAGCCCACATTGGACTAGTTTATTTGCCAGAAGGTCATGGGGGACCTTATTGAAGGCCTTACTGAAATCCAGGTACCCTACATCCACGTCATTCCCTGCATCTACCCAGCTTGTAACTCTATCGAAAAAGAGATCAGATTAGTCTACCATGACTTGTTTTTGATAAATACGTGTTGACTATTAGCAATGACCACATTTGTTTCTAAGTGTTTTCAGACCACTTCCTTAACAATGTTTTCCAGAATCTTGCCTGGTATTGACGTGAGGCTGACTGGACGGTAATTGCTTGGGTCATCCTTTTTTCCCTTCTTGAAGATTGGAACCACATTGCCCCTCATCCAATCTGCTGGGACTTCTCCCATTCTCCAAGAACTCTTAAAGATGATTGCCAATGGTTCCGAGATGACTTCTGCTAGTTCCTTCAATACTCTTGGGTGTAGTTGACCTGGCCCCGGGGACTTGAACTCATTTAGAGCAGCCAGGTGTTCCTGGACGACTTGTTTCCCAATTTGGGGTTGGATGTCCTCTAATCCCTCATCCACTCCATCTTGCTGAGGTTGAAGATGACTTTCTTTTTGTGAGAAGAAGGCAAAGAAGGCATTAATAGTTCTGCCTTTTCCCTATCCCGTCAACATTGCCCCATCTTCTCCCTATTGCCTCCTTGTTCTTCCTTTTTCTACTGACATAAGAAAATAAGCCCTTTTTATTGTTTTTAATGTCCCTGGCAAGCCTGACCTCGTTTTGTGCTTTAGCCTTGCGGAGCTTTTCCTTACAGAAGTTGGCTATTTGTTTGAATTCTTCTTTGGTGATTTCTCCCTTTTTCCACTTCTTGTGCGTGTCTCTTTTGAATCTTAGCACAGTTAGAAGTTCTTTGGACATCCATTCTGGCTTCTTTGCACTTGTCTTATTTTTTCTCTTTGTTGGGGCTGTTTGCAATTGCGCCTTGAGTATTTCACTCTTGAAAAACTCCCATCCATCCGTAACTCCCTTGTTTTTTAGTATCTGTGCCCATGGAATGCTGCTCAGTATTTCCTTCATTTTTCGGAAGTCAGCTCTCCTAAAGTCCAAAATGCGGGTTTGACTTGTCTTAGTTTCGGCCATCCTATGTACCTCAAACTGCAGGAGCACATGGTCACTTGCCCCTAAGGATCCGACTCTTAAGTTGAATCTGTATGGAAGTGGAGACCCCTTTCCCCTATCATAATAATGGCTCTCTCTTCCAGGAGTGGGTTTCCCTTCCTTCCTTCCGAGGAAGAGGCTCCTCTCACTTCCTGTGGTCTCAGTCCCGTTCTTAAATGTGAATCCTTTGTAAGTCAGATGTTTGTAACTTGGGGACCTCAGCATATATATATCTAGGATACTATATCTCTCTTTCTTTCTTTCTCTCTCTCTCTCTCTATATATGAATGAGATAGATATAATATCTTAGCTTTGGAAGGGATCCCCAAAAGCCATCCAATCCAGCCCCATTTTTAATCGAGTCATTTCTAAGTTGGATGTTTGGAAGTTGGGGGTGGTGTGTGTGTGTGTATGTATGTATGTGTGTGTATATATATATATATACACACACACACACATATATGAAATAGATATAGTATCCTAAATTTGGAAGAGCCCCCAAAGGGCATCCAGTCCAGGTTTGTTCTTAACTAAGAGTCATCTGCAAGTCGGATGTTTATAAGTCAGGGCGGCCTGTTTGTGATTCTGGCAGAGGCCCGAAGGTGCTTCCCAGGCGCTCACCTGCTCTCTCCGCTGGCCTGGTCGAGGAGGCCGGTGTGCTTCAAAAGGGCAGCCAGGACAAACCTGGAGACGGTGTCCAAGAGGGACTCGCTGCTCAGCGTGGCACTGTCCCAATCTGGAGCAGAAGGAGGAAAGCCGTTACGGTTCCATTATAAAGCCCAAGTCACAAACAGCATTCCTAATGCAACGGCCCAGGAGCCTGCTGTTACAGCTTGGGCTGGCATGAAATGTCTTGCCAGCTCCCTGTCTCGTTTTTCAAGTCGGCTTGTGGCTTTGGATTGAATGAGTTAGGCATGGTTCTAACACTACTTGATCTACCCTGAAGATTTCTAGAAAATATACTATGAAAGAAATGTTTAAAATGTTCTGTCCCTAGTTTGAAAGTGTTATTCCTGTTTAATTGTGCAGTCATTACTTTGAAAGTAGTTGTTCTACTCCAGAAACTTTGTTGTCTTGTGGCTGCCACAAACTTGGTTGAATTGGTTGAGACTCAATTATTTATTATTTATTTGCAGCTTTTATATTCCACCCTTCTCACCCCGCAGGGGACTCAGGGCGGATTACAGTGTACACATATATGGCAAACATTCAATGCCAATTTTTGACACACAAACATATACAGACATACACAGAGCTATTTAACTTTTTCTGGCTGCCAGGGGAGCTGTCGCTTTCATTATCCATCTGCGACGCTGATGAAGCACTTCCGCATTCCCCGCATGCTTCCCCGCTGGAATGCTTTGCTGGAATCTTCTTTATGGCCTCATAATCAGTTAATTTAGCCTCCTCACATTTTAAGGTGGTAACTAATTTTCCTACTTGACAGATGCAACTGTCTTTCGGGTTGCAAAGGTCGACAACAGGCTACACAATTGGTTGGAAGCCCACTCCAACCTGGGCTGGCTTTGAACTCATGACCTTTTGGTCAGAGTGATGTTAATGCAGCTGACACTCAGCCAGCTGCGCCACTCAATGATCTTCTTCTCTAGGTTCTTGTGGGTTTTTTCGGGCTATAGGGCCATGTTCCAGAGGCATTTCTCCTGACGTTTCGACTGCATCTATGGCAAGCATCCTCAGAGGTAGTGAGGTCTGTTGGAATTAGGACAATGGGTTTATATATCTGTGGAATGGCTGGGGTGGGGCAAAGAGCTCTTCTCTGCTGGAGCTAGGTGTGAATGTTTCAACTAACCACCTTCATTAGCATTTGAAGGCCTGGCTGAGCCTGGGAAAATCTTTTGTTGAGAGGTGTTAAGATGTGCCTGGTTGTTTCTGTAAAAACAGGCGAAACGTCAGGAGAAATGCCTCTGGAACATGGCCCTATAGCCCGAAATAACCCACAAGAACCTAGTGATTCCAGCCATGAGAACCTTCGACAATACATCTTCTTCTCTTCTTATCTTATCTTATCTTATCTTGAGACTCAATGATAGAAGATATTCACAGGGTTTTTTAAATACTGTTCTGTTCAATTCTATTTTAGAAATAATAACGATTTATTATTTATTTATTTATTTGCTGTATTTGTATACCGCCTTTCTCAGCCTATCAGCAACTCAAGGCAGTTTTATTGTTATCATCATCATCAACGATGATGATGATAACAATAATACCCAACTGGGAAATGATATTTATCACCCAGGAACAAAATGTGTATTACACTGTGGTATTAGGAATACATTTGTTGACATAACAGCCAGCCATAAGCATGAGATGAAACACAGCGAAGCCCCCTTGAAGTGAACAGGACTGATTTGTAACTCATCAAGATGTCAGAAGAGGCAGGAAACAAACAAAATGTATTATTGTTATAATATCATCATTGTCATCATCTTCATCTTGGAGTCGGACGGGATGCGCAAAGCTAAGGATGGCACAGCCGACCCCTGTTGCACCAAGCCCAACAGACCTCACCCATCTCTACAGCCGAAGATAGATCTTGACTCCAGCATCTTTAAAATGGTTCAATGCTATGGAGTCCTGGGAGCTGTAGTTTGACAAGGGCTTGAGACTTCTCTGCCAAAGGATGCTGGTGCCAAACTATGAACTACAAATCCCAGGATTCCATAGCGTTGAATGAAAGGGTCCTTCCCCCAAGACACAGTGAGGTGGCTCATGAAGGCTCCCAAGTCCTGTTTAAGGCTGATGGCTTGCAATACACAACAGAACTTGCCTTTGCTGGTGGCGTAGTCCTGCATGCTGACCCAGAGGCTCCGGGCCGGCTCCTTAGCACAGCCCAAGGCAAGGTCCACAAACACGGAGATGTTCGGGCGCAGCTTGTAGTCAAAGGGCTTCTGCTCCTCATTGCCGGAGAGGGCGGCTTCCAGCAGAGAACTCATGGACTTCTCTGAAACAACACAGAAAGCCATACAGAAGGGCTGCGCTTACTCCAATTTCAGTTTTTGGGGTTAAGTGGCCTTTTCAAAATGAGATTGGTGTCATACGGTGATCCCCTTAGTGCTGAACTTCAAGAGGGCACCATCTTTCATTCAACGCTATGGGATCCTGGGATTCGCAGTTCGTAGTTTGGCACCAGCTGAGAAGGCATAGAAGGCCCAAGGCCTGGTCAAATTACAGCTCCCAGGACTCCATAGCATTGAACCAAGACAATTAAAGTGGATTCACTGTATAGCATAGCTGCAACACAAGGGTTTCCTTTCCATTGCAGGAAGCTTTGGTGTTTTGAGGAAGGAATTTTTACGCAGGCAGCAACACGTTTTTATGGCCAAATTACAAAGAGAGCATTTTTTGCGCATTCTGTTCAGCAGCAAATACCTTTTTTTTTGTTCCAGGGTTTAGAAAAAGTGAGATGTGCATTAGACTTGATGGCACCTGAGACTTGATTCAAGACGGGTATTTTGACGGTGCAATTCCCCCCGGTCGCATTAATCTCAAGGCAGGGGCTCCTTCTATTAAGAAGAAAATGCTTCCCTCTGTCTCTACGCCAGGTCTGGGCCGACCGGCTGTAAGCAATGGTGGGAGTTGAAGTGCAAAACACCTGGAGGGAGGGAGGGCCAAAGTTGGCCCAGGCCTGGTCTAAAAGCCTCGCTTCCCATGTAGGGAGAGCCAAAGGGGCCCCGTGCCTGCTCAAGGGCCATACCCCGCTTTGGTACCTAGTTGTGGGACGTCCACCTCGACCCCGTCGCTGAAGAGGGGGGTCTTGAGCCAGAAGGAGGTGTCCTGCTCCTCAGGCGAGGCGGGGGGGCCCTGCAGCATCCCTCCCAGGCAGCGACCGATCAGCAGCGCCACTGTCCGCTCCAGGTCGACCAGCCAGACCCAGGACTGGGCCGGCTGTGGCAAGGGCACCCCGGACGGGTCCACCAGCTCCGGACCACCTGCAGGGAAGCATCACCAGGTTACATCGAGAGTCAAGGACTTGGAAACTGGTCTGTGGGAAAGCGAGCCGGGGGTCTCAGTAGACCACAAGCTGAACAGGAGTCAACACAAGGAAAGTAAGATAACCATCCAAAGACTCTCTAGCTTAAGGAGCTGGACCGGATGGCCACTGGGGTCTCTCCTAAATCTAGGAGTCATCTCTCTCTCTCTCTCTCTAAAAGAAACTGGACTGGATGGTCTTTGGGGATCTTCTCCAAAACTAGGAATCATATCTCTCTCTCTCTCTCTCTCTCTCTCTCTCTCTCTCTGTATCTTATGGGTTAGACTGGATAATAATAATAATAATAATAATAATAATAATAATACTTTATTTATACCCCGCTACCATCTCCCAAGGGACTCGGTGCGGCTTACATGAGGCCGAGCCCACAATACATCAATAATAAAAGCAATAACAACAAATAATACAAATCAATAAAATAAAACTCATAACAGAAAAAATGGATGGCCTTTGGGAGTCCCTATCAACTCTAACTCCCCCCCCCCAAGAGTGGGGGTCTCCTCCAATTCTAGTAATTATCCCCCTCCCTCTCTCTTGATCTTATGGGGTTAGATTGGATGGTCTTTGGGGGTCCCTTTTAACTCTAAGATTTTCTCTCTCTCTATCTATATATCTAAGTGATTGGACTGGATGGCCTTTGGGAGCCTATTCAAACTCTAGGATTCGATGAAACAATTCTTCCAACTGATTTAACACAAACCAGGACAGCCTTGCCCACTTTTGGCGATTGTAGTGAGAGCTCCATCTCAATTTACTCTACATCTTACCCAAAATTAGACAGACCCGCATAAGACTCCAGCTCCTGCTTTGCAAAGGTCACATGAGTTATGACACGGGGCTGTAAAGCATGGACCGCCTTACCATGGAGTGGCCACTGCAGCTCCTGATCTTCCAGAAGCGCCGCTGCTGGGAGCAGTCGGTTGAGGCAGTCCAGAGGGGGCAGGAGGTCCAGGAGGAAACTCAGCAATGGCCGAGCGACCGAGACTGGCAGCAGCAGCAGGGAATTCACGATCTGGCAAAGCATGCTTCCTGCTGCAGAGACGTACACCACGTCTGCAACAGAAACCAAAAGGATTCTCATCAGTAAAGCTTGGCACTTTTTGTGGGAGATTTTTTGCAAGATGAACGGACCCGACAAGCAGGACGCACCTCTGAGCTTTTCGCCAACGCTGCCGTTCCAGGAACTCTCCTTCAACAGAATGGCAGAGCGGGAAAAGATGTCTGTGGCGTGCGGTAGGAGGAGCTGCAGGTGCTTGTGAAGCAGGGCCACACTGCTGCTGGAGTTCTGCAGGGAGCAAAGGCAAGGCAACATCCTTCAGCCCCACATCAGCACTGGTATCGAGGGGGCTTGCCCTCTGTGTGTGTGTGTGAGTGTGGTCCTAGGAATACCAACGTCTACACTTATTCATAGACAGGTCACGGTCACCAAATAACAAACACCCAACTTACAAACAACTCCGAGTGAAGAACAATGGGGCTGAGACCACGGGAAGTGAGAGGAATCATATATTACAAGTATGATTTTATTATTATACTAAAACCCCAACAGACTGCCCACAATTGGTTGGAAACCCACTCCAACCCGGGTTGGCTTCGAACTAATCATACTAATTATAATAATAATGTCTCTGAGTCTCCTTGTGGAGAAAAAAAGCAGAATATAAACATTATTATTATCATTATCATTATTATTTCATGATAATAGCCACCCAACTGAGAGATCTCTTCACCTGACATAACGGGGTCCCTTGTCATGGCAATGGACTTGCTGCCCCTGCTTTTATTTTGAAATTTAATCCCATTTGAACAAACCTATTATTTAATCAAGTTTTATTATGTTTAAATTTATTTGAGTTGACCGAGTTTGAGGGCTGTGATGAGTGTCTATTTGTCTGTGCATTCTTTGTGTTTTGTCTCTGATCTTTGAGGATAGGGTCAGTGGGCGAATCCATACGCAGGTCACTCTTGCTCTCCCTCCCTCCCTCCCGATCGACTGGGAAGCCCTGGCGGTGCTTACCTCCCCGAGGCTGCTGCTGTGGCAATAGGCCAGGAGCTGCTTCTGGAGGGAGCAGAGGAGCTCATGCAGGTGGGCCGGCTGGCTGTTCTCGGAGGAGGACGTCCCCAGAAGGAACTTGTCGCTGTTCTTTTCCAGCTCCCCAAAGGCCTGGTCCTAGAGGAGGAAGGAGAACCACCGTCACGCCCGGGACAAAAACAAGTCTGAGTTAAGCCAATTTCTTTCATTTCCTTTCCTTTCTCCCAGGCCATTCCTATGCTCAAAATATACACAACATATAGAATCATAGAATCAAAGAGTTGGAAGAGACCTCATGGGCTATCCAGTCCAACCCCCTGTCAAGAAGCAAGAATATTGCATTCAAATCACCCCTGACAGATGGCCATCCAGCCTCTGTTTAAAAGCTTCCAAAGAAGGAGCCTCCACCACACTCCGGGGTAGAGAGTTCCACTGCTGGACGGCTCTCACAGTCAGGAAGTTCTTCCTAGTGTTCAGATGGAATCTCCTTTCTTGTATTGATATTATTAATATTATGGCATTGAATTGTTGCCCATGTAAGCTGCCCTGAGTCCTCCCTCGGGGGTGAGAAGTGCAGGGTAGAAACGATGTAAATAAATAAATTGTAGTTTGAAGCCATTGCTCTGCGTCCTAGTCTCCAAACAAGCTTGCTCCCTCCTCCCTGTGACTTCCTCTCACATATTTATACATGGCTATCATATCTCCTCTCAGCCTTCTCTTCTTCAAGCTAAACATGCCCAGCTCCTTAAGCCGCTCCTCATAGGGCTTGTTCTCCAGACCCTTGATCATTTTAGTCCTCCTCCTCTGGACACATTCCAGCTCGTCAATATTTCTCTTGAATTGTGGTGCCCAGAATTGGGATGCAATATTCCTGGTGTGGTCTAACCAAAGCAGAATAGAGGGATAGCATGACTTCCCTAGATCTAGACACTATGCTCCTATTGATGCAGGCCAAAATCCCATTGGCTTTTTTTGCCACCACATCACGTTGTTGGCTCATGTTTAACTTGTTGTCCACGAGGACTCCAAGATCTTTTTCACACGTACTGCTCTCAAGCCAGGCGTCCCCCATTATGTATCTTTGTATTTCGTTTTTTCTGCCTAAGTGGAGTATCTTGCATTTGTCACTGTTGAACTTCATTTTGTTAGTCTTGGCCCATCTCTAATCTGTCAAGATCTGTCAAGATATTTCAAACAGTGGCTTGCTATAGGCCATTGTGTGATATCTGGGCTGCATGGCCAATGTGTTCTAGCAGCCTTTTCTCCCGACATTTTGCCTGCCTCTGTGGCTACTGCCGTTTTTACAGGTGCAGCAAGAATTAAACAGCTCTTCCAAAGAGAGGAAACGGCAACCCATCATTCTCTGGACAGGAATGCCTTCCTATCTGCCGTTGTGCAATTAGCGAAGAATACACAGATACAATAGGTTTGAACACTCTCTAGAGCACAGTGGGAGAAAGTCACCAGCAGTTTCTCATTCGGTTGTTGGTTCCTTAAAAGTATCAGACAATAATATGAAATCTGCTGGGCCATCTCCGCCAACACAGCTGCAAGTCTTCCTGAACAATGTAGCACCCAGGGACTTACAACTGGCCAGCCGCTCCAATCGATCTCCATGTAAAACCCAAGCTGAATTTCTGATCGAATCCTTCTGTCATCTACTCTATCTCCTGACTACAAGCCACTGTGCAATGGGCAAACCATACACGACAGATGCAATAGGTTAGAACACTCTCTAGGGCACAAGAGGAGAAAATCACCCGCTGTTTTTCATTCCATTATTGGTTCCTTAGAAAGGCTCAGATAATAATATAATCCTGTTTCACCATTGCCTCACCAGCTACTTTCAGTGGGACAATGAATTCTACAAACAGAAAGATGGAGTAGCTATGGGGAGCCCTCTCAGCCTGGCTAATAGCTGATTTCTACATGGAACACTTTGAAAAACAAGCCCTTGAAACCGCAACAAAAAAGCCCACTATATGGTTCAGATATGTGGATGACACTTTCATTATTTGGAGCCATGGAGAAGAAGAACTCAACAGGTTCCTGGACCATCTTAACAGCATCCACCCAAACATCCAATTCACCATGGAAAAAGAAAGTGAAGGAAGACTGCCTTTTCTAGATGTCCTAGTCATCTGCAAACCAGATCAACAATTGGGTCACACCGTTTACAGAAAACCCACACACACAGATAGATAGAAGCACCATTAAAGCCTTGGCAGACCGTGCAAAAAGAATCTGCGAACCCCACCTCCTCCAAGATGAACTGAACCACATCAACTGGGCTCTCCAGGCCAATGGAGACTCCACCTCAGACATCAGAAGAGCTGCAAGACCAAGAACATGCCACGAGAATAAAGACAAAGATCCACCCAGAGGAAAAGTGTTCTTGCCATACATCAAGGGAACCACTAACCGCATAGGGAAGCTGATTTGGAAACACAACTTACAAACTATCTACAGACCCACCAAGAAAATCCAACAAATGCTACGTTCAGCAAAGGACAAGAGGGATCCTCTCACTTCTGCAGGAGTCTACCGTGTACCATGCAGCTGTGGACAAGTCTACATAGGGACCACCAAACGCAGCATTGCCCAGACATGAATCAAGGAACATGAAAGGCACTGCAGACTACTTCAACCAGAGAAATTAGCCATAGCAGAGCACCTGATGAACCAACCTGGACACAGCATTTTATTTGAGAACAGACATGCTGGACCACTCTCACAACCACCATGTCAGACTACACAGAGAAGCCATTGAAATACACAAGCATGTGGACAATTTCAACAGAAAGGAGGAAACCATGAAAATGAACAAAATCTGGCTACCAGTATTAAAAATAATTTAAAAAGAGAGGAAGCAGGCAGGGACATCAAATTACCTCTCAATTAAAGTTTGCCCCAGGCACAGTCAGGCCATTGTATGCTAATCAAGGTGGTCAGCTGAAGCATTCACACCTAGCAGAGAAGAGTCCTTTGTCTCACCGTGGTCATTCCACAGATATATAAACCCTTTTGCCTAGTTCCAACAGACCTCACTACCTGTGAGGATGCTTGCCAAAGTGCAGGCGAAACGTCAGGAGAGAATGCCTCTAGACCATGGCCATACAGCCCGAAAAAACCTACAACAACCCAAATATTAGTAGTTGTTGCCACATGTCCTAAAAGATACATGAAACTATAATAAAGCATTGAAACTTTAAAACCACCCATAACCACATCATACAGTCCAGGATAAACCGAGGCTGGACTTCTGATCTATTCCTTCTGGTATTTGCTACCATGACTCAAGTATATTTTGAGGCCGAAGGACAGCACTTACGGTATAAAACCCCAGATTGCGCAGGAGGGTCTTCATGAGGATTTCAGCCAGGTGGGTGTCCGGATGGTTGCTCTGGGAGCCAAAGGTGGGGTCGGAGAGGCTTGCGTAGGCCATGCAGAGCGAAGAGATGTCCGTAGCGTCCGAAGGGGAGCTGTAGCCCAGCAGGGAGGCCACGTGCGTGTGGTCCTGCAGGCTGGTCAGGATGATGTCCAGCTGCATCCGCTAGAAGGACACAAGAAGAACAAGAATGGAAAGAAGAAGAGGCCTCTTCAGTCCTTTCCCAAAGAAATTTGGGCATAAGCAGAAATGAGGCACTTCTTTAATAATTCAAAACACAGTGTCATGCTATGGTTTTTGTTTCTGGATTATACATCTCATTTCCTAATTGGTTCTATCATTTTTTGTGTGTCAGGAGCGACCCGAGAAACTGCAAGTCGCTTCTGGTGTGAGAGAATTGGCTGTCTGCAATGACATTGCCCAGGGGCCATTGCCCAGATGTTTTGATGTTTTACCATCCTGTAGGAGGCTTCTCTCATGTCCCCGTATGGGGAGCTGGAGCTGACAGAGGGAGCTTATCCATGCTCCCCCTGGATTTGAACCTCCGACCTGCTGGTCTTCAGTCCTGCCGGCACAAGGGTTTAACCCATTGCGCCACTGGGGGCTCTTCTATCATAAAAACCTGGGAAAGATTTATTAAACTGCCAAAACTTTGTATTTGCCGAGGGGGGGGGGGGGCGGACATCCTGCAGCAGCACATTTTACTCTAATTTTCCAATGAATATCCCATCATCGAGTTTCAATCAATTTGACATTGTTTGTGGCAACCACACAATTTCTTCAATCCTAAGGCACATTTTCCAAGGTCAAAATCTCGAAAAATGAGGTGCATCTTAGAATCACAGGTGAATCATATGTATTTTTTTTTTTTTACGTTGATGGTATCATAATCAGTTTGGGTCAATCAGCATGGGTCTTACAGTCAATGGTGTCTTATAATGGAAGAATTATGGTAACAATAATAATAATAACAATATATTTCTTTAATTCTAATGTGTGCTTTTTCTTCAAAATTAACATAGCAAAAAATGGAGCACATGTTAGAATCACAGGTGAATTGTATGTATTTTTGTTGGTAGAGATGGTACCGGAATGATGATATATCTTAGCATCAATGCCATCTTACAATGAAAGAATTATGGGAAGAAGAAGAAGAGGAGGAGGAGGAGGAGGAGGAAGAGGAACAACAACAACAACAACAACAACAACAACAACAACAACAAGATTTTCCCACCTGTCCTTTGGAGAGGCTCTCCCATCGGTCGGGGCCTTGTGGCAGCAGCGAATGCAGCAGCTCCATTCTCTCCCTCAAGGGCGGAAGTAGCATTGTGGCACCAACTGAGAGGGTCTCAATCACTACCTAGAATTAGGAAAGAGACCCAAAGACTGGGAATCATAACCATAAGTAGAACAGGAACGCATAGACTCAAGCCAGGCAAGGGAGCTGGGCAACGCTTGAGCGGAGCCCTCTTCCTCTTTCTCCAATTGGGGGAAACCAGGGGGAGACACTCACTTCCTGGATTTCATCTGGGACGGAGGAGTCCATCAGCCGGAAGAGGAGGTTGCGCAGGGGCCCAGCCTGCCTGCCCAGGATGCTGGTGGCCACTCCGCCGGCCAAGGCTAAGGCCAGGTGGTTGGAGAGCAGCTTCAGGCACAGCTTCAGGAAGTGGTGGTGCTCCCTGCAGGGCAAGCGCAGGCCCTCAGTGAGGCCTGGCTCTCCTCCCTCCCTTCCTCCCTCCCTCCATGTGAATTCTTGCCTCTGCAAGTCAAGACTCTATATATGTGAAGAGTCGTTCTGATTTCACAGGAAGTACCTAGAAGAAGGGAAAGGAAGAGGAGGAACTTCGCTGTTGATTTTGTCGCAATATTGTTCCAGGAAAGAGCGGAGGTGCGAAAAGGTGCTTTCTTCGAGATCCACACAGTAAGGCCGATGCCAGGCCACCACTTGCCTACAAGGGAAGAATAGGAGGACGAGGTCATGGTGCAGGAGGGTCGCAGAGTCAAAGAAATAATGAGTTGCTTACCTGTAACTGTGTTTCCTCAAGTGGTGGTCAGTAAGATTCACACATATGGGTTATCTTCTGCACACGCGCAGCCGTTCAGAACCTTCTAGATCAGTGGTTCTCAACCTGTGGGTCCCCAGATGTTTTGGGCTTCAACTCCCAGAAATCCTAATAGCTGGTAAACTAGCTGGGCTTTCTGGGAGTTGTAGGCCAAAACACCTGGGGACCCACAGGTTGAGAACCACTGTACTAGATCTTTTTTTAAAAAAAATTGAATAATTTTTTAAAGGTATTTGAAAATGACATCGAAAGAGGGAGAATAATAAGAAGAAGATAGAAAAGTAGGAAAAAGCAAAAAACATCCCCTCCCTCCCCCGGGTCCTCAAAAAAGACAAAAACCAGAGGAAAAAAAAAAGAAAAAAAGAAAAGAAAAAAATATATAAAAAATACCAAAAAATGAAAAAGTGAAAAAAAGAAAATACACTAAAAAATTAAAAACAAACATTAGTAAAAGCAGGATAAAAATTTGACTTCCATCTCTCCATCGGGTGTTGTATCTCCATTATATTCCCATTGTGTCTATTTCTAAATGTTCCTCTTATTTATTTATTTATTTATTTTTGATAGTTTTCATATAGAGTCCAATCTGTCCTCTTTATCGGATTCCCGGTATTCTTTTTCAAGAAAAAAGTTAGTTCATCCATTTCTCTTATTTCTCTTATTTTCCCTAACCAGTCTTCAATGGTCGGGATAACTTCCTGTTTCCAAAACTTCGCCAATGATATTCTCGCCGCTGTAGTAATGTAAGTGAATAATCTATCTTCATTCTCCTCTAATTGTAATTCCAAATCCGTAAATCCTAATAGATAGTATTCTGGTTTCTTCTTGAAAACTCTCTTCAAGATTTTTTGTGTCCCCTCATGTACTCTCGACCAATATTTCTCTACTGTACTAGATCTTTTAGATGGCAACATTTTGGTGGAGGCCCCGCCCACACTCCCCATCTATATATATAAATTTCCTACTAGCGTCCAACGGGGAAGCAAAACTCTAAAACCCCTCCACAAAACTCTACCAAAATTGCCATGCCCCAAGGACAACCCACTAGGTACAAACTAATCCACTCAGAAATCAAAACCACACAACAACAACCACAAAAAACGGGAAAACAACTGAGCATGCGCACTGGCGCAAACTCCCCGACGCGCGCGCACATATGGCCCCTCACCCTCCCCCCCGGCGGAGCACACACACACACCCGCACGCATGGCCCCTCACCCCCCCCGCGCGGCACACACACGCGCGCGCGCGCCCCCCTGATCCCCCCGCGCAGCACACACACACATGTGCGCGCCCCCCTCACCCCCCGGCGCGGCCACGCCCCCTTCTAAACCCATCCCCCCTCCCCTCCTCCCTCTTACCCCTCACGTCACCTCCAAGCCCCGCCCCCTTCTAATCTGTCAAGGAAGAAAGGAGAGAAAGAGGGAGGTAAAGAAAGAAGGAAGGAAGGAATGAGGTAGAAAAGGAAGAAAGGAGAGAAAGAGGGAGGGAAAGAAAGAAGGAAGGAAGGAATGAGGTAGAAAAGGAAGAAAGGAGAGACAGAGGGAGGGAAAGCAAGAAGGAAGGAATGAGGTAGAAAAGGAAGAAAGGAGAGAAAGAGGGAGGGAAAGAAAAAGGGGGAGGAAGGAAAGTTAGAGAAAGAAGGAAGGAGAGAAGGAAAGAAGGAAGGAAAGAAGGGAAAGTTAGAGAAAGAAGGAAGGAGAGAAGGAAAGAAAAAAGGGAAAGAAGGAGCGAAGGAAGGGGGGAAGATGTAGAGAAAGAGGGAGGGAAGGAAAGATGGAAAGAGAGAAGGAAGAAAACAGAGACAACAGAAGAGAAAAAGGAAGAAGGAAGGAAAGAGGGAGCGAATGAAGGGGATAAGATGTAGAGAAAGAGAGAAGGAAGAAAAGAGAGAAGGAAGAAAAGAGAGACAGCAGAAGAGAAAGAAAAAGAGGGAAGGAAGGAAAGCGATAGAGAAGGAAGGAAGGAGAGAAGGAAAGACGGGAAGGAAGGAAGGAAACAGGGAGTGAAGGAAGGAGGGAAAGAAGGGGAGATAGGGCGAAGGTTGGCCACAGCAACGCGTGGTGGGTACAGCTAGTGAACTATAAACGCCAAGTAAGACTGCGCCTTACTTCCATAACTGCAAGCAGCAGCTAGGTCAGAGAGGCATGACCACCATGGGGAGAATGGGTGGGGATGTGCGCACTTCACAGACTACTGCTCGAGGAAACAGTTACAGGTAAGCAATTCATTCTTCTTCTTCATAGAGTCTGTGAAATACACACATATGGGTGACTAGCAAGCTGCTAACCTTCAGAGGAGGGGTCATGCCACAAAGGAAAACAGCACCGCTGTGCCGAAGGCTGGCTCCTTTGTCGCCAAAGCATCCAGCTTGTAATGAGTGGCGAATGTCAATGGTGTAGACCAGGTCGCTGCTCGGCAGATGTCATCAATAGGGATGCCCTTCAGGAAAGCTTTTGATGTTGAGACAGCTGTAGTTGAATCTGCTGACACCTGATTTGCAGTGTCCTTTCCAGCAAACTGGTATGCAAGCCTGATCACCAAAAATGATCCACGATGCCATTCGTTGAGGGTATCTTTCTGGTATTTGAGAAACAGTTTCATTGATGTCTGTGTGTGGCTGTTCTGTTAGTGTAAAGAACCAGAGCCCGTTTGACATCCAGTGAATGCAGTGCTACTTCTAGTAGTGACTATGGGTTCTGGAAGAATACCAGTAAGAAGATGTCTTGCAACAAGTGAAAATGGGAAACCACTTTTGGCAGAAACACAATATCTTGCTGGAGCACCATCTTTTCCTTGTAAAAGTGAAGGTATGGGGCATCCACTCGCAGCACACAGATTTCGCTCATGTGCTCGGCTGATAGGATGCGCTGTGCCGGAGAGCCACTGCCGGTGCTAATAACTTGCCCGAGACATCCACTGTGTGTTTGGCAAGTTCTTTTCAGAAAGTCACCAACATGGAGGATTCTTGTTGGAACACCTTCACTAAAGTTTTTTTGTATTTGGTGGAAGGGGATCGAGATAAGGCGCGATTTTGCCCCATATGTAGTTTTGATAACCGGCCATATATGCCCCGCAATAAGTCATTTGCAAAGAAAGGCACACCAAAGAATGGATCTTCTTGCCATGGCTTCCAATTTCTTCTCCTCCTTATCAGACAGGTTTGACTGGGATCTATGGGAAGGATGTGGCTGGCTTACATCAACAACAATAGAGTTTTGTTTTGGTTGTCTCACCTACAAGGGAGCTGAAGAGAGATCCACATTATAGAGGTTCTCAGCTGGCACAGCTGTGGGGGCCACTTCAGAGGTTTTACTAAGTTGCAATAAGAACAGAAGGCAAAACCATGGCAGGAGGAGCCGTAGCTGGTAGGGCCCTTGGGAATGAAGCAGCACGTGCCTCCGCGCTTGGAGGGGGGTGGGAGGCTGCAACCTGAGGTCTCGCCATGAATGCAGTGCCTGAGTGGTCATGGCAAGCAGCTGGGGACGTATTCACTGTAGCCAAGTGGGTGTGGCTACAACAATCAAAATGGCGACAGCAGCTACGATCAAGAAGAGGCAGGGCATACTTGTAGTGGCCATAGTAATAGTAATAATAGTAAGGAGGGTGGCGCTCTGGAGAGTAGTCATAGTCATGAGAAGCTCCCAAAGGGCTTCGGAACCGAAAACTCCAGAAGCTTACTGAAGATGAGTGGCGTGCTGGTGTTGAGGCATGTGGTGTGGGCGATGCTCCTGAGAGTGACCCTATGCTCTAGCCTCCAGTCCCTTGTTGGTACCGGATGGCATGGCCTGGGGAGGCTGAGGCAACCCTGCCGGAGTCAGGGGGGCCTCAGTTTGCTCATCTGCTGCCAGTAAGTTTGCTGGGGAAGGAAGCAGGCTTGCGTTCCCGGGCTCGGCCTGATTTTGTGGCTCACTCGGGGGCTTCCTAATCGGCATAAGGTTTGGTGGTTCCACTGCCCTTATAGGAGGAGAGGAGGGCTCTTGGGCTATGCCATGTTGGGCTGTGCCTTCCTTTTTCGTGCTTCTTATGTCCCTCTTTTGTCTTAGATGTAAAGTGAGGCTGTTTGGATGGCTTAGTCTTATTAGAAGCGAATGCCAGGGGCTCGGCGCCAGTTTGTCAGGCAAGCAGAGGTGGCATTGGCTGAGACGAAGCAAACTCATGCTCATCTTGGAGGTTGCGGAGAGCATCTCCATAGCCAAGCACTTAGCACTGCAGGTGGTGTTTGGTGCCAAAGCCTGCTTGTAAAGAAGCACCTTAAGCTGGGACTCCCTGTTCCTCCAGGAATGAGGAGTGAAGGCTAGGCAGATCTGGCATGATTGGAGGAGGTGACTTTCTCCCAAACAGAGAAAGCACATAGAATGCTCATCAGAATCTGGCAGGTTGCCGCCACAGGCTCCGCACTTCTTAAAGAAGGAGGTGGCACTCATAATGAAAGGAAACTGGCCTGAGAGTGGTCAGAAAAGCCTATCAGGAGGGAGGAGAGAACTGCCGTAGTCAGGAAAAAAACACGATAGGCAGGAGATAGGCAAGCAAATCTAATAAGTCTGAGTCAGGTAGGTATCAGAAAGGCAAAGGAGAGGCAACCGGTCTGAGTGAAAACCCGTTAAGAACAGAAATAAGACACTAGAGAGGTACCTACAAGCTGCTGATAGCAGCAGAAAAAAATAAACTAAGGGGCAGTTCCCGCCCACAGGCATTTATAGTACATGGGGAGTGTGGGTGGGGTCTCCGCCAAAATGCTTCCATTTCAAAGATCTAGAAGGTTCTGAGTGGCTGCGCATGCACAGAAGATAACCCATATGCGCATCTTTTACAGACTCCACGAAGAGGAAGGAAGAAGGCCACCTGGAGGGAAGGAGAGCCCGAGCTGGCCCAGGTCTTCCTTTGATTGAGAAACACGACCCCGTGGTTTCAAGCCCTGAAGTGCCATCAACTCACCTGTCCCTGGGCAGGGCCGTCCAGGCCAGGCTGTGGGAGGTCCCGGCCGAGATCTGCTGGATGGCCACTCCGTCCAGGCCACTCACTTTCTTGGGCTTGGTGATGGGGCCGGTGGAGTTGCCCTGGCCGCACTGCCCCATGGAGTTGTTGCCCCAGGCATACACCTCGTTATCTGAAACATCACCATCATCATTATTATTATTTCCACATAAATTTTATTGCAAATGTATGAGGAATTGCCGGGGGGAGGGTGCAAGGGTGGATATCTAACAGGGGCATTTTTAACCTCTGACATCTTTTTCCATGGTTATCTAATACAAAAAAGGGTTCTACTACTGTTTATTTTCTCTTGATGCAGTAAAAAAAACACCCAATATTTTCATTTTCTGTTTTTCATTTAAATAGTCAACAAAAGGCTGCCATTCCTCTTCAAATTTGGAAGGGTCTGGCCATCGTATAATAAGCCTTGTCAATTTGTCCATCTCTGCCAGCTCCATCCTTTTTGTCACCAATAAAACTTGGGTAGGAATTTATTCTGGTTTCCAATAGTAAACATAAACAATCCCTCCTGCTCTATGTATCATCATCATCATCATCACTATAATTATTACAACAAAATGAATGCTGAACTCTCCCAGAAATGAAGCCCTGGCCTTGTGGATAGTACAGGCATGGGCCAACCAACCCTCTTCCAGGTGTTTTGGACTTCAACTCCCACAGTTCCTAACAGCATTGTTATATCATCTTACTGCTATTATTTTATTATATTCCAATATTATTCTATTATTATTATTTTATCATATTATTGTATTATATTATTGTTGTTGTTGTTTTATTATATTACGTTATTGTTTTAATATTATATTATATCATATTATATTACAATCATTTTATCATCATTATTATTATTTGAAAAACAAGAAGATGAGTCCACAGCAAACAAGATCACTCTGCTGGTTGCTCCCCTTGATGGACTGTCACCTTGTGGTGAGGGGGCTTGCGTGTTCAATGAACCTGTGGGCACAACAACTGCAGTCGTACAGGGATGACTTTTTCCAAACTCAGCACTGCCGAGTTTGGAAAAAGTCAGCAATGCCATCAGCCAACAAAAAAATAACAAAGCCAGCGGACCTGATGGGATCCCTGTTGGAATCTTTATAGAGGGAGGACCTCAGCTGACACAACAACTCCACCAGCTCATAGAAAAAGTGTGGGCGACCAAGAAAATCGCAGAAGTTTTCAAGGATGCCACCATTGTCACCCTCTTCAAAAAAGGGGAAAAAACAGACTCATACAGTGCGACCTTCAGGGGAGACACCCTGTTTTTTCTTGTTTGAGGCGTAAATGCCAGACAAATCAGGCAAGACTGGGACAGATGTCCTTCCCTCAGGCAGAGTAGGCACAAAGAGTGGCCGCAGAATAACTGGCTGAGCACAAGGCACAGTGTTTAAAAGCAGAAGTAGCTGTCATAGCAATCAAGGCACCTATAATCAAGCAGAGAAGGAGTCTATACTCAATCAACAAATCCAGAAACAGTCTGAGTCAGGTAAGGAGAAAGACGAAACAACGATAGGCAGTCCGGTCAGTAATTAGGGCAGTCCAAATAAACAAGTCACAATAGAAGGTTCTTTAGCTGCTGACAGAGTGGTGAATCAAAAGAACTGGAGCAGTAGACCCTCCCACTGGCTACATATACTCTCAATGGGAGAGTGGGAGGAGCTACCGCCAAAAATGTTTCTAATCTAATTTAGAAGGTTCCAAAGCTGTCTGCTCAGGCGCAGAAATTACCATATGTGCGATTCACAGTTGACCACGATGGAGAAGCCCTGGCCCTTGAGGTCAGCTGTGACCAGCAGTGCTGTAGAATTTGAAGAGGCACAAATGGAGGGCAAAAGAGAGTAACGTGCCAAGAGGAAGGTGTGTCAAGCCAACCCAGACCAGGACCGCCTTCCATCTGGAAACCGATGCCCTCACTGCAGGAGACCATGCATGTCAAGAATATTTATTTACTTCATTTACTTCATTTGTATACCGCTATTCTCAGCCCTTAGGCGACTCACAGCGGTTAACAACAGTAGTAGCAACAATTCAAAGCTAACATCAAACAAGGTGTTTAAAAACAATTAACACAATAGCAGACTAAGCAATTAACATCAATAAACACTCACTCGCATCTCGTAACTAGAATCATGATCCAAACTCGTCATCCGTTGTTCCGTTGCCTATAATTCATTGCACTGCCTATTCAAACGCCTGTTCAAATAACCAGGTTTTCACTTTTCTTCGAAATACCATTAGTGAGGGAGCCAATCTAATGTCCGTGGGAAGGGCGTTCCACAGCCGAGGGGCCACCACCGAGAAGGCCCTGTCTCTCGTCTCTCGGCTCTACAGTCACCTACATACGCACCGCCACTACACTGAACTTGGAAGATAATCTTATTCGGTCAACAAATGATCGCCTAAGTAAGAAAGTAAGTAAAAGTAAGCTGGTTGCTATATTGGATCACACATCGGACACTTGATAATCATCATCACCATCATCATCATCATCATCATCATCATCATCATCATTATCATCATTATTATTATTAGGAATTGTGGAGTTGAAGTACAAAATACCTGGAGGGAGGACCACAGTTAGCGCAGGCCTGTTTTAGAATAATAATAATATATTATTTCTTACCTGCCTCTTCTTTGTGGTTTGAGGTGGGTTACAGAATAATTAAAACACATAAACATTGTTAAAATACGTATTAAAATACACAAAACCTAGATTAAACAAAGGAAGCATGTTTAAAATTCATGTTTTAAAACTGCCTAGTTAGGCCTGCCAAAGAAATAAAAGTATTTGGGTGACTTTTAAATTTTATGACATCCCTTACCGTGTGAAAGCGCCAAGCAGTGGCTGTCCCCGATGGAGATATCCACAATCCGAGTAGCGGCCAGCTCCTCGATCAGTTTGGGCCGGAGGGCAGTTGCTTCGGAAGAGCCGCACCCCAAGCAGGCCCCACAGCCCCAGGCGTAGACCTAGGCCCAAACGCACAGCGTGAGGAACTGTTTACACGGCTGCAACCAAATGCTTAAAACAGGCAATGAGCCCAGAGTCAACTGAATCTCCTCATATTCCTTTCTTTCCCTCCATGATGGCATGCACTGCCACTAGCGCTCTGGAAACCTTACTTTTGAAGGACTAAAACACTGGCTGAAAGATTCTGAGAGGTGAGACCCAAACAAGGAACCCTTCCAATTAAGAACACACGTTTGCTCTTTAGCCAATGGAGAGGAAAGACTAGATGACCATAGAACAGTGATGGGCAACCTTTTGAGCGTGGTGTGTCAAAATTCGCCAAAAAACCCACTGGTATGATTGAAAGACAAGAGACTGAAATACATATAAACTTAGGGGAGATGAAGAAATATACCAGTGATGGGCAACCTTTTGAGCGTGGTGTGTCAAAATTCGCCAAAAAACTGAGCATAATTCAGGTGGTGTGTCACTTCAAGAAAAAAACCATAATTTCGCAATATTTAGTTTAAATAACAAAAATATATAATTGTAATTCCCACTTTCTCTCTTATCATGTTGTTCTACCTCTCTTTATGTAAATAATATCCTTTTTGGAGTGTTTATAAAAATATAATTTTAAAAACCCAACAAAATATTATTTATTTTTATTTTAATTTAAATTTATTTCTAGCATTTAATATGCTATTTAATGTATTTCTAATAATAATAATAATGCAATAACAATAAAGTAACATTGCAAAATAATATTTTGATATTTAATTTACCATTTCATTTAAGACACACACACACACACACACACACACACACACACACACACACACATATATATATATATATATATTAATTGTTGTTGTTGTTCATTCGTTCAGTCGTCTCCGACTCTTCGTGACCTCATGGACCAGCCCACGCCAGAGCTCCCTGTCGGCCGTCACCACCCCCAGCTCCTTCAAGGTCAGTCCAGTCACTTCAAGGATGCCATCCATCCATCTTGCCCTTGGTCGGCCCCGTCTTCCTTTTACCTTCCACTTTCCCCAGCATAATTGTCTTCTCTAGGCTTTGCTGTCTCCTCATGATGTGGCCAAAGTACTTCAACTTTGTCTCTAGTATCCTTTCCCTCCAGTGAGCAGTCGGGCTTTATTTCCTGGAGGATGGACTGGTTGGATCTTCGCGCAGTCCAAGGCACTCTCAGCACTTTCCTCCAACACCACAGCTCAAAAGCATCGATCTTCCTTCGCTCAGCCTTCCCTAAGGTCCAGCTCTCACATCCGTAGGTTACTACAGGGAATACCATGGCTTTGACTAGGCGGATCTTTGTTGGATCACCGCCTTGTCGGGGCGCTGGAGCTTGAGCACCTCAATGATGTCATGAGCGAAACCGTGAAGGGCCACCCAAGACGGGACGGTTGTGGCAGAGAGGTCAGACCAAGCGTGATCCCTGGGGAAGGCAATGGCAAACCACTCCAGTATCCTTGCCAAGAAAACTAAATGGACCAGTACAACCAGAGATATGTTGGTATGCCATTGGAAGATGGGACTCCCAGGTCGGAAGATGGCCAAAATGCTACTGGGGAGGAGCAGAGGATAAGTTCAACTAGCCCCAGATGTGATGACGCAGCTAGCTCAAAGCCGAAAGGAAGGCTAGCGTCCGACGGTACTGGAGGTGAACGACGAATCCGATGCTCTAAAGATCAACACACCATAGGAACCTGGAATGTAAGATCTATGAGCCAGGGCAAATTGGATGTTGTTATTGGTGAGATGTCAAGACTAAAGATAGACATTCTGGGGGTCAGCGAACTGAAATGGACTGGAATGGGCCACTTCACACCAGATTAATATATATATATATATATATATATATATATATATATATATATATAGGCATATATTAAAAATATTTAAAATGCATTAAATTAAATGTCAAATTAAAATTCAATTTACCATTTCATTTAAGGCATTCTGAAATATTTGAGTAATATAGCAAAGTATTATTTATCATTTAATTTAATTAAGGAGCTTCATATTTAAACTGAATGATAAATACTATTACTTTGCTATATTATTCAAATATTAAAATGCATTAAATTAAATGTCAAATTTAAAAATATTTAATTATTATAAATATTTAGGTAACATTGCAAAATAATATTTGTTTACTTAATAATTAAATAAAATTAAATAAACCAATAATTAAATAAACCAATATTATTTTGCAATGTTACCTAAATATTTAATAATTAAATATTTTTAAATTTGACATTTAATTTAATGCATTTTAATATTTGAATAATATAGCAAAGTAATAGTATTTATCATTCAGTTTAAATATGAAACTCCTTAATATTTAGGTAACATTGCAAAATAATAATTTCTTTCCTATTTATTTTTTAAAATGGCATAAAATAAATAAACAAATAATATCCGGCGGGCGCGTGTCAGTAGAAATGGCTACGCATGTCAGTACTGACACGCGTGTCATAGGTTCGCCATCACGGCCATAGACAGTTAATATAGTGCTGTTGGGAAATTGTTTTCATACTTTGCCTTGTTGACTAGTTGTGTCTGTTACAGCACTGCAACATAATTAATTTTAATGTAATTGCAATTGAACCTTGGGGGGGAGGGCTTAGAAATTAATTGTGTTAATTATGTTAAATATAATTTTAAATTTAATTTTGGTTTATATGTTATTATTTGGTTTTATATGTAGGTTTAATTTGGTATATGTGGATTTATTTGGGTATTTGTCTGTTTATATTGGGTTTTGGGTGTTTCAGTACTGGATTTGCATTTTGTATTTGTATTAATTTTTTTGTATCAGGCCTTGAATGTTTGCCTTTTTGTTGTTGGAATCCACACTGAGTCCCCTTGGGGAGATAGGGCGGAATACAAATAAAGTTGTTGTGATTTATCATTTGAACCACCGTCTCCTCCTGAGAAAAATGTATAATATCACAAAGGACTACCGTCTCACCCGCCTCATAGGAAACCTGCTACAAAACAGGAGCTTTTTTGTTGAGTTCCAGGGCCAGAGAAGCAGATGGCGGAAACAGAAGAACAGCCTGCCTCAGGGAAGCGTGCTTGCCCCATCCATGTTCAACATTTACACAAATGACTAGCCACTGCCAGAAGAGACAGAGAGCTTCATCTATTCTGATGATCGTGCCATTACTGCTCAAGCAGGGAGCTTTGAGATGGTTGAACAGAAACTCTCCGAAGCTCTAGGTGCCCTTACTGCCTACTACAGGGAAAACCAGCTGATCCCTAACCCATCTAAAACACAGACATGTGCTTTTCATCTCAAGAACAGACAAGCATCCCGAGCTCTGAGGATCACCTGGGAAGGACTCTTGTCTGCTGGAGCTAGGTGTGGATGCTTCAACTCATCACCTTGATTAGCACTGGATTGCCTGGCAGTGCCTGGAGCAAACTTTTGTTGAGAGGTGATTCAATGTCCTTGTTTGTTTCCTCTCTGTTGTTGTGCTGTTGTAATTCTAGAGTTTTTTTAATTTTAGAGTTTAGAGTTTTGTCTCACCCTGGTCATTCCACAGATATATAAACCCTTTTTCCTAGTTCCAACAGACCTCACTACCTCTGAGGATGCTTGCCATAGATGCAGGCGAAACTTCAGGAGAGAATGCCTCTAGACCATGGCCATATAGCACGAAAAAACCTACAACAACCCAACTGAGTCAATGTTTGCATGCTGATTTTCCCAAGGTGCTTCATTCTCACCTGCCCTGTTGAGGTCAGCGCCAGCGACGACTGGCTCCCAGCACAAACCTTCCTGATGAACATTCCCTGCAGCGCCTCTATCACTTTAGGTTTGTAGACTCTGTTGGTGTCGCCATGGCCGAGTTTGCCTATTGGGATACACAGCACCCATGACATCATCATCATCATCATCATCATCATCCATAATCTATATAAATAAAAATGTAATGTTTGTTTGTGGGATTAGCGTAACTCAAAACCCCCTGGACGAATTGGCACCAAATTTGGACACAAGACACCTAACAACCCAATGTATGTCCTTCACTTAAAAAAATGATTTTGTCATTTGGGAGTTGTAGTTGCTGGGATTTATAGTTCACCTACAATCAAAGAACATTCTGAACCCTACCGACAAAAGAATTGGACCAAACTTGGCACACAGTTCTCCCATGACCAACAGAAAATACTGGAAGGGTTTGGTGGGCAGTGTCCTTTAGTTTTGGAGTTGTAGTTCACCTACATCCAGAGAGCACTGTGAACTCAAACAATGATGGATCTGGACCAAACTCTACACGGATACTCAATATGCCCAAATGTGAACACTGGTGAAGTTTGGGGAAAATAGAATCTTGACATCTGGGAGTTGTAGTTGCTGGGATTTATAGTTCACCTACAATCACAGAGCATTCTGAACCCCACCAATGATAGAATTGGGCCAAACCTCCCACACAGAAGCCTCATGTGGGCCACAGCAACGTGTGGCAGGGGACGGCTAGTAATAATAATAAACAACTTTATTTATACCCTGATTCCCCATGGAGCCTCAAGGTGGCTTACATTATATTGCATTGATTTTCTTCTGAGCCACTTTGAGTCCCTTTTTTAGAGATAAAAATAGATATGACATATATAAAAGAGAGATAAAAGAAATATATCTATATCTACCTACCAGAGGAGATGAGGCAGGGCAAAATAAAATAAAACAAAGTAAAGATTCCGAAAAGCCATACGCAGAAAGGCAAGCCGTCAGGCCAAAGAAGAAATAAATATAAATAGAGGTAGATGACGATGCGGAGAAGAAGATTGGGAAGTCAACTCTTAGTGACTACCTCTGAGGATGCTTGCCATAGATGCAGGCGAAATGTCAGGAGAAAAATTGCCTCCAGAACATGGCCATATAGCCCGGAAAAACCTACAACAACCCATAATAATCTTTATTTATACCCCGCTACCATCTCCCCAAGGGACTCGGTGCAGCTTACATGAGGCTGACCTCACAATATATCAGCAAAACCAACAACAACAGTATTATTTATTTATTTATTTAGAACTTTTATATACCGGTCTTCTCAACCTCTGCAGAGGGACTCAGGCCGGTTTACAACAAAGGATTCATAAACAATAGTTTAAAATATCACATCACATAATGCACTAATACATAAAAAACATTAAAAAACAATCATATAATTACATAAGGCCAAGTCATCAGAATGAAATCACAATTCATCACCATCTGTCCGTGTGGTCAAGAGTTACTGACTCACTCATCGAATGCTAAATTCCAGAGCCAAGTTTTCACCAGCTTTCTAAAAGTCAGGAGAGAAGGGGCAGTTCTAATCTCCAGTGGGAGAGAGTTTCAGAGCCAAGGGGCCACCATCGAGAAGGCCCTGTCCCTCGTCCCCACCAGATGCGATTGCGAGGGGGGTGGGACTGAGAGCAGGGCCCCTCCAGAAGATCTTAATAACCTTGATGGTTCATAGGGGAGAATCCGTTCGGACAGGTAATACAAATTAATACATAACTCATAATAAAAATAAGCAGTAAACATTAACAATAGCACGACGACGTTTAAAAACCTATGACCTTCCCCTCCCTACTTTCCCTCCCCCACATACACCTGATCTTTCCCAGAAATACCCCTTATATTTTTATTTACATTTTGAAAAACCTTAATAAAAATTATTAAAAAATAAGAGTTCTTAAAAAAAAGAAATATGTCTATATCTAATCTATAACTATTTATATCTATATCTATAAAAATAAAAATGTAATGTTCATTTGTGGGATTAACATAACTCAAAAACCACTGAGCAAATTGACACCAAATTTGGACACAATACACCTATCAGACCAATGACTGACCATCACTCATAAAAACACTGAAAAACACAGCAGAAGAGACTTAAAAAGCAAAAAAAAAACCCCAAAAATACATCACAATGCAAGTGCAAAACCACATATACACACAAACACACATATATACATAAATACATACACACACATATACACAGACTAGGCCACAGCAACGCATGGCAGGGGATGGCTAGTATATATTTAAAGTGAATGTACGTATGTGTGTATGTGGCAGATTTCTGATTGGCTGCCACTTTCACAGGCCACTGCGATCTGAATGGGTGACGGATCAGGACCAAACTTGGCACACATATCCCCCTTTACATCCTGGTGAGGTTTGTGGGAGTATAGACAAACGATGATGGGATTTGTAGTACTTTAACATCCTTTGGATCCCACAGACCACTGTGCCCCCCAATAAAGACTGATAAAGACCAAACTTGGCACACAGAGTCTTCATGACCCACTCTACATCCTACTGCAGTTTGGAAAAGGGTGGACCATGGATTATTGGACTTGAAGTACCTCCACTCACATCCCAAGACCGCTGCCGCCCTCATCCAATGACAGATCAAGACCAAACTTGGCACTCATAACCCCCATGACCCCTTTTACATCCTGGTGAGGTTTGGGGGAGGACGGAAAGTGGATGATGGGATTTGCAGTACTTTCCAACCTTTCGGTTCCCACAGACCACTGCGGCCCCCCCAAAAAGAACAATAGAGACTAAACATGGCACGCACAGTCCCCATGACCCACTCTACATCCTACTGCGGTTTGGAGGAGGTTGGGCAATGGATGATGGGACTTGAAGTACGCCCATTCACTTCCCAAGACCACTATGATCATCATCCAATGACTCATTCAGAAACTTGGCACACAGAGCCCCCATGACCCACTCTACATCTTGGTGCAGTTTTGAGGAGGGTGGACCACGGATGATGGAATTTGAAGTACCTTCAGTCATTTCCCGAGACCGCTGCGACCCTCTTCCAATGACGGATCAAGATCAAAGTTGGCACACAGAGCCCCCATGACCCACTCTACATCCTACTGCAGTTTGGAGGAGGGCAGACCACGGATGATGGCACTTGAAGTACCTTCACTCACTTACCATTGACAATCCTGCAAACAGGACTCTCTTTGTTCATCCAATGCCAATGAAATGAAAGAGGATGCCAATGAGAAGGTAATGGTTGGCACACAAAGCGTCAGAGAATATTCTGCAGAGTCACAGCAAGCGAGAGAAAGAAATTCTGAAAATACATTACCATTGTCTCCTCCTCCAAAGGACCAAACGGTGCGCCCATCTTTGGATAAAGCGATGCTGTGGGAGCTGCCGCAAGAGACCTCGCCCACGTTGCTGATGTCCTTGACCAGAGTGGGAATGTTGCGACTGTTGCTGTCACCGTGACCTTTGGAAAGAAATATACAAATATATACATATAGTACTTTGGATAACTTTCTCTACACCTGTTTCATTTTATTTTACAATGCAGCATTATTTAAGCCTAAAGGAAATGTATGATTACATTATGTCACACTATAATGTTTGTTCCTGGGTTATACATGCCATATCCTAATTGGTTCTGTCCTAAAACATGGGAAAGTTGATTAAACTGCCAAAGCTTTTCTTTTTGTGGGAGGGGCATCATTTTGCAGCACATTGTGATAATAGTTTTCCAGTTAAACCAAAACAGTGGCCAGTATTTATTATGTATTTTCTAGATCAGGGCATGGAATCATGTGGCTTTCAAGGGGAATTATAGGAACTCGTTCATAAAAATAATTCCTTCTATGTGCATGTATTAAAATCAGTTTTTAAAAGAAAGTTTCCCAGTAAATCTACACAAGTTACAATCCAGCCGTCTATCTAGATTGACCTTATCTATATAAATAAAAATGTAATGTTCGTTTGTGGGATTAACAGAACTCACTAACCACTGGATGAATTGACACCAAATTTGGGCAAAAGATACCTAACAACCCAATGTATGTCCTTCACTCAAAAAAAATTGATTTTGTCATTTGGGAGTTGTAGTTGCTGGGATTTATAGTTCACCTGTAATCAAAGAGCATTCTGAACCCCACCAACAATGGAATTGAACCAAACTTGGCACACAGAACTCCCATGACCAAGAGAAAATACTGGAAGGGTTTGGTGGGCAGTGTCCTTTGGTTTTGGAGTTGTAGTTCACCTATATCCAGAGATCACTGTGAACTCAAACAATGATGGATCTGGACCAAACTCTAAAAGAATACTCAATATGCCCAAATGTGAACACTGGTAGAGTTGGGGGAAAATAGAATCTTGACATTCGGGAGTTGTAGTTGCTGGGATTTGTAGTTCACCTACAATCACAGAGCATTCTGAACCCCACCAATGATAGAATTAGGCTAAACCTCCCACACAGAACCCCCATGTGGGCCACAGCAATAGAAGGGCCCCTGGAGGCGCAGCAGGTTAAACCGCTGAGATACTGAACTTTCTGACTGAAAGGTTGGTGGTTCAAATCTGGGGAGCAAAGTGAGCTCCTGCTGTTAGGCCCAGCTTCTGTGAACCTAGCAGTTTGAAAACATGCAAATGTGAGTAGATCAATAGGTACCGCTTCTGAGGGAAGGTAAGGGCACTCCATGCAGTCATGTCAGTGGCCACATGACCTTGGAGGCGCCTACAGACAACGTCAGCTCTTCAGCTTAGAAATGGAGGTGAGCACCAGAGTCCCAGAGTCGGACTCGATTAGACTTAACGTCAAAGGAAAACCTTTACCTTTTTATTTCCATAGAAGGAAGATTGAATTATGGAGGAAGGGTAAACAAGCCAAGCCTGGCACAAAGACATGGCTGCCTTCAAATGTTGCTTTTTCCCTTCAAATGTTGTTTTTTCCCTTTTTCCCTTCTGATTCCTCCCACCAAACAGGGTCAAAGACACATTGGGATAGGATTTCCCATAGAAAGTGGGCAGAAGGGCCTCTTGGCTTGCCGATCCACAGTTTCCAGGAGAGCCATGGATGGCAACGCCTGGAAAGCTGTGCATTTCCCATCTCTTACAATGTAAATGGTAATAATGATATTGCAAAGGACATTGGGGAGGAAGGGGCCTGTGCACTGAGCACCATTTCCATTACCTAGCCGCCCAAAATCTCCTTCTCCCCAGGTGTATAATTCGCCATCTTCGGTCACGGCAGCGCTGTGTCGGTATCCAGCTGAAACGCACACCACAACCTGCACGACAAGCAAGAGAGGGAAATAGTGGAGGTCTGGCTGGAAAGGTCCAAACCCAGTACAGGTGCCCATGGTGAGATGCGCCACCCTCCCATCAAGCAACGCAATGAACAGGGCACGTCATGGGCTTATCACAAGAACCGGTCTATGGGCTGGCAATGGGCAGAGTGTAAATGAAGGAAACTGGAAGTCAATTATTTCACCCTCTGGGTTTTCAACCATACATATCAGGCCTGAGCCAAACTTGGCCCTCCAGGTATTTTGGACTTCAACTCCCACAATTCATAACAGGCGATAGGCCTGTTGTTGTGCCAGCTCCACTGGCTGCCAGTCCATCTCCGAGCCCAATTCAAAGTGTTGGTTTTGACCTATAAAGCTTTATACGGTTCTGGCCCAGCTTACTTGTCCGAACGCATCCACCCCTACGTCCCAACCCGTAATCTAAGATCATCTGGGGAGGCCCTGCTCTCGCTCCCGTCAATTGCGTAAATGTGTCTGGCAGGGACGAGAGACAGGGCCTTCTCGGCGGTGGCCCCTCGCCTATGGAACACACTCCCAAATGAGGTAAGATCTGCTCCCTCCCTCCTGGCTTTCAGAAAGAAATTAAAATCATGGCTTTGGGACCAGGCTTTTGGACAGTAGATGTTTGTAGAGTTTAAAGGACATGGACTAGAATGGCGAGACTGGCGAGACTGTTTTTATTATTTATTGTTTTAATGATTGCTTATGTACTGCCTAATTATGATTTATGTTTAATTGTGGTTTTATTATTGTGGTTGTTATGGATTGGCATTGCGTCAGTGTCCAATGTATGGCATTGAAGTTTTGCCAGTTATGTGTAAACCACACATGGAAAACTCACAGAAACCCAATAATAATAATAAATACAATTACTATTATTATTATCATTATTATTCCACCCCTGAAGGTAAAGAACAAGGTCTAAGGAAAGGAGGACAGAATGTCACACCCTTGTCCATTACTTCCTTGGAAAAACTAGTCATTCTCCAATGGAACAGAGAAGAGAGCCAACACGTGCAGTAGAGAGCAATGAAGCATAGATACAAAGGAACTCTGGGCACGCGAAGCCTTCCAAGCAACAAGATGGAGAGAAGACAGAAGGAAACGCCTGCCAGCGTGAGGGTGAAGCAAGCCTACCTTTCCTTGCAAGGGGCCCTGGATGAGTTTGGGGTACTTCTGTGTGGAGCTGTTCCCATGGCCCAGCTTCCCATAGTCGCCGTCTCCCCAGCTGAAGACCTCCCCTTCGGTGGTGAAGGCCAGCGTGTGGCCATCCGAGCCTTTGGATGATGACACCTTCTTGATCGACCGGTGAGGCTCAAAGGTCAGCTTCTTCAGAGTGGATTGATTGTTGGAATCGCCGAGTCCTAACCGCCCGTAGCTGCCTTTGCCACAGGCCCGGACAGAGCCATCTGTGGATATGACAAAGGTGCAGTACTGTCCGGCTTCAATCTGCGGAAGGAGAGGAAAGTCAAGGAACATTCAAAATGGGCCAGGGGTCAGAGCAGGCCTGGGCAAACTTTGGCCCTCCCTTCTTCCAGGTGATTTTGACTCTGACTCCCACAATTCCTAATAGGAAGTTGGCCCATGGCTGGTCTCATCCCAGCAATAGAGCAACTGAGCTTAGGCAATTCAAGAGCAGAGTCGAGCCTTAAAAGCTACAAGACATTTTTTTTATTCAAAGAACTACATAGCCAGATTGGAAAGGTAACAGGGCCTAACTATCCAACTAGATAGGTAACTCACTACTGGATGGATTTGGGCGGCGGCGGGGGGGAGAATATGAGTTTTAAAGGCCATTTTAATGTATTTGCTGTATTTTAAGTTCTGTTTTTACCACACTATTATTTAATTGTTTTCTTAACTTGGTGTATTGTTCTTTTTTAACGGTTTAGTGTGTACAGATGTCAGCTGCCTTGAGTCCCTATGGGGAGAAAGGCGGGATATAAATAAAGATGGAAAAGCCTTCGTTTGGACAAAACATCAATCCACATGTTACAGAAAGAAGGCAGCACTTCTCAGAACCGTGGGCATTCTACAAAAATACCTCTACTATCCTAGGTCCCTGGGAAGAGCCCGATGTTCAGAGATGAACCCCAGACACTTGGACTTAATGTGCTTATGTGTTGTGATGTAAATAATAATAATAATAATCTTGCAGCAGACATCTTTTCTCTCTTCATGCTCAGAGAGGCTTACCCTGTGCTCAGAAAAAGAGGAGGGTCCCTGAGAAGTGACAGTCCAACAAGCACACGATAGGAGGAGAGATCATATAGAGGTTTGGAGTTCAGTTATCATCTGTATGCAGATGATGCCCAACTCTACTACTCCTTTTCAACTGATGCCAAGGAAGCTGCCCTGCACCTAAACCATTGCCAGGAGGTGGTAATGGACTGGATGAGGATGAATAAACTGAAACTCAATTTGGATAAGACAGAAGTACTACTGGTCTCAAGTGAGAAGGATCCGGGAATAGGGTGGCTACTGGACTTGGACGAGGTCACACTCCCCCTGAAACCTCAAGTCCACAGTTTGGGGTGATCTTGGACTGCCTTAAATCTGGAAGCCCAGGTAGCAGTGGTAAACGGGACTACCTTTGCTGTTTCAAATATTTATGATTTTAGGGGTTGTTTTAACTTTTGTACTGTATGTTTGTTTGTTTTTGTTCTTTTGTAGGTGCTCAGAAATAAAAAAATAATTAAAAATGGAAATGTGTGTGTATCTGTGTGTGTACACACACACACACAGATACATACATAACATGCTCTTTGACCCTCAATTAGAGAAGCACTTCAGAGTGATCTCGTTGCTTGCACATCCCTGTTTGCAAGGTGCCACTCACTGTCTGCGCATCGGAAAAGCTGGGGGCCAACTTGGGCTGAAGGATCTTCTCCTGGGTGCCTTCCACCAGTTGGTGACTGCTGTTGCTGCCCCAAACGTAGACCTCGCATGTCTCCGAGATAACGGGAGCGTCGCTGCCGGTCTGGATGCTGTCAGGGCTGGCGCATGTGCGGGAATAGTCGGAGGCCATGCGGCAGACCTGCCGGGAGAAGGGAGAAGGGCATGCAGCACAGGAGAGAGAGTTGCGGGCGCCCATCAAGCAGGTGCCTTCTATGAAGAACACCATCTAATGTTCCCTCATAGGTGCAGAACCCAAGCTAAACCCAAGGGACCACCTTTCACATATTAATAGTAGTAGTAGTAGTAGTAATAATAATAATAATAATAATAATAATAATAATAATAATAATAATAAATGTTTCCTCATAGGTGTAGAACCCAAGCTAAACCCAAGGGACCACCTTCACATTTTAATAGTAGTATTAAAATACTAATAAATTTTCCTCATAGGTGCAGAACCCAAGCTAAAACCAAGGGACCACCTTCACATTTTAATAGTAGTAGCATTAGTAATAGACTCTGGCACAAGTTGGTAAGGGTGGTCCCAGTGGTGATCAGCACACTGGGTGCAGTGCCTAAAGACCTTGGCCTGCACTTAAACACAATCGGCGTTGACAAAATTACCATCTGCCAACTGCAAAAGGCCACCTTACTGGGATCTGCACGCATTATTCACCGATACATCACACAGTCCTAGACACTTGGGAAGTGTTCGATGTGGGATCCAATACAACAGGTCAGCAGACTGATATTGTCTGTTGTGGACTCATCTTGTGTTTAAATAATAAATGTTTCATAAATGTTTCATCATTGGTGCAGAACCCAAGCTAAACCTGAGGGATCACCTTCACATTATTATTATTATTATTATTATTATTCCATTATATATGCAAAACTCAAGCTAAACCTGAGGGACCAACTTCATATAATAATAATAATAATAATAATAATAATAATAATAATAATAATAATAAATCACACAGTCCTAGACGCTTGGGAAGTGTTCGACTTGTGATTTTGTGATACGAAATCCAGCATATAGATCTCGTTTTCTGTGACCTACTGTGCTTTTGTGTCAACAACAACAACAACAACAACAACAACAATAATAATAAATGCTCCATCATAGGTGCAGAATCCAAGCTAAACCTGAGGGACCACTTTCACATTTTAATAACAAAAACAATAGTCATCAGCATAATCATAATTAACGTACAATTGTATATGCAAAACCAAGCTAAACCTGTGACCACCTTCACAACTTTAACTTGAATAAATACGGTATTATGAAATACTGTATTTACTCAAATCTAATGCACCACTGAATCTCATGTGCACCTCCATTGTCAAAACCCTGAAACCAAAATAAGTATTTTACTTATTTTATAACTGTAATATACAAAAAAGTATCCCATTAGAATTCCTTTTTTAAAAACAATTGTGTTGGAATACCAAAGCTTCCAGCAATGGAAAAGAAAACCTTGGGGTGCATTCTCTGCTGAAGAATGAATCCACTTTAGTTGCTTTGGCTCAATGCTATGGGGTCATATTTGCTGGAGTTGAAGTTTTATAAGAGCTTCAGCCTCCTCTGCCAAAGAAAGCAGATGCCTCGCTAAACTATAAACCCCAGATCATATAGCATTGCTCCATGGCCATTAAATCAAATAGAATCTCCCGGTGCAGCTCCTGAAACAGCTTCCCCTTTTGCTTTGACTCATAGAATCATAGAATCATAGAATCAAAGAGTTGGAAGAGACCTCATGGGCCATCCAGTCCAACCCCCTGCCAAGAAGCAGGAATATTGCATTCAAATCACCCCCGACAGATAGCCATCCAGCCTGTTTAAAAGCTTCCAAAGAAGGAGCCTCCACCACACTCCGGGGCAGCAAGTTCCACTGCTGAACAGCTCTCACAGTCAGGAAGTTCCTCATGTTCAGATGGAATCTCCTTTCTTGTAGTTTGAAGCCATTGTTCCGCGTCCTAGTCTCCAGAGAAGCAGAAAACAAGCTTGCTCCCTCCTCCCTGTAGCTTCCTCTCACTTGGCACTAAGATGACTATATTACATTAATTTAATGTGCCCCCTCATTTTGGGAAGGTCAGTTAGTCAAAAAAAGGTGAGCATTAGTTTTGAGTAAATAGGATAATAATAATTATTATTATTATTATTTATTTATTTATTTATTGCCTTTCTCTTTCAGCTGGAGGCAGGGCACAACATACACAAATACATGATTTCTATGCACACAATTATCTATCTAGTCTTTTAAAAATGTCCTATTGTTTTCTTACACAGGCTTGGAAAGGAGCACAGCAGAAATTCAAAGAAAACAGCAGAACCCAAGAAAACAGGAGAACCCAAGAAAACAGCAGAATCAAAACACAGGAGGTAGAATGAGTGGGCACTTCTTGAGGGTTCGTACATCCACACTTCCAAAGTAAAGGGAATGAATGGGAAGAATATAAATTGAGCGGTCCTTCCATTTTAGGCTGAGTCAGACATACCTCCTCAAAGAGGCACAAGGCTGCCTCGTAAAGTGAGCATAAGCCATCAGAGGTTCGTGTTGGTTCTTTCCACTGGCTTCGATCAGCAGACGATCCCTATAAGGCAAAATACCATCAGGAGAGTAACCATTGCCATTCAACTGCAGAGACTTCAAAAACATCACAACATTATTAATACCAGCAAACTTAATTATTAATACCAGCAAACTTAGTCTGGTTTCTTTCAGACAAGGGCATCAGAAAGGCCCAGACGTGGCTTCGTATGCAGGCTCACATGGAAGGCAATCCCCTCGACTTCCATGTGAGCCACAACTGGTAGACCAAAGCCTCCTGTCCCCCCTCCCCCCCAAGAAAGAAAAAGATGCAACAAAACAGGGTTTCAGCATGAACTATTGATTTCCAGCTCTTGAGAGGACACCCTGCTTTTCCCCATTTTTATCCTGAAGCCAAGCACAGACTTGAATGAACAAGTTTAATGTAAAGGAGGAGGAGGAGGAGTAGGGGAGGAGTAGTAGTAAACATTTATACTTTTACTTCTCTGTTTGCTGGGAAGAAAATACTGCACTGGGATTGTGGCACAGCTGGCTGAGTGTCAGCTGCATTAAGATCACTCTGACCAAAAGGTCATGAGTTCGAAGCCAGCCCGGGTTGGAGTGGGCTTCCAACAAATTCTGTAGCCTGTTGTCGACCTTTGCAACCCGAAAGACAGTTGCATCTGTCAAGTAGGAGAATTAGGTACCACCTGTGTGTGGGAAGGCTAAATTAACTAATTTACGAGGCCATAAAAAGACTCCAGCAAAAGCATGCGGGGAATGCGGAAGTACTTCATCAGTGTCGCAGATGGACGATGAAAGCGACAGCTCCCCTGGTGGCCAGAAAAAGTTAAATAGCCTCTGTGTATGACTGTATACGTTGTATGTCAAATTGGCATTGAATGTTTGCCATATATGTGTACACTGTAATCCGCCCTGAGTCCCCTGCGGGGTGAGAAGGGCGCAATAGAAATGCTGCAAATAAATAACTAAATAAATAAAAAGGATCCATTATTGAATCTCACTATTTTTCTGCCTATTATTTTTATGTACCATAAACATAATGGAAGAACTGCATGTATCTACAAGACTGACACTTGACACTGTTGAGCCAGCATGGTGTCCGAGATGGCTTTTAAACAACCGATCTTAAAGTAGATGTAACTGTTTTCAGTGTTGGTGTATATTTATAGTTATTTTATGTTGTGCCATGGAATGCTTCCCGTATATATGTTGTGTTCCGGCCTGAGTCCCCTTCAGGGTGAGAAAGGTGAAATATAAAGGTTTCAAATAAATAAATACATAAATTGATCTCTTCTGTCCAAACAGGATGAGAGAAATTGGTGCACAAATTATTATTATTATTATTATTAACTTTATTTGTACCCCGCTAGCATCTCCCGAAGGACTCGATGCGGCTTACACAGGCCGAAGCCTCAGAACACAATACAGTAAAAAACATAACACAACAATAGTAAACAAAGCAAATCAAATAGTTAAGCAAATAACAACAACAGTAACAATACATCAAGACACTTTAAAACTGGGCCGGCCAGCGCCATGGGGTACAGGGTTAAAAGTGCTGGAGTGGCAGGAGGAGCATAGGATTAAAATAGTGCGGTGTGCAGTAATATTAATTGTACTAAAGTGCTTCTAGGACTTGGGGTGGGGGATTCCTAATCTGAGAAGGCACGATCGGAACAGCCAAGTTTTTAGGTTCTTTCTGAAAGCTGCTAAGGTAGGGGCCTGTCGAAGATCTTTTGGAAGGGCATTCCAAAGTCGGGGGCCGCCACAGAAAAGGCCCTGTCCCGTGTCCCCACCAAGCGCGCTTGCGACGTGGGTGGGATCACGAGCAGGGCCTCCCCAGATGACCGGAGCGAGCGTGTGGGTTCGTAGATGGAGATGCGGTCACGCAGGTAGGGTGGTCCCAAACCGTTCAGGGCTTTGTAGGTGAGCACCTGCACCTTGAATTGGGCCCGGAAAATAAATGGCAGCCAGTGGAGCTCCTTAAACAGAGGGGTAGACCTCTCTTGATAATGAGCCCCAGTTAGCATCCTGGCTGCTGCCCGCTGGACCAATTGAAGTTTCCGAGCCGTCTTCAAGGGCAGCCCCACGTAGAGCGCATTGCAGTAATCCATTCTAGAGGTGACCAAGGCATGGACCACCCCGGCCAGATCAGCCTTCGCAAGGTACGGTCGCAGCTGGCGCACAAGTCTCAATTGTGCAAAGGCCCTCCCGGATACCGCCAACACCTGAGCCTCAAGTGTGAGCGACGAGTCCAGGAGGACACCCAAACTGCGGACCTGTGGCTTCAGGGGGAGTGTAACCCCGTCCACACAGGTAGCCACCCTATACCCCGATCCGGTTTACGATCGACCAGGAGGACCTCTGTCTTGTCAGGATTGATCTTCAGCTTGTTCCTCCTCATCCAGATCGACACAGCGGCCAGGCACTCGTCCAGCACCCGAGAGGCCTCCTTGGAATTAGGTGGAAAGGAGTAGTAGAGTTGTGTGTCATCTGCATAGAGATGGCACCCAACTCCAAAACTCCGGATGACCTCTCCCAGCGGTTTCATGTAGATGTTAAAAAGCATGGGAGACAGAATAGAGCCTTGCGGGACCCCACAGGTCAAAGGCCAGGGGTCCGAGCAGGCGTCTCCCAGCTTCACCATCTGGGTTCGTCCCTCCAGGAAGGACCGGAGCCACGACAAAACCGCGCCCCCGAGGCCCATCCCAGAGAGACGACCCAGAAGGATACCATGATCGATGGTATCGAAAGCCGCTGAGATGTCCAAGAGAACCAACAGAGTCACACTCCCCCTGTCCAGCTCTCTGCGGAGGTCATCCACCAAGGCGACCAAGGCCGTCTCGGTGCCATGACCAGGCCTGAAACCAGACTGTGACTGATCTAGGTAGTTGGTATCATCTAAGAAGCTCTGGAGCTGAGAGGCGACCACCCGCTCCAGCACCTTACCCAAAAAAGGGAGGTTGGAGATTGGCCTGTAGTTGCTCAGCACCGTGGAGTCAAGGGAGGCCTTTTTGAGGAGTGGACGAACCACAGCCTGTTTCAAGTTAGATGGAAAAATCCCTTGCTCCAACGATGCGTTGATAATCAATACAAACCAATCAACCAGCCCCTCCCTGGCTGATTTAATGAGCCAAGATGGGCACGGGTCTAGAGATGAAGTGGTCGCTCTCACAGCCCCAAGAATCTCCTCCACGGTTTCAGGAAGAACAAGCCTAAAAGAATCCCACAAAGTTGGACAAGCAGATGCCTCCGTCACCTCTTCTGGTACTGCGATGAAATTGGAGTCGAGCTCAAGGCGTATCTGGGCGACTTTGCCTGCAAAATGGTGTGCGAAATCGCAACACCGAGCTGCTGGGTCCTCAGTGACCCCCACCACAGGTGGGTGGAGGAGTTCCCCCACGACCCGAAACAGCTCCGATGATCTATTTGCTGCAGACGCTATACGGGTGGTCGTGAATGATTTCCTGGCCACCCGAATAGCCACGGAGTATGCCTTAAGAGAGGCTTTAGCCCGTGCTCGATCAGACACGTCCCGAGATTTCCTCCATTTGCGCTCTAGCCCCCTTCTCGCATGCTTCATCACAGTCAGCTCCCCGGTGAACCAGGGAGATGGCCTGTCACGACGCAACGAGATGGGGCGTTCGGGTGCGATCATATCTAACGCCCTGGACATCTCCCCATTATAGAGAGTCACCAAGGCGTCGATAGAATCGCCAGGCTCCAAGGCAGGAAGAACCCCAAGATTCCTCAGGAATCCATCCGGATCCATCAGTCTCCTAGGGTGGACCATTTTAATCTGTCCTCCACCCCTGCGGAGGTTAAGGGTCGCAGCAAGTCTAAAACTGATCAGATAATGATCAGACCATGACACAGGAAGGATGTTTTGATCTTCCACTCTAATCATTTCGTTGTCCGCCACGAAAACAAGGTCAAGAGTATGTCCAGCTTGATGAGTGGGACCAGATATTATTTGTGACAGTCCTATGGTCGTCATGGTGGCCATAAAGTCCTGAGCTGCACCAGATAGGGTGGTCTCAGCGTGGATGTTAAAAACCATTCCAAGATGACATTTACGAGCAACCAAACCTTTTCACGTACTTTCATCAACATTATTTGACAGCTATTAAGCATAATATGCAAGGAGGTGGCTGTAATGCACATTCCAACAAGCTTTCCAAAAGGAACTTTGCTGTCTCAAAGATGGAAGAAGGAAACACTCGTCTGCAGCTTACTGTGGATTGAATCTGCAAACCGTGAGGCTCACTGTACTTTCAAAGGTGTTGTTTGTTGTTGATTCTTAGCATTTTATTATTATTATTATTATTATTATTATTATGTACGTTGAAAGTGTACACATTATAACATAACAATTGGTATATAAAGCCACCCATTGCCAGGAGTAACTGTACACCTTCTAATAACAGTAGAACATGTGTATCCTATTTGAAAGAAAACTTCCCGAGCCTACTCTGGGTTAAGAGTCTTACAATACTTTGTCCTATCAAAGCTCTTAATAAGCAATGTATATTTATAAATGTAGTTAAGTTTAGTTTTAAATGCGTCGTGGTGTTATTGTTCTAATTTTTATTGTTATTGCTTTAATGTTTATTGTTTTGCTTTATGAGTTTTATTGTTTTATTTGTTATGCTGTTGTTTTATTGAGGGCCTTGGCCTTTTGTAAGCCGCATCGAGTCCTTCGGGAGATGTTAGCGGGGTATAAATAAAGTTAATAATAATAATAACAACAATAAAGTATACAAAGGTGACTTAATTGTCTAACGTTAATCATAATCCTGCTCTTCTTTCTGAGTCACTCAATGAACCAGTCTTTAAAGATTCTACTTATAAATTCTGAAAAAGGCTCCTCATGATTTTGAAAACACTGAATTATTTATTGTTGTGGACTCCAACTCCCACAATTCCTAGCTGCCTACAGTTTCTTAGGACTTATTGTGGGAGCTGAAATCCAAAATACCTGGAGGGAGGGCCGCAGTTGGTCCAGGCCTGGTGTAAAAGGTGAAGAATTACCTAGAAATTGTATACTACATACTTTCAATGTTAACTATGAAACTTTGGCCCTCCAGATGTGTTGGACTTCAACTCCCACAATCCCTAACAGTCACTGTTAGGAATGGTGGGAGCTGAAGTCCAACACACCTGGAGGGAGGGCTGCAGTTGACCCATGCCTGCATTAAGACCATTGTTTTGCAGGCTCACACGGGGTGCACTTACCAATGACCGGCGCATCTGCATGAGTATGTTCATGAAGCAGTCGAAGCCGACCATGCCCTCCTGGGCAGGCAGGGCCCTGTTCTTCTCCATGGCGTTGACCACAGCCGATGCACCCAGTGCCATCTCGATCCACTCCAGGAGGTAGCGTAAGGAGCCGCGCTGGGCAGCCAGGCCCAGCAGCAGCTCAGAGGCCAGGCGCCGTCCCAGCGTGTCCGCCCCAGAGTTGGGGACGGTCACTCCTTTCAGGAAGGCAGTGACCTGAGAAAGGCAGTCCAACCCCATGGCCGGGATCTTGCTCTCGTTGGCTAGGGAGAGCGGGGGCAGGGAGCTGACCACCTCAATGGCCGTGCGGATGACATCGTTGCAAAGGCTCAGCCCTGTCCCAGCCGAGGCCGGCATCATCCAGCTCTGCCTCAGCAATGCAAACAGGAGGCTGAGCCCCGTCCGCACCCCCATCTCGATCAGGGCATCTGTGCTCGACCGCGGCCGCTCACTGACTGAGTGGACATCTACTGACCCCATGCTGCTCTCAGGGGAGTGCTGTTGCTGTTTGACCTTGCCCTTGTCATGGTACTTGTTGGAAAGGGCATAGAAGACGCGCTGCAGGACCAGAAGGCGCTTGCAGAGGGCGCCGGCGAAGGGCGAATCGGAGCACACCATCTTGGCCAGGGCCAGCTGGCTGCTGAGGAGGGCATCGAGGTAGTGGTCCTGCTCGTCGCTGGACAGGGACTCGCGCTCAAAGTCAGGCAGCTGGGGCCCCTTGAGGCAGAGCACCTGCTGGGGCAAGGGCACCACCTCCTTGTTGCCCACTAGCTTGGTGTAGAGAACCGCCACCCCCTCCCGCGTGGCAATGGACTCGATATCCTCCGTGATCCACGAGCTGTTCAGGTGCTCCAGCCATTTTAGCTTCACCGGGGGAACCATGGCAGCCATGTCTGCCTATGCATTTGCCATCAGGTCTGGAAAGTGGGAGGAAGCAGGTTAATAACAATTATTTACATTACAAACAGCAATCTGGTTGTATCAGAAAATATAACTTCAAAATTGGAGATTTCTTGCGTAATTCTTGTGTTCTCAGCTTAAAAACTCCCTGGTTTCAATACATACAGATTAATGACCACTTTACTAAAGACAACAAAGTAGGATTTGAAGAAAACAACTCAACATGGCTAAAGATCTTTGAAAGTAAAAAGAAAACAATTACAAAAATTTATGAACAACTACTGGAGTGGAGCACCGGAAAAGATCTGATTAAAAACTGCATGATCAAATGGGCAAAGGATATAGGAAGAGCAATACCGCTAGAGGACTGGGAAATAATGTGGAATAGAAGAATGAACTATACCTATGCGTACGATCTTAAAGAGAATTGGATTAAAATGTTTTACCAATGGTATATGACTCCACATAAAATAGGAAAATTCAATAAAAATGTGAATGATAGGTGTTGGAAGTGTGGGAATTGCAGAGGGTCCTTTGCACATATGTGGTGGTCCTGTGAAATAGCTAGATCTTATTGGATGGAGATTTCAGAAATTTGCCAAAAAGTACTAAAAAAGAAAATCCTATCCAAACCAGATTTTTTTCTCCTAGGGATGATAGATATACAGTGGAATATTAACGAAGACAGGATCTACTCCTATATGATTACGGCGGCAAGAATAGTCTACGCTAAGTTTTGGAAACAGGAAACTAGGCCACAGATAGAAGAATAGATAAAGAAAATTATGGACATAATGTGTATGGACAAACTGACATATTTACTGGCAGAAACTCACAATAAACATATGAAGAAGATGAATTGGACACCCTTAAACACCTGGCTGAAAGAAAATAAAGTACTCCTATATGGGTTCGTATAGAACAGAAATAACAACGAGAATAAAACTCATCTACACAGACCCACTACCAAGGAAATGAAGAGACTAGAGAAATATTTACTGTAAATGCTTATATGGTGAGAGACGGAAGAACACCCGCCCTTAAGTGTTTTCCCTACCCCTATCTTCCCTCGTCCCCCTCTTTTTTCCCACACCCCAATGCTTTTCCCTCCCTTTCTAAGCTGTTTTTATTGTCAATGAAAAAATCATGAATAAAAATTATTATTAAAAAAAAGAAAATATAACTTGATCAGGCATGGACCAACTTTGGCCCTCCCTCCAGGTGTTTTGGACTTGAAGTCCAAACCACCAGGAGAGCAGAAGTTTGCCTGAATTAGACATATAACCTTTTATTTCAATGGCATTGCCTTACATTTGTGCTTCCCAATTTGCTATGTCATCAGCTCAGGATTTCCCTGAGGCTGATGTAAGTCAAACTTGTACTGAACTGGGTTTTTAAAGCTGCAAACCTATCTATGTCCCTAACCTCTTGGGTCGTATTTCTGAGTAGAAAGGCACAAGACAGCAGAGTCAGGTTCTCAAGGCAGAAATCTCAAAAGAAGCTACCCAAAATTAGGTTCCAGAGAAGTGAACAGATTTTTTTTCTGGAGGAAACCAAGGCTTAAGACAGTGGTTCTCAACCTTCCTAATGCCGCGACCCCTTGATACAGTTCCTCATGTTGTGGTGACCCCCAACCATAAAATTATTTTCGTTGCTACTTCATAACTGTAATTTTGCTACTGTTATGAATCGTAATGTAAATATCTGATATGCAGGACCAAATTTGGAACAAACACCTGATACGTCCAAATTTGAATATTGGTGGGGTTGGGGGCGGGATTGATTTTGTCATTTGGGAGTTATAGTTGCTGGGATTTATAGTTAACCTGCAATCAAAGAGCATTCTGAACTCCACCAATGATGGAATTGAACCGAACTTGGCACCCAGAACTCCCATGACCAAAAGAAAATACTGGAAGAGTTTGGTGAGCACAGGCCCTGAGTTTTGGAGTTGTAGTTCACTTACATCCAGACAGCATTGTGGACTCAAACAATGATAGATCTGAACCAAACTTGGCACGAATAATACTCAATATGCCCACTGGTGGAGTTTGGGGAAAATAGACCTTGACGTTTGGGAGTTGTAGTTGCTGGGATTTATAGTTCACCTACAATCAAAGAGCATTCTGAGCTCCACCCTTGATAGAATTGGGTCAAACTTCCCACACAGAAACCCCATGACCAACAGAAAGTACTGTGTTTTCTGATGGTCTTTGACAACCCCTCTGACACCCCCTCACGACCCACCCAGGGGTCCCGACCACCAAGTTGAAAAACACTGGCTTAAGAGATAAATGACAGTCTGGTGGGAAAGGGGAAGGAGAGGAGAGGCATGCATTCTGCTGACAGACAACTCTCATTTTGAAAAGATTAACAAAACTATTGGAAAGGTGTAATATCAAATGAATAGGACTCAAACCTGCACAAATTAAGAAGGAAGACTGCAAAGTTCTTATTTGTTTTATGGTAAGGAAACAAGAAATGAGAATTCTCAATCTTCATTTTATCATTTTCTTGCCATAAAACAAAGCTTGAAATAAAAACGCAAAATATATGCAAGTGCAGGGCAGCCAGTGCAAAATATACACCCCGCACAGAGAAACAAGTGGCTCCTTTGTCAATTAGCAATCCCAAAGGGGCAACAACAGCCAGCCTACACCGCCAGAGCACTTTATTTTTTATTTTTTACTAGCTGTCCACTGCCACGTGTTGCTGCGGCCCACTCTGTGGTCATAGGGGTTCTGTGTGGGAGGTTTGGTCCAATTCTATCGTTGGTGGGGTTCAGAATGCTCTGTGATTGTAGGTGAACTACAAATCCCAGCAATTACAACTCCCAAATGTCAAGATTCTATTTTCCCCAAACGTCACAAGTGTTCACATTTGGGCATATTTAGTATTCGTGTAGAGTGTGGTCCAGATTCATCATTGTTTGTGTCTACAGTGATCTCTGGATGTAGGTGAACTACAACTCCAAAACCAAAGGAAACTGCCCACCAAACCCTTCCAGTATTTTCTGTTGGTCATGGGAATTCTGTGTGCCATGTTTGGTTCAATTCCATCGCTGGTGGGGTTCAGAATGCTCTTTGATTGTAGGTAAACTATAAATCACAGCAACTACAACTCCCAAACGACAAAATCAATTTTTTGAGTGAAGGACATACATTGGGCTGTTAGGTGTCTTGTGTCCAAATTTGGTGTCAATTCATCCAGTAGTTTTTGAGTTCTCTAAATCCCACAAACGAACATTACATTTTTATTTATATAGATTCCGAACATTTATATCCCACCCTTCTCACCCCCAAAGTGGGGCTCAGAGCAGCTTACAACCAGCAATAATTTCTGTGCCTGTTTCCCGTGTGCCCTGCATGCAAACCGCTGTCATGCCAAGCTTACTGCAGGATGAGCCACTGCCACATATACATTGCTATAGCAACGCTGCAGTAAGGGATAGGCAGCCCAGTTCTCAAAAAGCTCAACCAGGATGAGACTCATTACCTCATTTCTGTCATGAGAGAGGACAGAGAGGTGAGAATCCTGCCCAATATTACGGGAAAAACTAGGCCTGGCAGATTACTGGCTTTCATCTCCCCTCCATGACTTGCAGAAGATATGATGAATCAGCGTGCATATTCTTTGGTCTTTTTCATAACACCTTATGTGCATTTCTAGGATGCAATTCTTACAAAGTCTCCTGACACCACAAACAAATGTTGTTGCCATTTTACCAGAGATGCAATGAGCTTCCACCAGCCAGGAAATGGCCATCAAACCTTGATGTCAAGGAAAATATGGGAAGCTGTGGGGAAACCAGGAGGAGACGGGAAAGGAAAGCCTTTGTTTCTCCACCATTAAAAGGAGCCTGGTGGGAGGCGCAGCCCTGTTTTGCTATCAGACGGAAACACAGGAATCGAGACCCTGCTTGTATCATTCCATAGGCATCTGTTGGCTCACCAGGTGAGTACTAGGCAGAAATAGGTCCACACTGAAGCCATGAATAGTTTTAAACCGTACGCAATCACCTTTCTCCTTTCATTCCTAGCCATATGGGTTGGGGAGGCCCTGAGGCCTGGTTTTTCCCAGCTCCACTCACAAACTCAGTGCTGCAGACACAATAATAATAATAATAGTAATAATAATAAACCTTTATTTATACCCCGCTACCATCTCCCGCAAGACTCGGTGCGGCTTACAAGAGGCCAAGCCCAAATACATCAATAAAACACAATGCAACAATAAATAACTCATAACAAGGCAAAACAATAACAATAACATCACAACACATTTAAAACCTGTGGCAAGGCCAAATGTAATGATTAAAATTTGTTCAAGAGAAGTAGGATGGATATTTAGGGATAGGTGGGCGTGCAGACAATTCTAAATCTCTCATAAAGTGCATTTGGGACCTATTGCTTGAGATTCCTTATTGTGGGAAGGCACACTGGAACATCCACGTTTTCAAGCTCCTTCTAAAGACTGCCAATGTTGGGGCATGCCTGATGTCCCTGGGGAGGGAGTTCCAGAGTTGTGGGGCCACCGCCGAGAAGGCCCTGTCCCTCGTCCCCACCAATCGTGCTTGCGATGCAGGTGGGATCGTGAGCAGGGCCTCTCCAGATGAACGAAGAGATCGTGTGGGTTCGTATACGGAAATGCGGTCACGCAGGTAGATGGGTCCCAAACCGTTGAAGAACCCATCTACAACCCAGCACAATGCAATACCTTCCAATTATGCCATGGCCAACAGTGGAAAAAAGAGCAAAATAGCACATAGAGAGGAGGGGATTGTACACATGTGCAGCTCACAACACTGTACTGAGACAGCAAGATCAATGGGATCTTTCAGCCCTCCCATGTGATCAATATGATGCTCCACCACATCACAAGTATGAAAGAGAGGGCATCTAGATCTCTGTATTTAACTCCTTTCTGCCTATTCCTTATCATATCGCAAGCCGTTAGTATATGCAAATCACTTTCAGGACCTTGGCAGAAAGGCTGCATACAAATGTAGTAAATAAAA